TATGAAATAGCCCAATAATAGCCAAATAGCCAGATAGCCAACCTGCAGATTTTACCACAAACAACAAAAAAAGTAGCCCAACTGGGCTATTTATAGCCCAACCTGGCAACCGTGCACACTGGCACACTTGCACCATGCATCCGATAGCCTTGGAACACTTCCAAACTGCATATACTGCAAAACCCTATAAGTTTGCAAGCCCTTAATTTTTGCGTATTCCGAAATTCGCGAAATGTAAGGGCACGCGAAAATTTTGATCTTTAAGAGTTTCAATGCGGGCGTCTGGAATTCGCGATATTCAGTGGCTGCGATTATGACCTCTGTGTCCAGTTCGCGAAAAATGGGGGCCGCGAAAATAAAGTTTTACAGTATGTATATTTGTATAACTTTTTAAGCGTCATTCTTTTACTGTGGGTTAAAACTAATCCTGACAACGTTACAAGTGGATGTATAGATAGTGCATAAACGTGACCTGGTAAATAGTGAAAAACCTTCAGTTTAGCTATATGCAGATTGGAATACCAAGGAGAAAAACTATACAATGGTGCAGTGGTTCTCAAGCATGGAGGTGTTGGGAAACTGCCAAAGTGATGAGGGACCCTATGCCAGCGGGGGAAAGGGAAGGGGGGAGGGGGGGGTTATAAAATAAGACAACCAATTGCAGTGTAAAAAGGGCATCCTTCACTGTTATAGACAGAAGTGAGAATCATCAAGTAAAAGAATAAATGAATGGATAGGGTAACGGCTGTACCCTGTATGACAAGCGGTAGCTAACCTTAGCCAGGGTTAAGGCTCGAAGGTTAAGGTTCAAAGGTTTGAAGGTTAAGGCAATGGCTTGGCGAACCCCAACAGCTCCGCGGAACCCCATTAAAAAACCGCTGCAATAGTGCATAAAAAAAAAACTGGCACAAAAATTTACAGTTTGTCTCAGGTATAGAAGTGTGTTCTCATATGCATAAACCAGTTTCAACGAGCAAGACCTTACCTCCTGTCAAACACTGCCTCTTATCTACTGTCATTCTCTTCCTCAACCGGATCCTCAAAGACGAAAATACATTTGGAAAATAGATTGAAATATTCAGTCCCTTATAACTTATATTTCAGCAGCCAATCGGTGAACAGCAGAAAGAGACTTGTAACTACTGTCTAGTGATAGTCAAAGCATAGGCTTTCAAAAGCAGAGCCACTAATATGAAAGGGCAATTACTGCTGCTAGGGCACAGACTACTAGTCCCAGCACTAAAAGGAGAATGCCCACAGAGAAGTTTCTTCCTTTAAAAAAGCCTGCAAAAATTTGCTTGCTTTCTGAAAAAAAAGTTTCAAAAACCTTGAAAGAAATATATACCCCTCTTCTTCTAAAACTGTAAAAACCTTGGTAATCCACAGGGGCTAAAACAAAAGAAGAAAAAGACGGAGGGAGGGAACAAAACACTTCTGTAGGATGTAAGAAAAATCAGGATGCTGCAATCCTTGAGCAGATTGCAAACTTCAATTTCTTCCCTCACTTTTTTTTTTTTTAATGGCAATGTGAAAAATTAATTTCTAATGTACAATCGGCACGGAATGAAACCCGAACGCCGGAACACGTCGCCATCGACACAGGCTGCTCCACCTGGTGGGCCCCTGAGAACTAATGAAAATGCGCCCGGGGTTCGAGGGTGCGGGTCCTGCTAAGATGTGCTCGACCTTCGCGCGGCGCGTCTGGGACTTCCGCGTTTCGCCGGTGGCGCGCTGTGAGCGCCGTCACTCAGGGTGTTTTCGTGTCGCCGCACTGTCGCCTCATGTCGCCCGTTCGACACTGGGCGGCCGCTTAACCTGGCTATAGCTCTTTGCGATAGGTTTTGCCCAGACAGGGTGGTGAAGTTATTCCGCTCTGGAATGGATACGCCTGGCATATCGGTGGTTACCGAAGAGAGCGTCAACAAGCAATTCCTCGCTTTTTAAGAATCGACTGATAACCTCGCACGAAAACATGCGCATTGCTCATAAAAACCGAGGCATCCACGTCAGTCTGTTGTAGTATTTTTTTCATAAAGAGTATGGTCATGCGAACAAACGAATTTTTATTTCGCGTTTATGACGTTTCACTATTTCTCAGAAACCGCGCGTGGCCCGATGTTCCGGTGACACGTCATCAAGCACTACGGGTCTTCCGTGCACGAAATGTTTCACCTTTCATTTCGCCCTTGCGATACACAAAGCGGTAATGAGTGACAGCTCTGAAGGGATATCGCTGGGCATTCAATACACAAAGCGAGTGACAGTGCTTTTTGTATCGGATGTGACGGCGCTTACAGCGCGCCACCGGCGAAACACGGAACTCCCAGACGCGCCGCGCGAGGGTCGAGCTCACCTTAGTAGGACCCGCACCCTCGCACCCCGGCGCATTTTCATTAGTTCTCATGGGCCCTCCAGGTGGAGCAGCCTGTATCAACGGCCACGCGTTCTGGCGTTCGGGTTTCATTCCGTGCCGATTGTACTTGAAAAAAATATTCCTATCTTTAACTGACAGCAACTTTCCAAGAGCCAACCCTGAACGAACGCTGGCATTCTGTAAAAATACAGGGCAGAGAAATTTTCGGCCACCCAAACATGCATGCAACCAAAAGGGCGGTTCTATAAGGCGTCTTTTTCCCTTCAGGTAAGTCGCGTTCCGTCACCGCTGAAGCATGGAGAGTGGCTCAGTCGATGACACAACTCGGTAAGCACGATCAGGGACATATTTGGGACAGATAAACCCAATCTTATTTTGATTTGTTTTTTCATTCGCGGTCAAGGCGGCATCTTCTGGGGCCTTTATGGCCACCGACGGGACGACTTCCCAATCTCTGGTTCGTCTGAAGTTTGAGTAAAGACCGGTACGTATACACAATGAGTACCAGATGGCACTCCTTCGTGTCGCCGACTACTCCGGCAGACTCCGTCGATCGTGACAGAGAAAAACTCGACCGAGCTGGAAAAAAATGCTTCCGCGTGTAAAAAGACATACAGCGAAAGTCTATCGACGTGGCAAGATTTCGAGCCGGAAGTACACGTGGAACTGCCCTACATGACCTGTGGCTGGATCGTGGATATTGCCCCATGCATGACCGAGAAGAAATGCTTCTCCATACTTCTAGAAGATTCGAGTCTACTCTTACCCTGAGTGTAAAAGACGAGGCGGCCAACGTGACCTTGCCGAGTCGGTCTCGCCCTAGCTTACTCTCGTACATTCTAGCTTGTATATAAGGAGCAGAAAGTAGTAGATAAGACGAGCGTTGTAGGTAAGACAAGCATCTTATCTACTCTCTCTCGCAGTCTCGCTCCAGTCAGCCGTCATGCCGACGCCACTACGCTTGCCGCTGCTGTTTCGACGCTCATTCGTATCGCCCCATCGCCTCCACTTCAGTTGTGAGCCGCACACTGGAAAGAATAGTAAATACAAAAATCCTGAACCACCTGGAGGACAATGGCCTGCTAAATCAGGCACAACACGGATTTCGAAGGGGACGCAGCTGCGACACTGCCTTGGCAGTAGCAGTTCACATGCTCAGCTCACACCTAGACCAGCACATCCCTTGCCAACTAGTACAATTGGATTTTTCAAAAGCATTCGATCGTATCGACCACGCACTTCTCCCTGAAAAACTCCAGAAAGTGGGGATTGAGGGTTCCTTGGCCAACTGGCTAATGGACTTTGTCAGGAATCGAACCCAGCGAGTTGCCTTCCACGGTCATCTCTCGTCACCCTGTACTGTGCTCGCCGGTGTGCCGCAGGCACACCGGCGAGCACAGTACAAGGTGACGAGCACAGTACAGTTCTCGCTGTACATAAACGACATCACCGATGGACTGAAATCTAAGGCAATACTGTACGCAGACGACCTCTCTCTGATACAACCAGGAATCTCTAAGGACGCAGTCACCTCCCTTCAAAACGACCTCGATACCTGTTACAGGTGGTCCGTAACACACAGCCTCCCACTAAACCCTACAAAATGCCTCAGCGTGACAGTCAGCCTGTCCTTGGCTAAGCCCTCACACTCCCCACCCCTTGCAATAGGTGGCACCGAACTCTCTCGTGTCACTCACACAAAACTGCTCGGAGTCGCATTCGATGAGCGCCTCGATTTTAGTCGCCACATCCAGGGAACTGCTTCACGTGCGAGGCGGACACTGGGTTTCGTCACCCAAATTACGCGCGGCATGCCAGCCGCACCACTCAGGCACCTATACACGTCGCTGGTACTCCCGCAGCTGGAATTCTGTTCTGCTATCTGGGACCCCCCCTCAACAAAGCATAAGAAATCTCTCGAGTCCATACAGCGGAGGGCAGCCCTTACGCTGTACCGACGAGATTCGCCCTCGTCGCACCACACTGCCGCCAGAGATATTTCCACTACCAGACTCCTGCAGTACGCCCAGTGGCGGACTCTGCAACACCGCAGAGACGTAGCCTCGATCAGGCTCTTCTGCCTAATGATGGGTGCTGGCCACCCTGACGTGCCTTCCCCACCTCGCCTCAACAAGCGAACTGGCCGACTACAACCTCCACTGTCGCGAACTTTGCGCCACAAGACATCGTGCCTAATGCGTGCTGCAGAAATTTGGAGGTCACTCCCACACCACCTCACGGAGTCAATCCCCTGCAACCGAGACGACATCCGCGAGTTGTGTAGAACAGTTACTCGGACAATAGCATAATCACCGGTGGGTGGGTGGGTGGGTGTTTGTGTGTGTGTGTGTGTGTGCGTGTGCGTGTGCGTGTGTGTGTGTGTGTGTGTGTGTGCGCGCGCGTGTGCGTAAAAATAACGTGTTTTTTTTTTTTGTCTAGACTAGTTTTTATAAGAACTAAAATAGTCCTCATAGCGCCGTCCGGTTGGTGAAAGGGGCACAATATATGTATGGGCGCACGCCTTTCCCTCCTCACCTGCACACCGAACGGCACCACAAACTTTTAAGTGCAATAAAGTACTACTATCACTATCACTATCCTTTCGTTTCAGGCGTAAGTTTGTCTATTAAGCCTTCACTTTCAGTTTCACTGAAAGTGAAGGCTTAACTTTCACTGGTCCAGCCTTTTCATCCGCAACGATATGCTCGCTGTCATAATGACTGCCATGAAAAAAAAGAAATGCGCTGCCACAATACGACGACTCACCTCGCTTCCGATAGGGAAATGCTCCAGAAGCAGTGAAAGCAAACTCCCGGGTCAGCCTGTCGTGCAGGTCGCGCAGCAGACGTTCCGTTTCGCTCCTGACGCGGGCGTCAGAGTCGGTGCACAACACACTCTCCACGGCGCTCCCGAGTCCGTCGGCGTCGGCTTTGCCCAGCACCTGCCTCGCGGATGCCTCGGTGCGCTCCGCTAGGCCGTCGAGATTTGTGTCGAGGCAAGTCCGCCAGGTCGCCAATCCGGACAGCTGGACTTCCGAGTCGAGGTCCCGGGCCAGAGCTCGGGAGGCGGACCGTCGAGCGGCGGAGCAGCAGTCTGGCGCGAGGCGGTCCCACCCGACCCACAAGGAGAGTGCTGCCATCGCCGCGCGGCGCGCGAACACATCCGCGTCGTTGTGGGCTGTCTGGGCAACGCGCTCCACCACTTCGGACTGCGACAAACGACAAAAAAAAGTATCCAAGCTTCATCGTGCTGACAAAGACCAGAGATCGCAGAATGTGTCCTGCACAACCCACACAGACTTACTTGTTTATATTTCTTGTTTACCCTACTAAAGAAACTAAATTCTTTTATTGGTCATCCGACATCTCCGTGCTGGTCTCCGGCAGGTCATGTGACTTCCATTTCCCTTGATTATTATAGTGAAACAATGGGATTGGTGCTTAGGTCACGTGACAATTTTCCCACTAAATTTACCTGGGAAACTGGATTATTTTATTGGTCACATGATATTAGATTACATGAGGTCGGAAAATTGGTTGGGATATAAGTCACGTTATGTCGAGTCACGACGTCACTTTGTCCAATAAATTTATCGGGGAAACTGGATTCCGTAATGCTCCCAGCCGGAAGCTCCTTCATGACAATTTTCTTAGAAAACGACCAATCAAACCCAATCTGCAATAGAGGAGTCAAATTTGGGAATTTTAACGTGCCCAACCAACAAACGACATCTGGCATGCCCTACGGAAGGACCGAGTATTAATTTAGACCCCCTGGGGACCTTCTGACGCGCAACGAAAAGCGCAGTTACACGGCGCCTTCTCCGCAAGGAGCCTCCACCAGATTGCAGGCCCATTGGCCAGGATTCTAACCCGCCACCTGGGAACTTGAAGCCGGCGCTTTGACTAGAAGCCACCGAGAAGGCTTAAATGACAAAAAAAAAGGGAATAGAGGCAAAACATTTACGTCCCCTTTTACAAATTATAAGCCCACCGTTTTTAAGCCTGTTTATGCTGCATTTTTACCAAAAAAAAACTGGCTCACACGGTAAACCAGTTTTTCTTTAGAAGTCTCGAAAAAAAAAGTGTCCTTTTACTGGACATTAATAAAGGGTGCTGTTCTAAATTCTCACAGGAACAAAGCTATTCCTTCAAATTTCCCAAGATAAACTCCACCACGGAAATACACCTTCGGTGAACATTTCAGCACATTACTCGCAAGTACCAATTCTTCCGGATCGTTTTACGGCGGGCCCCTGCATTCCTAACACCCTACATAATAAAGAAAAATGAGGCCAATGTTGTAATCCACTTCATTCTGCAATGAACTGCAAGGAGTCCAAGAGCCATCGAACCCACTCCAGCTCCGTGCGAGTGTCACGTGACATTCCAGAGGGGCACTGTGACACGAGGGTCACGTAGTCACGTGACGCGTTCGCAGCGCCGGATCGGCGCTGCGAACGTAGCGTCATCTGCAGTCCGTCGTACAATGAAAAAAAGTATGAACGTCGCCCTGCGAGGTCAGTTGGGTTCAGAGAAGTCCAGAGCAGGCACCTGGCTGAGCTGCAGGGTAGACAGCAGGAGCTGGCAGAGCTGTGGCTGCAGGCAGAGCCTGGCCAGGGCCGAGAGGGCGGCTGCCCGCACCCCTCCGTCGGTGCAGTCCAGGCAGCCCCAGAGGAAGCGGGGGAGGGCGTGGAGCTCCAGCCACTGGCACACGCGGCCCGCCTGCACCGCTCCCAGCTCGCCTGCACGAGACCGGCGTTGGGAAGTACTATTAGAAAACTTGTACTAATTTACTTAAAGTACATTCTCCAAGTATGTACTTGTACTTTACTTAATTAAAGCACTTCTGGTACTTTTCGAGGAAAGTACAACTCCCGACCTCGAGGCACAATCCCAAAATTTGGTGTCATTAAATTTGTATCACAAAATTTTTCAACAAATAAGTGGATATTTAGTGTGTTGCGTTAAATAGTTTGTCGGCGAGAGTAAAACGACTACCCTGTGGCCACTTGACATTATCCCAATATTTGCCGCCATTTCCAAAAATGAGCCAGGCACCCCCGATTACCCCAAACGCAATATGTACAACTTTAAAAAAAAACACTGTATACCGTAGAATATTGGGGAAGTGCCCCTTTTCAGACAAGCACCTACTATTAACATTTCCAAAACTTTGGAATTCTGATCATATGTTAAGCACCCGCCCCCTCCAAAGCACCGCAAATATTCACCACACTGTGGCAGCTACGAGAACACCAGCGGGGATGACGGAGATACCCGCTTCCTTGTGATGGAAAGGGAAAGAGTTCTTGGGCAGGGGGAACCCTTAACTGTATTATCTAGGTCACTTGGGAACAGCGAGAGGTCCCTACAATGCTGGAGGTCAGCAGCCCAGTTGTAGCCATGTCAGGATTGATGGGGCTGAAGTAGCACAGTGTACTTTGGAAGTACACTGTGCTATTTATAGTACTTTGCTTCAAGTACGTTGCGCCCGATCTACTTACTACTTTGCTCAAAGTACACAACCTTCCATTTAGTTTATACTTCAGGTGCTTTTTAGACATACTTCACCCAGCACTGCACGAGACAAACAAAAGAGCTGGGGGGCGAGGTCTTTGAACTAGCCAACGCCATCATGGATAACGACGCCGTAGTGCTGTATTTTACATGCCACCTACCCTAGACCAACACGTGGCGCAGAATGGACAGCAGTGCCGTGTCAGCGCTTAACTAAAACTCTCGTTCAGCTGGTGAGGACAAAAGTTCCAGACAAACGCTGACACGGCACACGTGCGCCACTCTTCCGTTACAATGGCAAATCACCTAAAGTGGCTAGGAGTCTTGGCACAATCTGCATTAAAAGATAGCCAAGCTCTGACTGCAATGAAACCGTGCGCGGCGACTGCGTGACCCCAAACACGAGGCACGTGTGACCAGTGTCAGTCGGGAATCTCAAAGCTGCCGCTCGAAGGGACACACACCGGCCACTTCTAGGTACAAAAGAGCATGCTCTGGCCATTCTTAGATAAAAGAGCACATACTCTGGCCACTATTAGGCACAAAATGGTACTCTTGCCATAGTAAAGGGTACAAAAAAGGGTGCACTTCGGTAACTATACTGGGTAGGAAAAGGCACTATAGCCACTAGCAGGTACGAAAGGGGCATGGAATGGCCACTTCTAGGTACAAAAGAGCATGACTTGGTCATTCCTAGATAAAAAAGCACACAATCTGGTCACTTTTAGGCACAAAACGGTACACTCTTGCCATGGAAAAGGGTACAAAAGGCTATACTCCAGGAACTACTGGGTACAAAAAGACACACTACAGCCACTACCAGGTACAAGAGGGGTACACCACGGCCATTTCTATATAAAAAAGAGCATGCTCTGATCACTCCTAAATAAAAGAGCACACACTCTGGCCACTAGCTATTAGGCAGATAATGATACTCTTGCCACAGTAAAGTGTACAAAAGGGTTTACTCTAATAACTACTGCGTACAAAAAGCCATACTATAGCCTCTACCAGGTACAAAAGGAGCACACCCTGGCCACTACTAGGCAAAAAAACAATGACGGTACCAACCCTGGACATTGGCCAGCCTGGCCAGTGCCTCGAGCGCGGCCTCCGTAGCAAGTGGCTCCGTCGACACCATGTGGCGCCGCAGGGCCTCCCCCAGCCGGGTCAGCCCGGCAGACGAAGACCACTCCGTGTCCGAGGCTACACATCCAGCCAGTGCCACAGCAAGGCTCACGCCAGAGCGGAGAACCTCCTGCAGGGCCTGTCCAAGACGTGACGCCCCCCCCACAACGTCTTACAACAACAGCCACAATCGGCGAGATTTCACAACGGATTTCGAAAACTGTTTCGTGTGGGTGATGGCTGGGAAATTTCTCCGTTACGCTTTGTTTCACCTGAAGTCCGGACGCAGCTGACACTACGACTGATCGGACCAATCGTAAACAATAAAAGCGACCGACATGATGTTATAGTCACGTTCCTGTACGTGTTCTATCATCGCTGAACCAATCATGTACAGGCGAGGCTCAGTGGCTTGCGCTTTTGACACTACTTGAACCTGGAACCAAACACTAACGTCATGTCCCACGGCACTATAGCGTCATGCGACGTCAAGTAAAATCATGATGACACGGGACGTCGGCGACCTTGTTATCTAGGTGTCGAGCAAGTGCACTTACATATATGGTGGGAGAGTAAGCAACAGGTAAGGAGGAAGAAAAACAAGTGCTCCGGGGGAAAACAGGGAGACCAATAATACCAGGGCCAAAACAGGGCTGTGCGACAGCAAGAGATGCGAATTTCACGCTTCACTCCCGCTCGAGCGCTAGCTTTGGCACGTGGCGACGTTCGCATCTCCGAGGCACAATGTGCTTGCCGGGTTTCTCTGCACAACGTTGCAATACATTGTGCATTTAATATTTGCCTTTGCCACGAGCGTGGAAAAGGGGCAAACTATTAAGAAGAATTACCATAATTTCCTGACTTTAGTTTGCACCTGTCGTAGAGTTCGCACTCGGCGTCTAGTCCGAACGTAAAAATTATTGTGCACGGCATACCCTGAGAAAAGCCTGCTGTAGTGGCTCAGAACAAAGCTTGTATTAAACATAAATCAACATTATTATACTCTGCTATTCACAAAATCTCTCATGTCTTATCACAGTGAACGATCTAGAAAAAAACAAATCCTTGTATAGTGCATGTACCTGTAGATAATCTGGGCAAACTTTCAACTTTTAAACATGTATAGTCCGCGGAGTCCAAAAAACACGGTACCGTAATATCCCGAGTCATCGCCCATCCCCGAGCCATCGCCCACCCCATTTTTTGGGCCAATATCGATTTCCGGAAAAACACCGAGTCATCGCCCACCCCTTCAAATACCCCAGCGCGGACTCTGGGATCCGCGAACACTCATCCTACCCGAATGACGCGGCCGCGGACCTTACAGTTGGAGGACGTCCGTGACAAAGTAAAACGAAGGAGGGAAAGACACTTTTTTTTGTATACGCATTTCCTCCGTGAGCGACCCCAAAGTGGTCGTGTATCCGTGCGAAAAGAAAACGATGGAGATAACAAAATAAGTTTGTTAACGTAACCGCGGAGTGTTAGGTCAAAGTCTGTCTCCGCCGAAGTAAGGTCACCGCGAACCCGCTCCTTCTTCCCGCCCGTCGCGACCGCTGTTGTGCAATATTTTAGGCAAAGCCAAAGCGTAAATAAAGCTTTGCTGGAACGTCCTATACAGACGTTTACAGAGCGTCCCAACCGTGCATTGATAGCCCGCCGTGCACGGACGCACGTATGTACGCACCAAACAAGAAAGTTGCGCAAGAGCTTGCAATTGACAAGGCGCCCGACTTGGCCCGACGCCAAAGCATTTGCCAACGCGACCATCGGCGTTCCCGCTTTCCCAGCATTGCTCTTGGTCGCTTCCTTGGTCCGCTCGCTCGCTCGTTGCGCCTGGTCGCTTTTTCTATTTTCTTGTAGACTTTTCTTACTTTTTTTTTTTTTACTAACTGGGAGAACATAATGGTGACATTCTTTCACGGAACAAACGTTTGTGCTATATGCAGATCGGCGGTGTTTCTAGCGCGTATGCGAGCAACGGACTTCGCTATAGTAAAATATTCTTTCGTGAGCATTTTTTTCTATAAAACAATGAAACTAAATCGAGTTTTGAGTTTGATGTATCTCTTGTGCATCAGCGCTAGATACGCAGAGAAAAATAGGCGGTTTTTTCCGCTTTTTTTCAAGTGTTTGTGCTCACCCACCGAGACATGGCCCACCCCACTTTTTTAACGTATTTCAGGCGGTTGGGGGGTGGGCGATGACTCGGTATATTACGGTAGTTGTTATTTCCCAATGCGCAGCAAACTTCGAAATGCATCACCGCCGTTCCCGCAGACCGCCTAATTTGAGCGGTAATTCGAAACCGGACTGAGCGCATCCGGCTGCAACGGCACCACTTACGTGAGTGGTGAGGTTGTCGTCACTGGGGACGGACATGAGCCCGACCAGGTAGGCTTCCAGCCTCTCGGATCCGGCTGCCGCCAGATCTGTGGACCGGCAACGGATTAGGGTGCAGCGGAGGCAGCCGTCGCCAGCCTCTGTCACGACGACGAGGATGACCACGGGTTTCGTGGCACAGAAGCTTCATTCGGTCATGCTGTACCAAACTAGGTTACACACATTCCCATTCCATCGTTTAAAATGATAGAAAGGGAATTATATTAGAACTGCTGCGAACAATAAAACCTTGTAGGTTCTTCACGAGCCTCCCCCAGCATGTCACGACCACACCTGGTCCGTAGGCTCGTTTGGGCTTATAGGATAACGTCGTAAAACGACGCAGACGGCAGACGAGGACCAAACGAGAGGAGAGACAGGACCGGGCGCCGACTAGCGACCGAAAGCTCGTTCAGAAACAGGAGCTGCACTTCTACGCTGGGTGAGTGTGCGCAGGCCCAGTACACGGTACAGCGACACTAACACCCTTAATTCTTGTCTCCTAGCAAAGGCCCCCGCTAAGCAAAACGAACGTCGGTTGAAGTGAACGAAAGCTGGTAGCCCAAATTGAAAAATGCCACCTTGCCATCTAACAGAGCTAGAGAAGGATGGCTTACACGGGTGGATCCCTCATTTTCCGTGCGGTGCACCTCAGCTATCTCTCCCCCAATAGCTGGTCTCTATGCTTTGACCCTTTAAAAAGTCATTGATACACCCCAAAAAATTTTTTTGATTTTTTGTCAGGCGATTTATTATGGTTGTCAGAAGACTACCCAATCAATATTTTGCTACAGTGTCACGTATATTTTTAATAAAGTTGAAAAATCAAATGCTTGAAACCGAAACCGAAACTGGGCTGGGGAGGAAGAAGAAATATAAAGGGGGAGAAAGACACTGGAAGCCGCGTGGCTGTGCAACTTTCTTTTTTTTTTTTTGATGAACGTATTTGCAAATTTTTAAAAGCCACAAAAAATGGGTATCATATTTTTTGTTCATTTTTAGTATTGAGTGTGTGCCTTCGATGACCCCCGAGTTTGACTGTCTTAGGTGGTTGTGTCTAAACCACAGAAAACGGCATGTGACCACGGAGAAGAGAGTGAGCGCGACTTAAACCGGCCAGTTCTCCATCGGCAGTTTTCGGGTAGAAGGAAAACTAACTTCGAGCCGCAAATTGTGTTCTGGGTAGTTGAGCTCTCATTTGTCAAGTACAAACGCGAGAGCATCCAGCGGGGGTGTTGCTGTGCACGTACGACTGCAAGTGCTTTTGAAACTTCCAATTTAAACAGGAAACTGCATGAACCCCTAGGGGGTGCTGCCACCATTGTATCGTGAGAGAACTGGAGTCGTTTTATTCACACGGTGTTTCACTTTGGAGGGACCATATTCATAGTTCGGGAATTGGATGCTACATGCCCTTCATATGTCGGCTTCTTCGACAGTAGTGGCAATTTAAGCGACAGCTTTTATCTTCCAATCCAGAGGACGAGAGTTCATCATCCGAGGGCGACGTTCTGTAAAGTGCCTGTGGTTCAGAGTCAAGATCGCCGGAATGTTGGGAAAGGAGATGCGCCAAAATTAAACCGAATGGAAGAAAGGCGACAACTTTCGCCCGCAAAATTTCCATTCTATGCATCTTCGTGCTCCAAGCCTGTGCATTGACCTTTCCTTTGTACTATCCCAATAAATAAAAAAAATAAAAAAACTTTAACCCATGGGGCATGTATTTTGTTTCTCATTCAGGCACGACAAAAAATGGAAAATAGATTTAGTATGCCCGCAAACCCCACGTCTGTGCGGTTTGCGGGCATGCTAAACCTGTTTTCGCTGGCTCACCACGATTTTTAATAATGTGTCCAACTTTCCATTCTCTCAAGTATGACGCAGCACACGTGCAACTCAGGGATGCCCTAAGAGGCCACACTTGCCTGTTCCCGCCAGGGCCATCCCAAAGCACTCCAGCGCGACAGCGAGGAGCCGGCTCTGCCTGACCCACCGGGAGTGACAGAGGAACCGGAACGTTCCCTCGGCCACGCACTCCAGCGTTGCCTGCATGCAAAGCCACGTCAACGGAGCCCCACGTCCGGGACGCTTTACTCTTGCGCGACAAAGGTGCCCCGAACGTGCTCTCGGCTGGCGCGTTTATCGCGTCCTCAAATGCGACCGATCTCTCGATTTCCGCCCGACGACGTCGCAGGAGCGTGGGGCTGTTGCGCGCCTCGATCCTGGTGGCAGCACGGCGGCGAGAATGAATGCGACGGACGCCTGTTACGCTGCAAGTCGTTCCTCAGCCTGACAGTTCATGGAGGCTTCCGCAGTTGAGAGTCAGGACGCGGTGATGCAGCGTAACAGGCGGTGTTTTCACAACCAACCGGCAGGACTGCGACATCCACAGACATGCGCAGAGAGTAGGTTTTGAGTTCGAAGCAAATACTGATTTTGGTCGGATATTTATAACGGAATATCAAATCGTTTCTCTAAGCCTTTCACTACCGCACCACGCTTGAACGAAGATCCAGCTGGACTCGTGAAGGTTCTCCCCAAGCTTCCACTTTTACATTTTTAAGCAAGGTTGCTTTTAATGGAACTATATTTATGAAATGCGGCATCAGAAAGTTAAATGCCAACATTGGGATGGTAAGTGAACAATACATTTGACATAAAATTAAGCCTATGAGATGCCCAGCTGTACCTACTAGTGGGAATTTATAAATATTGTAGCAATTTGCAAATATCTTTTCTTCAGTCAAGAAGGTTTAGCGTAGGTTGTCACGGCATCTCTGCCTAACATGTACTCGTGCATAGCAGCCAGTTTAATCTTGAAAATTTTACTGCAACGTAGAGATCAACATTCACAAAGTTTCTGTTTCTTTTTAAATACACCAGGCGGGCACGTGCGTCATCCCACTTTTAAAGTGCGCTTTTCTCCCAAGCATGCAATTGCAATAGTCATACTTTTCCAAGTGTTGATAGGAGCGGATGACTCCGTTGAGTGCACTTTTTAGGGGGTATTCGCACGGGGGAAAAATCCCTTCCTTTGCTTCCCGAGACGTGCATCACGTGGCAACAATGTCACGCTTTTGCGCGGAGCCGCGCTGATGTAGACATCCCTGGGTGATGGGGAAGCTTCTGCTCGGGCTGCACAAACCTTGGTGTGGAATCTCTTTGCAATTGGCGGTATCTTGTTCGTGTGACATTGGCAGTTAATCAAGGGGGTTCCGATAAAGACGGCGAATGAACGCAATGGTCGCCGTCGTCGCAGCATCGCAACCCATGGCTACTCGAATTTCAGTCAACTAGCCGATTGTAGTGGAACGGGCATCTCCCGCGTCCACATCCGCTGCTATGCCCACGCGATTATTGCGGCCAACAAAAGTCGGGCGGAAGTCGAGGGACAAAAGACGAAGAAGCAGTAAACACAGCAGTCAGAGATGCATTACATGCAGCGTAGCACAACCCAGTGCGATATCTAAATCCTTTCTCCTCAGACGCCCAATTCGTAACCAGACTTTCCCACAACTAGCCAGGCCATCGAACCCGTCTCGGACAAAGCAGCACACGAGGGACCACGAAACAAAACGTACGGTGCTCGACAAAACGAAATGGACTAGCGCAGCATGGGACCTCATTCAAGTAACCGCATATAACTCGCTCGAGAAGTGTGTACAGTCACTCCGATATACGCAGCCAAGATATAAAGCTACTCTAGACTTGCATAACGTAATGGCTCGGCCATTTGGTTGATGGGGTGATCGCTAGAGTCACTATCTAAGCAGGGCTACGTACTCTACTGGTCCATTCGTTTTGCTGGGCACTATACGTACAAGTCAGTCCTCCTCTCCGGTTTCCCCCGTCGCACCTTTCTGCAGACCGCAGGAGAGTACATGCATGCGTGCAGCACGGTACGGGGTGCTTACCGGGTGTGCCAGACGTGGCATCACCTGCCTGAGCTCGCCCAGGGAGCTGGAAACCACGGACCTCGAGGGGTCGTCCAGTCCGCTCACAAGCAGCTCGGCGCATCGCTTCTCTTCCTCGACGTCTGCGCCGCTGTCGCGCGAAGTGGGGTGTCAGACAAGACGCCCTTCGCTCGGTACCGAAAGGAACTTGAACGCGCGCAGTTTACACATTAATTTACACTACGAAATTTCTATTACACTGGTAGCTCTAGCACACTAAACCCTTCAATGCCTGCATCTCCTACATTACAAGTAGGGTTTCCTGTTTCCAGCATTTACTTTTGTTTGAATTCGGGTATGCTTTTCGGGGGTTATTTTTTTCAGCAGATTCTGTGTCTTTATGCGTTGATTTTCGGTGTCGGACAAAATGATCTGCAATCGTCAGGGTTTGTGTCGAAGAAAACAGGGGACTGGCACGGGACTACCCAACGCAGAGGAAACAAGCGCATAGCCCGAACACTTGGAAAACATCCCAGTACCGATAAGAAAAAAAAAAAACAAGGTGTCTGGTTTCTCAAGGAAGCCTTATGGACAGTTTAGGGGGGTTGTAATTTGGGTCAACACAAAATAAAGCCTTACTTAAAAATTCCTTCCCAAAAAGCTTTGATCTGCTTCCTCAGGGACACTTTCGATTCGGGGTTTCTTGGTTTTCCTCCCATTTTGATAAAAGTAGGTTGTATGTTTTTTCTTTGACTTTATAGGTAGCATGTACCCAAAACACAGAACCCTGATTACAAGACGACAGAAACTGTGAACACAGCATATACACGTGGCCCGTAAACACCTCCTGCGCTGAATCAATGAACAAACTGTGGCGCCCTCATTTTGGGTTGTACAAGCTCACCCAATTGGACCTCGCACTAGTTGTGGTGCCATCACTGAGCTTTTTCCTTTCTGTGTAGTGGTGAAGAACGGAAAAACACGCTTCGACTTCGCAATTCGGCTAGATTCAACACCACAAGACAATCGAAAGTGCCGAATTCATGCCACCACCGCTAAGGTACACGTCTCTTATTTCTGGGTGGTGACGTCGAAATACCTGACGTCCACCCGCATTCTTCTTTTTTCTCAGAACGCGTAAAACAGCGTCTTCTGGCTCATGCTTTTAGCATTCTAGCTTTGACCTGTGCTTCAACGGCCTTCGAATTCTTGTAGTTTCTTTGTACTTTCCTCGTGCTCGCGTTGTGCACCGGAGCAGGCGTGCTTTTACAGTGCAACAGTTTAAGACGCTCAAGTTTGTACTACCCAAGACAAGTCCTAACAAGTCCCTTTTTGCAGCACCTTCTGGGCAACGCAGGAGGCCTATTCACACTCCTTTCTTTTTTTGCATTTCTGCAATTGAGGTGCGAGCGCCAAGACTGACATCTGCCTATGATGAATTGCGGTAACAACCGACGCAACATCCCATGGCCCCTGTGAATGTGCATTACTCCTAGGTCTCTTGAAAAAAACCAGCCGCATGCTCTTAAAAAGAAGAGGGAATCTGATATTTCTGGGAAAATAAATTTTAAAGCAGTTCAGCGAGTAACTCTAAATTTTTTTTTCAATCTACTGCCAGCCATTTTCTTGTCGCCTTTTCGACGCACCTCGTTGCAACTGCAGTGAAATACAGAGTGAGCGCCCACCCAGAAGTCGGTGATAACCACGAAGAAACGGAGAAGAGCGCTTGTTAGATCCAAAAAAAGAAAAGCACGTTAGGTCTTGATCCTCGTTTGATCCGACGGAAGGGCATGGGAGTACTGGAGTCCGGCGAAACCTTTAAATTTTAAAGAGGCCACGGCAGTCTCGTCGAGCCTGCTTCGCACCGGCATTCTTGCATCAAGCTCCACTGCCTTATACCGGCTTTTCCGAGAAGCAGCCGACGCGGAGAAACACTTTGGTTGGCTCGGAAGTTCACCGGGGTGGGCACTCGACATGGCCTATGCTTAAGTTTCAGACGTTTCAAAGGTAGGGGAGGGTGCTTCTTGCAACGTGGGCACATGCTCGGTATTTCGAGGGCGATGAGGTCTGGTCACGAGACTACAATGTCACGATATTCACTCACCTCTCTATAAAAGCGGCGGCAAACTTCACGCGTGCAGACGGGCTCCTCTTGAACAGAGCCAGTGAATCAGTCAACGTTGGGCCCCTGATCAAAGAAGAACACGAAGATGCTGTTCAAATTAGAGGGCCATTTACTATTAAGGCTAACTTGTACTCGTAGCTACCCTATATACATTTGCAAACAGTTGGGCTTAAGGGCCTAGTCTGGCCTGTGGATGGAACACGCTGCGTTGGGTTCAAGAGCCCGGACGCCGTAAGCACGCCTTAGCAGGGATATATTTTCCAAAATTTGAAATAGAAGATGTAGTTTATACCATGGGTCCCCAAGCTGAGTTCGTATGAATTCAGGTCTTCCCCGGAGTATACACTCTTGGATTCCCCAGAGCTCTCAAATCTTCTTGATCGTCGCCGTCTTTTAAGTTTAAGCTCTACTTTAGGATATCTGTGCAGGGGACACCGAGAAAATTTGGTAGATCAAAGGGCTCTTGAGGCTACCTTAAAAAAACACTAAGCCAAGGGGAAAAATATCTTTTCTAACTGGTTAGGACAAGGATGTCTCAAAACGAATGTTTGTCGAAAGAAAAAACTTTTTTGCCCAATATTTATGCTACAATGCGAATTTTTCGATTTACGGGCAAAACTGAAATTGTACCCCCGTGGGATGATGATGATAGCGTATGTACCCAATTAGTGTGCGCTCTGAGGTCCAGCGAACTTGGAGCGCACAGTAGTCGGGTACAAACGCTATCATCATCACACCACAGGGGTACAGTTTCGGTTTCGCCCACATATAAAAATATTCTTACCGTACCTTTAAATATTGCGCAACAAAAAACTCTCTTTTTTTCAACAAATTTTTATTTTTAAAATTTTAACCAAATACAAGAAACAAAAATTTCTTTTTTCCTAGGTTCAGTGTTTCTATGAGAAACCCCCGGGCTACCAGGAACCAAGTCTGGAAACCCATCGCGCTAAGGGCATCGAGATGGCCCGAGCACGCGAACGCACCTGCCTGCGTGGCCGAGGAGCGCCGCCAACTGGGCCGCCAGGCACAGCTCCTCCTCGGTCGTGCTCGCCTGCCCCACCAGGGACGCCAGGCGGGTGTCCAGGGAGTGGTCGCGGCACAGCGCAGAGACGGCCTCCTTGCTCCGCTTCATCACCGCCAAGAGGATCCGAAGGCACCTGCGTCGCAGGAGGAACGTCGTGGAAACCCGCGTAAATGCCGTATCAAAAAAATCTGTCACACTTGCTCGTAAGGGTTGGTTTGCACATTTGCGTCCGAGTGTGGCTGATGGCGTTACGACGGCCTTTGGCCGGTTATGACGACAAGACATACTGGCACACTAACGCCGTCTGCCGGGCTGCCCTGGAAACGCTTCCGATCCGCGCTAAACTGGGCCGAAATCTTTGCGGTATGCGCAAGATCAGATCTATGCACTTTCTACGGGGAATGGTCACTTATGTAATGTTTTCGGGATCATCCGAGCCCCACAATGAGAAAATGATGAGTAAAAAGTTAGGAAATATGTACAGTATTTTCCGGGCTATAGTCCGCGGACTATACATGTTTAAAAGTTGACATTTCTGGCTGTGCGGACTATCTACGCGTGCGGACTATACAGGAAATATGTTGTTCAATATCGTTGATTATGACGAGACGGGACGGATTTAGTGAATAAAAGAGTATGTTATTGATAATTTATGCATATTATAGGCTTTTTTTGTGAGCTAAGAAAACATACCTATGTCAAGGTGTGCCGCGTATGAGAAGAATTTTGTGTCGACTAAGCACCAGGTACGGACTATGCACTGGGTGCGGACTACGCAGCGGGTGCGGACTATCTAAGCAAAAACTTTCCATTTTTGACCCGAAATTTGCCTCTGCGGACTATACACCAAGTGCGGACTATAATCCGGAAAATACGGTACATAGGCAGATTGAAATAGTTTTAGGGCTACCAAAAAAAATGGCACCGGCGTGCTCTCTCGTTCTGGTGCACTTCAAATGCAGTCGAACACACTCGAATGCGTGGACCGACCCGGAGAAAGCGAGCGGGTCGAGCACACTGAGCACTCGCTTCTGGTATGTGCGCCAGGGGCAGCCACGGCAGATTGAGTTCCGTACTAAACAGACGATTCTTTGCCCCCGTGCGGCAAACTAATGACGGGCCCTCGACGGTGGCACTGCGTTCACTAATTGTCGCGTCACGCAAGAAAGGCCATAATGACGCCACACCTCCTGTCTCTCGGATCTTCAACGTAGGTTTCGATCCAAGCCTTTGGGGCTACCACTAGTTTCTCGCATCCTGTACGTCGCAAAAGGACGTTCCTCGCCGAATTTGAGGAAAGCGAAAAATAGGAAGCAAAAATGAACATCTCAAATAAATTTCTCGAATCATCTTGAGCATCCCTGCACGGGCCCTGACCCGTGCAGGTCAACACGAGAGACGGTCAACAAACGGGCGACCGACCTCTTACGCCGCTTGAGGTGGGCTTCCCCCAGGGCCGTGTCCAGGAACTGCCCAACCTTTGGAGCTTCAATGTTCCCAGAGAGGTAGGCAACGCAGAAGGCTTCCGCCTTGTTCTGCACAAACACGCTTGGATCCAGCAGGCTGGGCAACACCCTGTCCAAGGCACCTGGAGGGCAGACACGGGCGGCAATTGCATTCACGAACCCACGTCGCGCAGATCATAATTTCAGAGATAACTCTCGCCAATAAAAAACGCTGGCCAGGTGGTGCAAGCTGCCGCCCGACATGAGGGCTTCGGCCTCGTCCATCCATTTGCCCGTCCATCCTTGTGGGCGGAAAGCTTGGATGAAACGTTCGGTTCAGTACTGCGTGGAAGGGATGCCCTTTACGGCCATCTGCTAAAGTTCCAAGGCTAACTTGGTAGAACCAACGTTACTATATCAACTCAGTTGTGGAACTTTCCATAGACGCCATACATTGAAGGGAGTCCGAAACCGTGTCCGATTCTTTTGCGCCGAGGTGGTGCTGCCGGCACATTAATCCGCGCATTTTCGTCTGCTACTGCTCCGCGGCTGCCAACCGCTGCAACGATTTGCAAGTCCCAACCCGCCTCCTCGGCGACCAGCATGGTTTAGGGTTGGTTTTTGCCCTTTCGCCAGTAAAAATACAACTTGAGCATGATAAGCGGTAGGACCATGATGGCATACGCTTTGTATTATTTCAAAATTCCGCCGCCTTAGCTGTGCTGACAGCGCGAAGCATTTCGAACAACCCAAATTCGTCGGAGCCACAATCCGGTGGCTACAATCAGGGCAAGTTTGTACATACTGTAATAGTAGATGTGCTGTCTTACCAAGGCAATTCCATTCCTGGCCGTGATCGCAGCACACCAATACGAGCGTAAGTGTCCGAACGCTTCGATTGCGTTGGGGGCATTGCTTTCGTTCTGTCGCCGTTATTATCTTGGGCACGCTGATTTGATGGACGAGCTAAGTTCAGCACGCCTGATTCTCTGCCTACCTGGAGCTTTTTCGTAGCCTGCTACTGTCAGAAAAAGCGCCACGAACATCCGTAAGCTCAGTAGGCCAGATGCAACGGCCACAAGCGCGCCGTCAATGATGATGATAGCGAGTATTAATACGGAGCGCGTGCCTTCTAACAGGTGCCATGCAAAGGGACCCCCCTCCAAAGTGGAGTTCCAGAAGTGAGTTGGTTCTAATAACGTTGGGTAGAACGATGCACAGTAAAGCCTCGTTATAACAAAGTTGAAGGAGCGGTCGTAATTATTTCGTTATAACCATTAGTTTGTTATAGCCAATGTCCATTTCTTCCCACTATTAGCAAGCAAGGGGAATTATGATTGCTTTGTTATCCATTAGTTTGTTATATCCCGTTTTGTTATAACGAGGTTTTACTGTATAGGAGCGTCAGTGCTAGAAACGGTGCTGCACCGTCGCAGGTGATGGGCTCCCACATGTTCGCACAGAAATGACGAGGCTCCTACTGGGCACCTCCATTGATATTTCTACAATTTGCCCAGTTGGTGCGACTACTGACCCATTAAATTTTTTTTTTCTTCCAGTCGTACCAAAACAAACTCTAAAAAGCATGTGACGAGGCAACGCCTTTCACAAAACTTTCCAGACAGTCGAAAAGTTTGGGTTACATTTCCTATCATTCGCACATTTTCAAAACTATTCCTACGCCCAAATAAAAGGTTTTGTCTCGCACAAAAAGAAAAAAAAACGGGGCAGACTAGTCTGGAGCATAGAGAGCTTAAACTCATCTAACATCTCGTTCGTCCTTGACCACCCAGATCCCCTCGGCATCGGTGGGCGCATCTGAGCTTCCCTCGCGACAACTTCTTAAACATGGTACCGCAAACGATCTGCAACAAACCCAACAGGGATCTCGCGGCAACGGGAGATCCACCACTTCCTGCACGACTGTCTCGTCTGGTGTGGAGCGTCGTCCTTGAGCTTACCATTTGTCGGCATTCAGCGAATAGTAAATTCGAGGACTTCGGGGTGCAGGACTAACCCAGAGGACGCACGGTGTGGCCACATTTGCAAATTTTGTTTCACACGTAGCAAACATTGTCAAAGCTCCTGACACGAGCGCCTGGCTCGCCCGAATGTCAGAGTTACACGAGTGCAAATGAGAAGCTAGATCGAGTCCTGGGCACATGCCAGAAACTCTGATATTGTTGTTTGCTATATAGAAAACGAAGTACAGCATCACTGAGATGCACAAATGCATGTAGAGCAACGAAAGCTTTTGCAGATTGTGTCCCTTCTCCCCAGTTGCCAGCATAGCAGGTGGTTAAAGGCTGACGAGAGCAACCAGAAAGAAAAAAACGCTCCCTCAATTTATCCTTTACATTCGAGAAAGAGGGAAACCCTCCCTTCTTGCTGAGAGTAGCTCAGATACCCATTCCTGTGGGGAAGGGGAATAGAGAGAAGGAAACTGGGAACCGGTGTTCTTCACGGCAGAAGACGATTCTGTAGGTCGGCCTCTTAGTGGAGGTCAGCTGCAAATATTAAGAACGCCCACTAGGTGGCGCAAGCCGCCGCCCGATTCAAAGAGCTCCACCGAAAGCATCCGACTGACAAACCTTGGCGGGCAGCCCACGCCACTCCAGACCCGTGCTGCAGAAAGGCGGTGAGTGCGTGCAGGAGGGCCGACCGGACGCTGGCCTCTTGTCCGGAGATCTCCAGCTTCTCCAGGGCCGCAAGGACGCCGTTCTGTCCCAGGGACACAAAGAGCTTTTCCCGCCTGCCCAGGGCAGCAGTCAGGTGCAGACCAAACGCTAGCGACGACGGCGTCTTGGCACTCTCCAGCGTCGCGGCCAGCTTCTCGCTGCTGATGTTTAACAGGCATCCAAGGAACTCTGAAGGCAGAGAGGCCGGCACATTATGCGACAAGATAATGACAAATGGACGAAAAGACATTCATTTTAGGTTGTTTTGAACCGATCAAGGGTGTCGAAGCACCTGGTACGCCGCTGCGATCTTTGCCTAGACCGCGTGCAAGTCAAGATCACTCGGAGTTCCAAGACGGCAGATGAATAGACCGGTGAATATGTTTAAAGCACGAAGTGCTTTCTTTTTGTAGTCGTCTCAGCAAAAGCGCTCTCAAAACGGCAGCTCCCAAGTTAAATTCGCTGCCCAACACCAGGTGTGTCTTTTCAAGACAATGCTTCTGTGTCCCGTGTCAACATGCCTCCGCATCGCCTGTCAAACATGGTGCCTAGAACGTGCCTCCGACTCATGTGTCTACTGCATCCTAGAAAGGGGTTCCCTGATTTTTGCCCAATGCCGTCCCCGAAGTGTCTTCTTGTCACCGGCCGCGAAGACAGCGACACTTGCGTTTGTTCATGCTTTTTACCAGGACTTCTAGCACCAATATCCTCAGGGCAGTCAAGTCTGGTGTGACACGTTGCGCCATCTAGCTCAAGAACTTTGCAACACTGGGAAGGCCCTTTTGCCAGCCTGCTTGCTCGTGGGGCTGTTCACACATCAATATGAAGGTGTTGATTTGTGCATTTTTGGTCTTTTATTCTTAACATTGCTGTCGGATGTCGCAGGAAAGCAAACGTCGAAGCTGTGGGCACTGTTGTGTACCGGACAGTTTGCAACCCCGGAAGCTTAACAGGCGTGAAGCTCCGCAGGTTTCCGCCGAGGCCGTGAAAATACAATGCCGTCGGAGAGGATCAAATGCCGCAAAACGTGTCAAATAAGCATTCCGTTCATATTGGCTGACTTGAGATGGATTTTTAAATGCGCTATTTGACTCGAAATTTGGAATTAATGCACTCGAAGCCCGGCATTGTCTTTGGATTCAATGCAATGACTATAGAGTCACATCAGTCCCTTGACACTCTCAATGCTCTCTGCTCCGCGAAAACATCTTGATCAAACGACATTTTGTGGATGTTTGATCGTAGTTACCGAAAACCAAAGTGAGCATTTTCTCTGCTTCCCGATTGCAGAACGGAATGTCGTTTGCGCCTTTAGCAAGATCGCGTAGCTGCCCAAGATGGTTGCTCCATTTCGACTCGTATCTATGAGATTCTAACTTCGTCCACGTTGTGAGTAAACAGTCTACTCAAGAAATAACAATAAAAAAATGTATTTACCGCACGAGGAAAGGTTATCCCTGCGGCGTTTATTTGTATCAGCTTGCGACAAGCAACTGCGTACGACACCATCCAAACTACAGCCAGTTTGCACGAGAAACACATTCCTCGGACACCATAATCGTCTTCAACACGGCAACGAGGGGACTGGAAACAACTTCAAACAAGCTGATCACCAAAACGAGGTCAGCTATTCATGCTGGAAGAGTTCACTTGGCAAAAAAGGGTGGGTGAGGGTAAGAGGGACGGGGGGGCACTTTTAGTTTAGCTTACGAAGAGGAGGGAAGCTCGACATTCTTCGCTTTTGTTATCGTTATCTTAAAACGAGTGCAAGCAACGTAAAAAAAATGAAAAAATAAAAACTGTTTTTGTCTACTTGTTTTCACTTATATTTTGCCGTAATATCAGGACATTCAATTTTGTTCTGCTAGCTCCCGTTTGGGTTCTCTACCTATCGAGAAAGGCACCTACTAAAACTCCCTAATGCTAGAACGACCCAACCAGTGGCGTAGGCAGAGGGGGGGTTTGGGGGGTCGAAACCCCTCCCGAAATACCAAAGCTACCCTCCCCCCCCCCCCCCTTCCCTCCCCAACGGGGCCCGCTGGCTGCCCTGCTCACGCAGCCGGTTTTGCACGAGGCACGGAGCAACGGGGGAGCACGGACCATCTCCAACTTACAGGCTTCCGGAAAAATTTTTGGTGGGGTAGAAAATGCTCAGATTAATAAAATATGCAATATTGCTTAATTCATGTTAATTCGATGGGATGCAGAACTTGGTCTCAGATATATAGAGAATGGATATTTCAAGATATTTGTCGGGTGAAGGATGGCAATTTCAACGCAAAATATGACAAACTATACTCACTTAAATACACAGTGCAATCAAACCAATGTGAACATAATACAACGAACACACGGTGATAATATAAAACAATGTCAGTAATGTAAGGAATAATAAATGAATTGTAAAAAAAGCAACGGGTGGCGCTGCGCTCACGCACACCTTTTGTGATCAGAATTACGTGCTTTCGACTAGAAATTACTACGAATAAATAGGTAACTCTGACTAGTGATATTAGAATGCAATTTACAGGTTCTCTTTATCATCTCATATATGCCAAGCGCCTACACATTAAAATGAAGCCGCTTGCGTTGACGGAAAAAAAATATCCCGGACGTCCTCAGCTTGAACTTTAATGTCGCGGTGAACATTAAAAAACGCTATACTTCGTTTCAGCTTAAATCCAGGTGCAGCCGATGCCACAAGCACGAGTTCAGGGCTTTCAGCGTCCCTGCCAAGCACGCGCATTCGTGCAGCGCAAGCATTGTTCAGGGCCACATGTTCACGCCTGTAGCATCGACTGCGTTTGAACTGAAGCTGAAACGAAGCATAGACCGAGCAGTCGCTCACTCGAAGTGGACGCTCTCAGCTATGTTTCCAACCGTCGTAGTGAAGAGAACGAGCGCTCAGCTTCCGCCGTTGTTAAGGGCAAAGCAACTAGAATCTTGAGGAGACGATGGACGTTCTGAAAAAGGGCCTCCGGACAGAGGGCAACCACCTGTATACCGCAGATGTGACGGGCGCTTCACATTTCTCCCTCTTGCATTGGACGCCTAAAATTTCCCCTATTTTTGGCGAAGTTTCCCTCACATTGCGAAAGTCGTCGCTCACGGATGCGATGAAGTCCGTCTTGCTTTCTGCTTTGTATGTCAAGGTGGCATGCGATGCAATTCCTTATTACTATTAGGTTAATCTCTCCGCTGCACGGAACATCAGAAACTTGAAGAGACAAGCCTTCATATTCTCACTACGCACAGGCGCAAGGCTAGTCAAGTTCCTTTCCACGTTCGGCGTGTAGTTTCTTTGTGGTGCGTCATGTCATTTCTCCGAGTGACGGAACGACGAGTTCGGACTGATGACTTCTTCTTACCCCGAGGATATGCTGCTGCTGCCTTTGGATCACGCTGCAAGATAAAACGACCTAGCAAAGATAACACTATCTTTCCTTCGGCATCTGGTTCTGTAGCACGAATTCGTTAAACATTTAATAGATAATAGATTTTGGTTTTGTGATTGTTCAGAATTACATTCGGCCTAAATATGGGCCCCTAAAGATTAAAGTGTTTGTGCGTGGTCGGTTGCTCCCATTTTTCAGTGTCGAGATTTTTTTTCTTTTTTTTTTTTTGCTGTTTATTTTTTTTTTTGTATGTGTGTGAAAGTATAGCTATTTTTGTGTTTTCTCTGGCCTTTATGCGTTGGTATTGCGGTGCTACTTCAAAAAGCGAAGGGAGTTTTGTGTTGTGAGGAAGCGTTTAAAGTTGGTGGGCCGCAAGTACGACGACAGTATAGAACAGTGAGCCACCCCGCCCGTATTCCTGTAAATGAAGCCTGCTCCGTTTTTAAAAATGACAATGCAGCGCTACCCGTATTATCTTAACAGCGTCTCCCTAATCTTTGCCTGAGCGTCCGTGTCGGCGAGCTCACCCTCCGTCATTGACCGGGGGGGGGGGGGGGGGGGGGGAGATGCCGTTGAACCCCTCCCGAAATAAAATCCTGGCTACGCCACTGGACCCAACCACACACGAATGCACATTTATATATTTTCTTATATAATAATAATAAGAAGAAGAATTTTATTTGCACTTCCAAGGGCACAGGTGGTGGTGTGCGGGGCTGAACAAATAGGTGAGAACCCTTACGTGGAGCACCTGTCAGCCCAGATTCTTAAAACAGTCGGTAGTGTAGCACACGATAGCACAATGCTCAAAGATGGTAATAAAGTAATTTCGCAAGGGTATGCTGCGGCACTGCCGATTTTAGCCGTCCCAGCGTTGCCTCATTTTGCTACGGTGGCGCTGATGATCAACCGACGGTGGCGCTCTCTGGAACCTGCCCAGGGCCTATCGCCAGGATTGCGACATCCAACAGCACGACATACCTGCTTCTGTGACGTCATTTGTGGCTACCTCGGGGTCTTTTTTATGTGTGAACAAGGTAGGAAAACATACCACTCGAAGACGCGTTCCAAACGCCTCTCGCTGCAGCTGCGCACACCACAGCAACGGGAAGACTTACCTTCTAGGTCAGCATGCCTGCAATGACTTTATTAAAAGCCGGCTTAACTCGATGTCCCAGAAAGGGCCGTCTTTGTACAGTCGACGGTGAAGAAAGGCAGGCACGAGGGCGGTATAAATAGCACAAAGCATGAAACGAAAAATTCGTACCTTGGTCGTCAGTCGCATCGAGAAAAGTGATGAGCTTCTGAACGAGCGTATCGTCCACGTCGTCTCTCAGCTTTTGGAAGAGTAACACATCAATCACCGAACTCCACTTCTGCCCTATCTCTGGCGGCATCTTTTCGACGATATTCGACGATATTCGCGATATCCTATAAATCCTAGGACGGACTTTTTTTTTGAAGCAAGCGCTGGCCCTCCATGCTAGCCGCCGACGGCTTGCATGCCCACGGTTGGTCAGAAAGGATCACGTGAGGCAATCCAGTTTTAATTAAGACCGTTTTATTTTAATAAATTTGTATTTGTAACAATTTAAGATCACGTTTTAAGTTTCCAAGCATTTAACTTTGAACTCAAGCTGGCGTGGCGAATAGATTAAAAACCATATTAAATAGATGGCGCTAGTGTTTGCCTGATTTCAATTACTCGAAACGACAAACGATATACGGCTCTGGACAAATCGTTTCTCCAAGACGAGCAATCCACAGGAGCAATCAGGCTGTCGAGTGGTGAGCAGGTGAGCACCTGAGGACTTGATTCAATTTACAGGTTTATGCACCCTTTTCTTTTTTGAACTTGGACAGCATAAGATATCAGTAGCACCAACGCCTTTTTCTTCTATTCTGTGTTCCGATCGCACAGCCCAACCGAGAAGATGTCGAGATCTCCAAGACCCATCTGGGACAGGTGTTTCATTCGATGACACGGAGGTGGGCGGTTAGGATTCAAGCGTTACAAGTTTATCCGGTTAGAGCCGACACGGTGCGAACCGGCTGCGTGCGTAACTGGACGTTGTCGCCAAGACGGCCGACGTCGTTGTCGGCTCCCGAGCGGCCCGAACGTCGTCGGCGTCGTCCCGTGTACTCCAACACCATGGCGACCGGAGCTTGAGTGGCACCATGGAGGGGGTCCTCTGGAAGTGGACCAACTACTGGAACGGCTGGCAGCAGCGCTGGTTCATCTTGGACAAGGGCATCCTCACCTACTACAAGTCGCAGGAGGAGGTGAACCAGGGTTGCAAGGGCTCCGTCAAGGTGTCCGCCTGCGAGATCGTGGTACACCAGACTGACTCGAGACGCATGGACCTGGTCATCCCGTCCGAACAGCACTTCTACCTCCGCGCCCCGTCGGCGCAGGAACGCCAGCAGTGGCTCGTGGCCCTGGGAAGCTCCAAGGCGGCCCAGCGGGCGGAACCGGCCGCCGCGGGTGTCGAGTCCAGCGTCCGCGCGAAGAAGTCCGAGCTGCGGTTGTACTGTGACCTGCTTATGCAGCAGGTGCACACCATCAAGAACGCGCCGGACGCGCAGGCAGCAAACGACCTGCTCAGCGCCACGTGCGACACCTTCATCGCCACCCTGGAGGACTGCATGCGGCTGGCCGACGCCAACTTCACCTTCGAGCTGCCTCACCAGCAGGTCAGGGACTCGGCGCTGCCGCACGAGAGCCCCCCGCGCGCTGCGCCGGAACGCCGGCGCCGGACAACCGGCGCCACCGGCGCGGTGGTGACGCCACATCCCGAGCAGCCACTGGACTACCGGACCGACCCGCTGGCAGCGCCGGTGCCACCGGCCCCACCGGTCCCACCGGCAGCACTGGCGCCTCCAGCCCCACCGGCAGCACTGGCGCCTCCAGCCCCACCGGCAGTACTGGCGCCTCCGGCCCCACCGGCGCCTCCGGCGCGGTCAGTGCGGACCTTTTTCTCGACCATGGAGCGCAGCTTCACGGACCTGGAGGCGTCTGACCCGCCAACCGAGCAATTCCTGGGCTGCTGCCGCTCCGTACTGCCCGTCTTCGACGTCCTCGGCTCTACAGCCTTTGCGCCAGTCAAGATGGATATCCAGGGGAACATCGGCAAGCTGCATGCCCACTGGCAGGCGGACCCCGGGGGCCTGCATCGTCTGCTGGCCCTCGTCCAGCGGGAGGTGGATGCCGGGACGACGGGGGCCGCCGGCTCGGCGACCGACGCCCTGCTGTGGCTCAAGCGCGCCCTCGCCTTCATCGCCGCCTTCTTGGGACAGGTGCAGGCGGGCAACGGGGACCTTGCCGACTGCGCCAGCGTGGCGTATGGGAACACGCTCCGGTGCCACCACGGCTGGGTGGTGCGGAGCGTCTTTGCCGTTGCACTCAGGGCTCTGCCCGAGCTGGATGCATTCGTGCGTGCCCTGGCACCGTCGCCCGAGGACGCCTGCCATCCTGAGTACCGTAGGCAGCTCATGGATGACTGTGCGACGTACGTGCAAGCGCTGCGTGCCGTCCTCATTGCCCTGGACGCGTTCTATCTGGGGCATGGGCTCGAGGTACCCTAGGGACGCGGTCAACTGGGACATCCTGGGAAACGCCCCTCCCCATAAGCAACACACAGCTTCCGTAGTCGGTGACGAAAACACAACCTTTAGACGTCGCATCCGACGAGGCTCTTTGATGAAACCCGGTGCCAGTGCGAGGAAAGGGTCACATTGCAGTTGACGACATTCCAGGCGCGCTCGAAATGTGAGAGCCAGAAACCTTCCTGCTGTGCACTCAAACATTTTTTTATGGCTAAAGCATCGTAGTGAGGCAGAAGGAGGTGGAATTTGCTTGTTTTCCTAGTCAAGGTTTCGCAGGTTGTCACGACAAGTTGAGTTCAACCGATCAGGACATTGTTGGATTCAGGAAGTTGCTCGTTGTGAACAAGCGGTTCTCAGTCACTTTACAAAAATGTATTCTGGTAAGAGCAAATGGAGGGCTGGGCCCGCATGTCAATAACCGCCAGAGATGATTGCAGTTTCCGAGCCGGGGGCCGGGGGTAATTTATTTTGTCGGTGTGCATGATAGTCCATGTGTGTATGTTCCCTTGGAAAGAGCCGTTTTGTCCTGACCGATTGGCCGAGCACCGCTTGTTGCACTCTGAGGACGAGCAATCCGAGCTTCTAGAACAAGGTTGGATGGACTAGCACACCTAAAGAATTATAAATGATTGATTTATTGTGTAGCGAGCGCTAATTACTCTAGGTGTTTTTGCAATGCTCCTCTACAAATTGTGCATCCATCTGTCCCACACATTCCTTAGGCCCGCTTCAGACTGGATAACTTTTTGAGCAATTCCGTGCTTGCCAACGAGCTGTTGCCTAAATCCTTGTGCCACATCACGAATTACTGGGATTGGGTCCTGATTCAAATTGGCAAACAACTTTTCTGAGAAGTTTGAAGCAGTACCAGTCAATCAGTGGCGTGATACTTCCCAGTGGCTCCCTCTGGTGGTAATGATGATAAGTGAAGACAAGGTTTCGCTTAGTTCTAGCTTGCTATGGATTCTTTTATGGCTAAAGGCATCAGGGAGATCAGATAGTATTATCAATGCTAGAAAAATAAAATGAAAACGAAAAGTTTTTTTTTGCACATTAGACAAGACGCTGGGAAAAGTTGCTCAGCTTGAAGCCGGCTTTACACTACGATGCGTTCATTGCTCTGGTCCAGATAACGTCATTGCAATGGTGCTCATCCGTCCAATTTCGCATTGCTTTTATTCTTGACAATTTGGGTTTGCAGCATTGGGGAAAATAGGCACAACTAAGAGGAGCTGATTAGAGTCCAGTTCAAACCGATTTTAATTTTTACATTACCTGTGCCTTCTTTGTACTGTGCAAACCACTGCAATCCAGTTGCTGTTCGTTTCATTACCATCAGCTCAGTATGCTTCATGCAGCAGAACTGCACAGCAAACCTCTCTTTTTATTTTGATAAATGCATGATTTTAAGTGCCAGTATTTTGATAAAGCAAGTTATGATCGCCATCTTTCATATTTTAATTTTTTTTTTTTTTAGTGCGCATATTAAGCGGTTCATCCGTGGTCACCACAAGAACTTCCAGCTTTGTTCTAGAACCTTGTACTAAATTTAGCCTTGGGCTAGGCAAGTTGTGGAGTTGAGTCCTAAAACAGCCGATTGACACGTCTAGTGTGCTCTGTGAGGCCGTAGAAACCCTGATGGGACAAAAGTGGAAGGTGTCTGAATGGTTTGAATGCCGCAAATGGAACACACACTTTGTCGGTGCCTGGTCCAGTAGACAGGCTGCACTGTTTGTATGATAAGAATTTTATAGCTCGAAGGATATATTTTGGGGACTAGTGGTGCATCTTGGAATGCACCGCTGCACCTCTACTCACCTTAGTGGGCCACTCTTGAGGTGCTGTCAGTGAGCTCCTCAAGGTTCTGCTTGCCGAGAGATTAGTCTAGCCTCACGTAAACAGCCAAAAGACGGGCAAGATGCAGTGTGTTAAGTCGCGTCTGTCCCTGCCAGCTCGGTTCTCCGTGGGAGAGTGCTTTCCAATAAAGCAGATCAACAGTCGTTTGCATGGTCATCTCTTTTACAGTTTGAACTGGTGATGGGCCGAATCGGTCAAGGTTCGGGAAAGGTGTGTGCCGAAATTTTCTGACTGGTACTAGTTGGCAAGGGACCAGGCAGTAATGCATGGGCCATTTATGGCCTAAGGGGCAAGTGACTGGTAGGTGAACAAATGTTTTGGAGATTTGTTTTGAAAGGAAATGAGGGAATTGGGCATATCGAAAAATATTATAGCAGACAACATCTATGGAGAGGTGGTATACATGCCTTGCACCTGCCGTCATCTCGTAAGCTCTCCGGCCACCACCTGACAAGAGGGGAAGGAGGAACTTGCCTCTCACCAGGACTCGCTTTTTTGTGTTCCAGATTTACCCAGACGTCGTTATTCTCCCTCTAGAAGATTAATCCTTCATTCAAAATTCATACAAAAGCAGCTTTCCAATGCGGAGAGCAAGTCGTCTGCTTCTTGCGCAGGAGTTGCAGTGACGTCAGAAGGAGGCCGAGCTCTGATTGGCTCTGACTGAAGGATAGTGGGTAGATTTCAGAGCAAGCTGCCTTGAGGTCTACCTACTATCCATTCAGAACCAATCGGAGCTCGGCGTTCTGACGTCACCACAACCACTGCAAAAGAAGCAGATGAACTTGCACTCTGCGTATGGGTGATGGGGGGTGACGTCAGATCCAGAAGGGGACATCGAAAGAAGAAATATACAAGAATATTAATATTTAAGGGGAATGGAGATAAAGCTGACAACACTAATGTGTTGTTTCTTAGTTGTACTGTTGATTATAACTATAAACGACTGGTTGAGATATTAGTTTCTCTTGATTGACAAGAAAGTCAGCAGCATAATGTTTACAAGAAAAGTGGTCTTGGTTTTGATCAAGACGACTATTCACTAAAAGGCTGGTAAGAGTACGGACTTGCAGGGATTAATGAACTTGGTACAGAAAGAAAAGTCCACCATCCAGCACCATCCTAGCGCGAAAAATCACGATAAAAGGAACACACCTCGATAGGTGGCGTAAGACGCCGCTCAATTCAATGGATTTAACCGTATAATAACCGCGTGTATCTATACCTAGCAGTCGACGTAGAGGCAGCGATGGCGGCGACCTTGAAGCCGGTCACCCATGTGCTTTTCGACATGGATGGCCTTCTCCTAGGTAAACTGGCCTTTGATCTTTGTAGAGCGCCTTGCGCTCTAACCGCGGGTCAGCCGGACTCGTTGGCCAGCTTACTTCAGTGGCCCTGCGAACCGACTCTCGGCCTCAAGTGGTCTCCAAGCCGCTTTCACGTTTGGGGCCGAATGCCCCCCCGAAAGGAAAGGATCGGGCCTTCTGTCTGTAAACTGCAAGTGACTGTCAAGGGACTGTAGAGGGGCTGGACCCTTCGTCTCGAGTCCTGTCAGGGTGACGTTCAGTCCCCTGGCCTAATACCAAACGGGTCTCTTGAACTACGGGCACAGGACCTCAACACATGCCCTCGTTGACCTGCAACTTTTCAGCTTCTTTTCATTGTAAAATCCGGAAAATACTCGTCGGTAAAATTATTGCCTGATGTAAATGGAACCGAAAGGCTCCGATATTCAAGGTAGACAATTCAAAACTTTTGGATACTTAAAAGTAGTGGTGTCGCGTCAGTAATCACGTGGAGGGGCCTTACAGTTAACGTTCATTCAAAACGACGGACCTGCTGCTATTTATGTGTTGTAGTGCCATGGGCGTACCAACCGGGGGAGTAAGGGGGGCGCTCCTTCCCCCCCCCCCCCCCCCCGGGAAGGTCTCGGTGTGTGTGTGTAAGGGGGAGGGGGGGGGCAAGGCATGTGTTCCCCCCCCCCCTCCCCCGCAACAGACGCCACTGGGCAGGGCAAACACTGGCCAGCGGCGCCCAAGGGATGCCAAGGGACCGCCCCTGCCGCCCTCCGGCGAGGGTGGGGTGTGTGGTTTGCCCCCCCCCCCCCCCCCCCCCCCCCACTAAAACAAGTTGGTATGCCACTGTGTAGTGCTATTACCGCATTACTGGACCACGAACGAAACTAATCTAGGCAGGTGCATTGTGCAAGCCACTGTTCAGGTTTCGGAGTTTTCTCAGGGAGTAGGAAGCAGTGGTGTGCGAGAAGGCTGCCTTGTGGCCATTGCTTTAGCTCACACTCTCCAATGCAAAAGTGTGACGGTGGCTTATCAGCAACAAAATCCTTGTCAAGTATTTTGCAATTGACTACGACTGATCCTAATCTACTAAATATGTAATTAGAGGCTTTGAAGTGTACACTGCACATACTACGTTTTATAGTCCATAGCAGTGGTTCTCAAATGGGGGTCCGCGTTCATTAGTCAAGCCCGGCAATAAAAGTTTTTTTTTTTCCAGGTTGAGAAGAAATGTTCCAGTTTTTGGGCGAGTTTCCTCGTATGCATGTCAATAAGAAAGGTCTACTTCACAGTAGCCCTTACTTAAATCTATTTATTCAATTATTGTTATATTTACCCTATACCTTCCCCCTCCCGTCACCCCCGAACGGGGTCCTCCATCATCTCCGCCGATCCACAAGGGGTCCGCGAAACATCGATGGTTGAGAACCACTGCTCCACAGCATAACTTGGCAAAGGGCAATGCATGCAACAGCTCTCCAGATGGATGCATTTCAACAAAAGAATTTCGCATGCCTCGTTCTAATTGGCTCTGGGGCTGTGGTTTTCACTGATTGAATGAAACGAACTATAGTAGATATTGCTCACAGTGAAGTGGCTTTCTGATTTTTTATGTATGGACACTTATTATTCATAACGGGCCTTTTATAAAAATGTTTGGTGCTATCTGTTGGCAGATTAGAGAGCGTGTTTGAGGGCCTTAAAAATCTAGCAAACTATTGCACCTCTAGTAATGTTGCGTACGAGGCTGGGACAAATTTGCGAAGTGTTGCAATTAAAACGCCGGGTGGCATGCCGTTACTCACTACCTACTCCGTCCCGTGAGCGCCACCAAAAATAGCAGATGGCCTTGTCTGCTACCACTACGCGTGCAAATGGGCAACCCCGGAAGAGGCCCATTTTGGCGAATCCACCCTTTCCAGAAATATAGGTTTGAGAATAAATGAATTTGGTACCCTCCCTCGAAGCCGAGAAGGAAGTTTTTTTTGTTTTTTTTTTTGTATAAACTTTGGGTGAGAAAGACAACCCACAATAGGAAAAGAAATGCGACGTTGAGGGGAGCCGTATCTAGGTCGGTTTGTCTCGACGAGCAAACAGGACGTAGCCAACTATTTTACGTACGAACATTCCCAAATCGGCTTGGTCGAACGGGTCGGAGAAACTTTACGAGCGCGTTGTTTTTTACTCAGTCGATCTCGAACCCAGTCCCACACCCAAGTTACAGCACCTATTTGGAAAAAGGTTGACTGAGAACGCGTCGAGCTCGGGGCCACTGCGTTGACCGTGTGTCAAGGTACGGTCGCACGGAAGACGCCGCGTTCGCGTCGGACATCACCACAGAATTCTCTATGGACACGCTTGGAGCACTTTCGAAATATGCTTGCCTCAAACACGTCTGCAGTCAGTTTTCGTGTGACCAACATGACCAACAAACAAGGAACAAACATGCCTCGGGCATTATCTGCAGGCTGTCCTTTGTATGATGTCTAAGCAGGGCGACCGCGGCTTTATTAAGGGTATGTTGTGCTGCAACGGCTCAGTGACCGAGCCCGGCGTGTCTTCCTCCAGACACGGAGAGGCTGTACACGGAGGCGACGCAGACGATTGCCCAGCGCTTCGGCAAGGACTACACCTGGGACGTGAAGGTCCGCGTGATGGGTGCCACGGGGAAGGACTCTGCCCGCATGGTCATCGACCTGCTCCAGCTGCCTCTCACCACGGAGCAGTACCTGGACGAGATCGATGTCCTGTACGCCCGGCTGTTCCCCACTGCACAGTTGATGCCAGGTCGGCCTCGTGCGAGTTCCTCTGGGGCTGGACGGTGTCCACCTCTCGGGAGGCGCGTCCGCCCTTAACGGCGAATGCTGGGCAACATGTGCAGAACCTTAATAGGACTATGAAATGATTTTAGACAGAATTTTACTGACTGCATATTGTTTATGGGATAAGAGTTTAAAAAAAACTAGCATGCGACATTAGGAAGGCTAAATTCTGATTTTTGGCAACTAAAAGCTGACTATATCTTACACTCTCTTCCTCAAATGCTCACAATGAAGCTGAGTGCATGTATGGATGGATTAATAATTGAGTTGCGTCAAAACTGTAATGGGCGGCAGCTTGAGCCACCAGCAAAGTAACCGCAACATCCAAAGTGTCCGAGTATTTTTTCCCCTTATTTCCGAGCACGTCAGCTGAATTTAGCTTTCGTATTGGATACGAGTAGTGTATCACTCAAACTGTGCTCACAAACGATGAAATTGTCAATGAATACCCTCGACGAGAGTGGTCGAGCTCAATAACCGGTTGCATAAGCCGCAGCGTCAACAAGAGCGCGAGAGGTTTGTCCACGAGGAATTTCACGAGGAATTTATATAACTTTGTTTCTAGCGTTCTGTGTTCGCAGCCGCAACATGAACCTACCATTCTGTACTGAGTAATCGCCACTCCTCCAAAAAGAACAGGGCCCATACTTTCACCGTACCGAAACATTTTAAGCTCACTGACCTGCAACGTATCCGTAGCCGTGGCGTTGATCGCACAAGCCCCGCGGACCAGCGAGTCCTAAAAAGCTATCAGCGTTCATGGAAACCTCGATAGGTGACGTCATTTCAACGTCCTTGCGTCAAACCGTCGACGCAAAAGCATAGTTTAGATGCAACGCGACACTTGACTGACACAGCTCCCTGGCTTGGCCGGAACAACTTTCATTTCCGGTAGAAGGCCATACTTTACGTCACGGCCACGTTATTTCACATTTTGGTGGCCGAGTCCGGTCGGGTCGGGGAGGAAAGCAGACATGAGTTTTCATCTTTTTTTTGTCTGCAAAACTGGAGGCAGTAAAACAAAGACGGATTCCTGCCCTGGTGGGCTTCATGAACATTGTCGATCAATCGGGGTCTTCATTAGTAAAGAGCTGGAAAATAATTTCATGGCCCCTTTAAAGGTGAATGGACGAAATGGCGGCAGAATGTTTTCCCTACATTCGTTACACTACCTCTACGGGGGAAAATGCACCGTCCCCTGATGGTTGACAATGCCGACTCTGCAGGAGCGGAGAAGTTGGTGCGACACTTGCACCGGCACGGCGTCCCGATAGCTATAGCGACCAGCTCCAAACAGGAGTCGTACATGCTCAAGACGAGCCTCCATCGAGAGCTCTTCGGCTTGTTCCATCACGTGGTGTGCGCCAGCAACCACCCGGACGTGCAGAGGGGCAAGCCCTTCCCGGACATCTTCCTCGTCGCAGCCTCCAAGTTTGAACCGGCCCCCGAACCCTCTCAGGTTAGATGGATGCATGCACGTGGCTAGACCCTTTGATCAAGTGGTATATCGTGACATTTGTTTTCACTTCAAGAAGGAAGGAAAGTTTTAAAGCGCAGCCTTTAGGCACCCGTTTCCGGCTTGAGCGCCGTCGCCGTCATTGCGCGGTGCATTATGGGAAACGTCTCATAATGCTCCGCGGTGACGCGCGGGTTGCATTATGGGACGTTTTCCATAATGCACCGCACGGGAGGGAGGAGGGAAGAGGCGGAGGTGAGGAGCCTGGGAGAAGTAGATGAGGAAGGAAGAAGAGAGGGTACGGATGAGGAGGAGAGGCATGCTGTACCCTCCCCTCCTCCTCAAGAGCTGCGCTCTAATTCGGCATTACAGGCAGTTGTAAACGTCTTTCATTTTTTCGCACTGTTCATACGCCACGCGAAATAGTTCTTATGAGATTTGGTTGTCGGAGGAAGGAGCAATGTTTTTGGCGTTTGAAACATGTACGTCTTGATAAGATGACATATATCTAAAGTAAACCTGCATATATATTAATTCTTTGTGTAAAAGGGGGAATTAGTAATGCTCTATGAGGAGCCGGAATTTTTTTTACTATGTTTCTTGTGGTGAAAACGAGCATGATGAGTATTTTTAATAATGCTGGTGAGGTGTTGTTATCAGCTAACTGGTGTTAATTGTATATCTAATTAGCATAATAGCAATTCTGGGAAGTGGGCCTCCCCAGGCTCACTTGGCGCAAGCTCGAGTGCTGGGGTTGTCACAAGCACCGGCCACTCTTCTGTCAGAATAGGCATTGTCTTGGCAGCATTTTAAGGGGGAGCAGTTGGCAGATTTCAATCTGCATAGGGGACTAGAGGGATTCTGTTCCTTCAAACAGTGCCTTCATCTGCAATTCCTGTTATTCCGTCTGCTTTCGCTGACACTCACGTCTGCCGGCCTTTTAGGATTTTTTGCTCAGGGTTGCCGTTGTACTACAGTGCCTAAAACGCATCTTCGACTGGTGTGTTTTGCATCCCATACATGGTGGCATTTGTCTGGATTCCTGTGTTCCACTACAAATTAATTTCTGAAATCTTTAGTATCCTTGGGTTGAATGGATGCACGCATGTCTTGCACACATAAGCACGCAATGACTGGGCCGGGTGTCCTTTGGTGCTCATTTGTTTACGTTACCATCTGTCTGGGGATGGGGATAGCAAGTGCTACCAATTAGCATTGACAGTGAAAGGAAGCATTCTGTGTGGAGCACTCGCCAGTGGCGACCCAGCCGTTTGCGTGGCTGGGCCAGCAGCCACGCAATAAAAACTCCAGTAGTTATTATTTTATTGATGGTAGTATAAACAGTAGGCATTTCTTCTGGTAGGCTCCTAATCACTGTCGGTAATATACAAGTGAAATGTTTTGCAATTCATTTCCTACACCCACATCTTTCTTAAAGTACTGTGGCAGGGAGAAGGTGGTCAGAACGGACAAGATGTCAGTGCTCCTTTACAAGGAAAATAAAAAAGTTAAAACAAGACGGGGACAAGGAATACATACATACACAGCTCTGACTGGCCTTCTACTTGCCGCTGTCTATTTTTGCACTGTTTTATTGTCCTGTCTTGTACCGACTTGTCCAGTGACAAGTGCTGCTTCAGTTCAGAGTTTGTGACATTTGTCGTCTCGAGCAAACTTGAACGAAACTTGGGTTGTTTGTTTGACATCTCGAGCAGCCAGTGGCACAACGTTGTGTGATTTGTCTTCTATAGTCACTGACTGCGCGAGAAGGGCAGGGCGTGGCCTGATATGCGTACCACCACTCTTTATCGAGCTTGATTGTCTTGCTCTTCAAACCCTATAGCCTCCGATAGACCTTTGCAGAAAGCGCTTTCTGGCCGCCGCAATTTTGCGACTTGAGCAACCCCTATCGGCCAGAAATTTCTGCCACCCTCCTGAGCTGTGGAAACCCGTTTAGTGCGACTCCCCACTTGCATTGTGCACTTGGAGTTCGCTGGATTTTGTTGAAAGTTTTTACTTTATTTACTTGTTCAAGATGCTTACCGTTTTTGTGTTATGTTCCGCTGTGAGAACAAGGGAATACCAGGGCTCGTAGCATGCTCGGCCTTCGCGGGAAATGAATGAAGAGAGCGAATGTCAAGCAGCCCGCGACACAAGCGGTTCGACATTCTTCGAGGATTATTTCCTTTGAGATAATCTCCGAAAAGCCTTCCCTGCTATGTTCTCGGTCTTCGCAAAAATAGCGAGTAGGGTCAGGTCCAGGGTGTGAGGACGGAATAGACACGTTCATTCATTTGCTTTGGTGCTGTACAAAAAAGGGCAGTTTGATACTTTGAACCCATGTTACGGATAAAAAAAACAGGACGTGGGATGGCCAAAAAAACACGCTTTTTGTGTAAGCCTCATCAAATTATGAGGCGCTGGAGAAAGGCAGCATTCTGCGTTAATTCCTTATTTGGAACTCTTTTTGTTTGCCTTCCGCCCATTGAAAAGCATGCGGGAAGGGCCTTAGAATGCACCTGGTGTCGCTGCGCTGCAGCGACACCAGGTGCGTTTCGGCCTTAAATGAGAAGCATGTTTCTTTGGCCATCCCGCTTCCTGTTTTTTTTATCTGTAACATGGGTCTAAAGTATCAAACTGCCCAAAAAAGTACCTCTCTTCAGATTGTGTCCCAAAATAAGCCTGTTTCTGTCTGATCGTCGTGAAGCAATATCGCCGACACTGTACAGTGAAACCCGTTTAGAACAAACCCACGTACAGCGAATTATTGTCGATATCGAATTCACAGAAAATTTAAATAAAAATTCATGTAAAAAGTACTTTTTATAGCAAACAACATATTGGCTGTATCAAATTTTTTCCACCTGGAAGACTTCCAAAAACACGCAAACAATCGTCTTCTAGCCTGTCCTTTCCCCCAAACAAGTAGGAAAGAAAGAAAATTAAAAAAACTGCAGGTCGCGAACAAAGGTTTTGATGTGCCACCACATCAAAACCTCACGGTTGTTCTGGGGCACTAAAGGAATAAAGGATTATTATTATTATTATTAAAATTGAGCGAAGACAAGCGATTCAGAAGGGGAGAAAGCTAAAAAAAAAATCTGCAAGCATGCAAAAAAAAAAAAAAAACTTTTTAGTGCCTTGTCACAAGGCGGAAGTGAAGAGATGAGAAAGAAAGAGAAGCTCTCGCCTTACAACGCACGCATCGTGGAAGTTCGCTGTAAATGGTTTTCACTATATCAAACTACTTGCTATATCGAACTGATTGTAGTGTTTTCAGCTCTTCGTTATAAACGGGTTTGACTGTAGATTGGACGTACTGTGTTATTTGAACCTTTCTCAAATAAATCCTCTTTGGGTAACACGGCACAGTGGGTTTGTACAATATGTTGTTCGATTGGTGAGACTAATTGAATTTCATGTGTGAGCGGGGAATACGCATGCTATCCTGTATGGTCGAATAGTTTTGACAGTTAAGACCTTTGAAGATTGACACAACCTGAGTGTATGGCATCGTTACAAAATCAACATAAAATGAAACAAACATTCCAGTTGAATTTGTACGGACTCACCAAAAATAGCTGTCATTTGTTTGTTTTTGTTCCTAAAAATAGTACAATGCTTTCTTAGAAACCTCAAGAAATTCTATTCGCCATAGAACACAAAGAAAAAATAAAACGCATCAATTTAGCCGCCACCAGCGTCCGGAATTGCGCCTACGCAGGCTGCCACAGCCCACTGACGAGAAAACCCACAGCCCAGCGTATTTGGGCAACGCTGACGCGCACCCTCAAAACCGGGGACGTGCACTGTAAATCACTGTGTTCGAGACTGCCACGGGAAAGGTCTATAAAAAGTAAAAATTGGCTGCAGAAACCACTATTGTTGGTTGTCTATAAATTGCGATGGCATTCGTCTGGGACAACCTCTAAGTCTAGGACGACCTCTAAGGCGATTTCAAGGACAACCTTTAGGACAATGTCAAGAGCAACCTCTAGGGTTATCTTAAGGATGACCTCAAGATGACGTCTAGGATGACCTCAAGGACAATGACCTAGAGGCTACATTTAGGACGACCTCTAGGATAACGTCAAGGTCGTCAGGTTTTTTTTTTTTTTAAGGGAAGACACTGCCCAGAGAAAATATTTTCTGCTAAAAAAGTTGATTTTCAAAAATGACAAACATATTCGCATCCACTAACATCTAGAGAGTATTCCCGAAAAGTTTAATTTTCACTGCACAGTTACTTTTTTTATAAATTATTCTCTGTCCACCAAAGCTAAAGAAAAGGTAGGGTTTGGAGCACTTTGAATGCATTTTTCTCCGTTCCACTTTTTGGCATAAATTCCATTTTAGTCAATCTATCGTTTGATAGTGGCAATGCAGGGAAGGCTCATTCTTTCCTTATCCTGACTGGAGTTTAATAAGGAATGCGGCTATGGAACTTTTTTGTCACTTTATGGATGTCTTTTATAAAAAATGTTGACATTTTGCCAAAGACGCAGAAGACCAAAAAGTTGACCAATTTTGCAGAAGAGAAAATTTATAGAAATAAATTACTTTCTAGAAAAAACGTTCCATAGCCGCACCCACTAGGCATTCTGCTACATACCTAGCAAATAAAAATCTTGAATATCGTGATAGTTTTCTGACGATAGATTAACTAAAGAATGTAGGCGTGTGCTGATAGAAGTTATTCTAATTTCCTTCTGATTTAACCGACAGACCTGAATTTTTTTGTTTTTTTGTACACCCTCTAGCATGACCACCAGCCTACCCTGTAAATTTCATTAATTTTAAGACAAGGGTTCCAAAGTTGACCCCCCTAGGGGGTGTGTCCCCTTAAGAAGGTGTGAATGTGAAGGAATGTGAGCTTAAATGGCCTACTGCGCATACCTACTGTGCATTAGAAGGCGAGGAAGTTTAAAAACTCTGAGGGGGTGGCAGCTAAAAAGTGCTATTGCATTAAAACAAAGCTAGAAGCTCCACTTGCTGTGCCCAGCACACTTGGATTTCGGTTGCTTATGCCCCCGACTGGTAGAGTTGAGCCCCGTGTTGTCACCTAAAATAGTCTAAGGCACACTACAAACAATCTACACCACTACAGTATGAGAGAAAAACATAGTGACAAATATATGAATATCTGTTAGGTTTTGATAAATATTAATGATATAAATAATACAGACAAGACAGAAACATGCTTCACCACATTTCGCTCTTCACATAGCTGACTAGCGGGTAACACAATGCTTCATTCATTTTATAAAGATCAGGGAGATCAGTGGTGCGTTCATTGTTGCATTTGCAACGAGCAATCGGTGGCACAGCATGCTACAGGCTCCGTATTCGACAATCGCATGAATGCCGCGTTCTCATATCTAATTATTTTGCCTTCATTACATTTCTGAATTTCATATTGTGGTAAATTTCATGGAGGCTATTTATCGGACCAAGTGGTGCTCCGGGCACAGTAAGTAAACAGGCTTTGAGCCTATTGTCAAGCAAAGGGTGGGGCCTACAAAAGCTCCTCCCTGTTGTTCTTACCCCGTCAGTTGCAACACGCGTGTAAAAGCTCGTGAGTTTGTACGAAGCAGGGTTGCAAACAAATCACCCCCCTCCCCCACCCGTTCACAGGTGCTCGTGTTCGAGGACTCCCCCAACGGCGTGGCGGCTGCCCTGGCCGCAGGCATGCAGGTGGTGCTGGTGCCCGATCCCCGCCTAGACGAGGCGTCGCGCAAGCGGGCCACCCTGTGCCTGCCCTCCCTGCTCGACTTTGAGCCGCAGGCGTTCGGCCTGCCACCCTACAGCCGGTGAAGAACCGCAGCCGCAGAGACCCCTGGCCACAAAAACTATTCACACGGGTATCAGCCGGGGAGCCCCAGCGGTCGGCTGCGGCCCGGAAGCCGGCGACAGGTCGGCACGGTAGTGGCGTAAATGGCGGGACTTGCGATGGTTGTTTTGTGATTCCCTCCCCAGCTTCCCAAGAACATAGACCAACTAGACTCCACGCCACAGTGAAGTCCGGCGCAGTGGCAGGCAAGCAACAGTTCTTCTGTAGCCCACTTCGGACGACTACGGAGCCATGAGATACCTGCTGAACCCCATGGACATTTGGTCTGAGGGGTTAGCAGCCCTAGTTGGCCTTTTTCGAGGTAGTGTCCAGGCCATGCAGGGATCCATGACAGGGTCTCCCGCCTCTTGGCTGAGCTTTCAGCTCCTTGGTGCACCTCTAGGCTTTTTTCTTTGTTTGGAGCGACAATCTCTGCCTTTGGGATCACCTAGTGTAGTGGAGTACAAAGGGCCAAATTCGTCTCGAAATTTTCCGCGTTCCAAGAAAGTTTCCGTTTCATTGGCTAGCTCGGCAGATGCCGCGGGACGCCGTTGCACAGCCGACGCTGTTCACGTTTGTCGTGGCCCGAAGTGGGAAGGTGCGGACTGTGGCGGGAGTGACCAAAGCAACTTCAGCACCCAGAGGCCGTCTCGGGAGAAGTGAGCGCTCGACATTGGACACGCAGAGATACGTCTAGGCCACCGGCGTTGCCCGCAATATCGGGCCAGCATTGACCGTGATATCGGACCGGCGTCGACAGTTCCTTGCTTGAACAACGCGGTCGGAAGCATTTAGTATCTTTGTGGTCAACGGGGCGTTGCTGATTCTCGTGTCCCGATTTAGCCGCGGCAAGCTGCACGCTTGAATGGGGATGACAAGCCACCTTACTGCATTCAGCCATCTTGGCCGAGTTCCGAGACGACACTCGGGCCCCAGGTGCTACTTGTAGACTCGCTAAAATTGGAGCCTTTTGGCAGGGATTGTAGGAGACACTTTCGTCTTAATTCCCCCGCCTGTTTTTGCTTCATTTTGCCGGCGGTAAGGCGGTCTTTGTGGCTCGCAGAAACCTTCAAGTGCACAAAAAACTCGGCTGATTGTTTTTCCTCTAGATAGTGCAGTAAGGAGGACTATTTTTAAAAAGTACACGAGCAATAAAACTGCTTATAGACGCACAGGCACTATTTGTGTACGAACGACAATAGTCGCCCGGATATTCTACGAGCTTTCCGCAGAGCTCGCATCGGGCTGTCAAAGTATTTTATGGCTACCTGCCGGTAGCCGTTGTGGTAATAATAAATTTAATATATGCGTGTATACTGGATGTATGTATGTAAAGAATAGGTAAGAGGTTGGAAATCGGAAGGGGCCAGTTGTTTGGCGAATTGTTCCCTGCCGGCCTTTTCTCCCCTCCCAAGTGCCTGGCTAGGCGAGGGCAGCTCTGGTGTGCACTCCCTGTTCTTACTCTTCGCTTCACCATTGGGAGTCAACCACTGACATGCCAACGGTGTCCCTGTACTGGTCGTCTCTATTACACTCAATGTACCGGTGTTTTCTCATAGGCTCGTTAAGGTTGGTATTAATTGTCCTTTGTGCCAGTCAGTTTTATGCCGCCGAAGGACCTTCGCCTCAGTGTCTTGTCAGCTGTATTTCTCCATCTTGCGAGTTAACTTCAGTGCGGGCACAGGCGCGAGTGCACGGCTAGCAGAAGCGCTTTCTACGCTTGAATGCTAGTGCGGACGAAGCGTTTAGTGGAGCCACGCTTTCACGCCCGTGCCCTTGCCTGTTGTATGTAGGTAAGCTGCGAAATCCTCATTGTGTATAGGTAAATTGCAATGATTTTAGGAACCGACTTTGCGACTGCTTTAGGCGATTTTGGGTTACTTGTGGCTCTCCGACTTCTTTAGTCGAGTATGCTTGTTGAGAAATGTGAATTTGTACAGTCCGGCTTTGTGCCCGGAAAGTATTTTCCTACCTAGATGCTGAAGACGTGCAAAATTTTGGACTATGCATGTTTTTATTGTTTTTTTGTTTTTTTTGGCAACTCTGAAGTTTCTGTTAATGTGCGAGTGTAGTGCAATGGTTGTCCCCACTGGGAATGCCACAGGCTGCCCTTAGCAATTGGAAATAGAACAATATCTTGTTTTCAACCCTGTAGTTTTTTTGGGGGAGTGGTGCACGTCAACCGCACACGACAGGCAACAAACCAGTGATGTTCCAAGGCGGAAATTTTGCGTTGATTAAAGGTTGCCAGGACACGCTGCGTGTGGGCAGCTAAGTTGTGTGCAACCATGTGCAACCTGTCTACAGCTTTGCCTTGCAACAGTCTGTATACCTTGTCTTACATCAGCTATGGCTGTCTTGCAACAGTAAAGGTGCAATTGGATGGGCAGTATGCTTGTGTGCAATCGTTCCTTTATTTGCACTGGTTGGAAAGGCCGGCAACTTCATGTTGCCATCTGTGCTTAAGCATGAAAACATGCTACATAAAGCACGAGCTTGGATCAAAGATGACGACTACAGTTACTGAAATCGTCTCCTATCCAAGAGTCTCGTCAGCTGAGTACACCAATGCATTTCCTGTATTATGGAGTTAGGTACTATCACAATCAATATGAGTGCGAACACCGCTCCGCGTGACCTGCGGTACTATCTGTGCCCCCTGGCGATTGCTGTCTGAAGTCTAAGTGCATCTTGCGGTCGAGACATATTGTGTCCATCGATCGCTGCACCACTCCGCACTTCCGGGTCGTCTGCTAGCGAAAAACGGTTGACGAAACCACGAAACTGTTCGCCAGTGACGAAGAGCATGTTTTGCTAGCAATGTGCGCCAGCAAAAATAACTCGCATAAATATTTTTAGGGTCATCATTCTGATGAGGAAGTTTTAGTAGATTATTCCAATGACTCCGATAGCAATACCCGATACTTCGCCGACGCCTTTAAGCATGCATCATATTGTTCTCGAAGGCATCAGAACATTCAACTACGACTGTGTATTTTTTACTTTGCGCGAATTTTGCGGGTGAAAAAGACCGCCAATGCGCACAGGCAAGAAGTTGGCACGGTGCGAGCGTGGGTGATACCCTTCCTCATGGAAAACAGCGCGAAAAAAATGACAAGGACATCCCGTATGTTTCCTCTACGTCCTCGTAGTTTTTTTCATGCTGTTTTCTATGATGAAGGGTATCGCCCATATTCGCACCGCGCTAGCTTTTTGCCTGTGCACATTGGTGGTCCTTTGCTCTCGCAAAATTCACACAAAGTTAATACATCTTTCCGGTGTTTACAAGTTCACGGTCCAGCGTACGATCTTTACAACCCAGCACATGCGTTTTCGTCGCTTTGGAAAGCTGGCAAAGCATGTGCCATACGCACGAACACTCAAAATGGCACTGGCCACACCCCTTTTTTTGGAAAAGTCTACAGACCTTTCCAGCGGCGGTCTCAAATGAAGCGATTTACAGTACGCGTCCCTGGTTTTGAAAGTGTGTGTCAGTGTTGCGCAACCACTGAGCGACTGGGCTGTGGGTTTTGCCGTCAGTAATCTGTGGGAGCCAGGGTTGCGCGTCTGTTCTCCGCGTGCCGCCGCGCCACTATTCGCAGAGATCCGATCACGTGAGGAGCAGGCTCAAATGCCGTGCAGAAAAGTAGATGTTGCGCACGCCCCAGCGTACGTTCCCCTACTTTTGAGTGCACCGCTATTCGCCGAATTCAGTCACGTGAAGAGCAGGTATGCCGTGCAGGAAAGACGGTGCTATGGGGATGAACACGCAACTCTGGCTCCCATAGGGAACCTATGGACCGTTTTACTGAAAGCCTCTTATCCGGGACTTTCACTCTTTCTAACGTACCAGCAAGAGGAAAGCGCAGGTGGCCCTTTCCCTTCTTCTCTCGCTCAAAATGGCACTACCCACGATAAAACGGTCTATACAGGAACTCTTCACGGGCCTAAGGCCCTTATAAAGAAGGTAGCGACATCATCACCCTCCTCCTCTGACTTGCACAATTTTGTTTACGTTCGCACTCACGTATGGACGGTAGCGCCGTTTGCATCGCTTCAAGATAGCGGGCGGCCAGTGCTAATAAAAACATATGCGCGGACTAAAGAGCACTGTCACGGTACACCCTCTGCGTTCAAGTAGATGAACCGCGAAGAATATGCTCGAAGAAAGACGATGGAAGCCGTGACGTTACACTTTCAGCGTTATTATTATTATTATTATTGATTGAAGGGGACATGCACGCTCCTTAATCTTTTATTTATTTTTTTTTTTTTTGTGTGTGTGTGTGCTTTTTTGCACTTTCGCGCATTGACGGTAGCGCCGTAGCGCCGCCTGGATGGGTCTTTACGCGGGCCACTCGGAGCGGTGTTCGCACTCATATTGATCGTGATAACCAACGAGGTTGGTGATAACACAGCTGCTGAAAGGTTATTATGCCAGGCATTCAAGCTGAAGCTGTTCGGAGCAGTCGTCGGTATGTGTGCTTGTTCTTTTTCAGCGAAACAGTTGTTTGTCTTCAAGGCCTTGTGGAACCTAATTATTGCTGGAAATGTTGAAGTTTTGAACAAGCTGCTTGAGATATTAAACATTTCTCTAACCCAAGACGGAGGCTACAAAGGGGGGACAAACACAAGATGTCTCGTGCTTTTCCCCTTTTTGTAGCCTCCGTCTTGGGTTTTAAAAATGTTTAACATTAACCAGGTCGCCTGCCTTCTTACGTTATCTTCAAGCACCTTGAGGGGGAGATTTTTTTTCCCCCTCTTTATAATTGTTTGGTTAAATAATTCAAAAATATTTTCAACAATGCTACATAAATTGTCCATGTCGCTCTTGCGGAATAAAATATAATTGAAACTTGAAAGCACCGTTGCTTGCAAAAAAGCCGATTAAGTGACTTATGGTTTCTTGTAAAGAATGTATTGCAAAGTTTATAATTTGTGTCGTAAAACTAGGGGTGAAACTGGGAATCGTTTTTTGATGAGAGTTGGACTTACAGGCCCCAAGCACTATACTCAAAATGTTATTTTTTTATGTACCTAAATACTGGAAACAGCAATTTTAGATAAGAACTCTATTATGTGCGATGAAACCCTTTTATCAAGAATCCAAAATTGAGCTTTCGTGTGGAATTTAGAAGGCAACAGAAAAGCAATGACCGAAACCGAAACTTTATATTGTCGATTCAAAACAGCTAGGTACTGTTTGTTTTTGTAATATTCATTAGTAATATTTTGTGAATATTTTAATTAGTTAACCATCGCTTTATTGTTAAAATGTCGTTTTTCGGTTTTCTTACTCCTAAGCATAAGCGTAACGTTGGCATAAACTTTTCTAATTACTAATCGATCGTGGCTGCACTGAGAAAGTAGCAAAATCCAAAGCCAGTTGCCATAGGCAACCAGCAACTCTTCTGCTGGTTCACTTTTTGCTTCCATCTGCGTTCCGGTGAGAGCGGCTCGACGGCATCGCAAGACCAAAAGTAAATATAAAGCAGATATAAAAAGGCGCCGCCTTCTTTCCACATGGCGCAATGTTTGTACACACTCGCAACAGCACGCCTGCTGGCACGCCCCGACTCACTCTTGCCCGTTTCCTGGGAGCCGCGCCAAGTTGTCCGAACGGTCTGAACCGACGAGCGGAACTTTCGGTTTTCGGACGCGGAAGTCCGGACGCCCTCTTTCATTTCTACCCCGCTCAGCTCGTCCGTGGAGGTGTGGCCCAGCTGACGCCGTGGAAACGCATCGCCAATTATTTATAACTTCCGTTTCGGGCGATGGCGAAGCGACGGAGGAGCGCGTATCTTGGGCGGCTGTCGTCACACGCGTCGGCACGCGCTGAGTGAGGGACGTTCGAGCGTTGGCGGAGGCGGCCTAGGCCTACACGCTGCGGTCTCGGCGCTTTTGGCCAGCTGGCCTGTGAGCATGGAAGCCCTTTAACCTCCCTGAATCGACGATGGCTTCTGGGATGCTGCTGCGGAGTCGGTGCAAAGATGGTTGCCGGTGCGACGAGCACACGGCGCTCGCTTCGTCGAGGTGAGTCCGACAACCGACGAGCCGACTGCGTCCGCTCGATGGGGCTGCTTCAGTTGGCTGCGCGCGCAGCAGCGTTGCTCTATTTAATTTTGCCAGCTGTTGACGCACGTGCTGCTCGCAATTTTCGGCTTCTCATTCTTTGCGAAGAGGTCTGCCAGTTGCATCTTTAGTCGCAGTGACAGGTCGGTGAGAAAATTTCCATTTACATCCACGAACGCGAGCCTCGATAGAGCGGCTTGTAACGACTCGAAGCTTGCGGTGACTGAATATCGGCTTTCACTCAAACTTGTCGCGACGCGCGACTGTTTACATTTCGTACCCGTCGCTTGCGGCATATTTCCCGTGCACTTGTGGTGCTCCCAAAGAAAGCCTCGTCTCATTTGCCCGGGTCTCTAACGGGCGCCACGCTGGGACATTGCCACAGTGGCGGGAGTTGGATAATTGAATCTCGTCTTATCTGAGCCGGCATCTCTGCCGTTTGCACCAGCGACCGTTGCGCGCTGTGGATTCTTGGAGCTACCATGTGTTAGTCCCCACACAGCACTGCAGTCAGATGATTGTAGTGAATGAAAGGGTCATTAATCGCTTCTACCGACTCTAGCTGTCAGCGAGTTCCCACAAACAGTATATCCCTCTCTTTAAGTGCCAGAAGGACCATGGCAGTCGTGGACAAAAGCTTCGAGTAATGGGTCTGCTTACCATTGCATCTTGAGATTTTCGACAGTGGGCCCTTGTTCATCTCTGAGCTTCCTGGTTCTAGCAGTTGCACACCTTTCAGCTCCCATCGTTGCAGGCATGCAAGGTACCCAGTTGCCAGAAGCAGATCTGCTCCTTGTGCCTCCGAGCATTTTTGACAAAATGCTGTATGAGGGGGAGGGGGCAGAGGACATCCCAACAAAATGGAACATTTGGAGGGGGGTGGCCGGGGCCGCATGGCCCCCCCCACCCCTGGCTACGTGCCTACCAGCACTGCTGACTTTTTTTTTAATGCATAGCGTAAGTAGGGTTAGGTCTTACTGCCTTTGCACCCACATTTGAGACGTTGCCAACATAATGTTATGGTGTCGCGCGACCTTATTTCACTTGAAATTGGGTGGCGACATGATATTGCGCATGTCGCGGTGCGTGACATCGCTTGACACAGTGACATCGTGCAACACTGTGACATCCTGCTTTCCTGTCGGTCACGTGACACTGTGGTGTGGTGACGTAACCTGATCTCATGTTAGGTAAGGTCAGGTGACATCAGGACGTCGAGTGAAGTTTGGAGGGCATTTGGGATACACTAAAGAGACTAGCAGTTTTTTTTTTAGTGTGTGTGCGTGCGCGCGCGTGCGTGCGTTTGTATGTGCATGCGTGCGTGTTTCTCAACTGGAGATCCCGCGGGGTTCCTTCAGGAGGGTGCTGGAGCGGGTCGGCAGTGGCAACTCGGACGGTTTGGCGCAGTACCGCCTCATCGACTTCGCTCCGACCTCGCACTCGACCCCCATTGGTCTTCGGATTGGCAGACCGGAGCATTGGGCAGCCAGGCAGGTAAGCCCGTGCATCGAGATTGCCAATAGGTATGTTACGACAGTCTCCATTTATAATTGGGATTCCCTGTTTTCGGGGTATAGTTTAATGGGAATTTGGAGAGGGGGTTTTCTGAGTTTTTCTTTCTAAACTCTGTTATTCGATATCAAGTTTTGGTGTCGTTTGCTTGCGATCGAGTTCTTGCGATCGCTCGTGACGGGAGAACGATTGTTGGATGGACGCGGCTGAACCCTCTGAATCTGGCGGCAGCTTGCACCACTTAGCCAATGTTTCTTTGTTTTTTTCTTACCATTCATTTAACATGGAGTTATATATCTCATGGTTTATTCTTAAAAGCTATGTATGATTTGTACGACGGAGGCGCATCTATGCAAACGGGTGCCCACACCTTCCGCCCTATAGGTTGCCTGGAAGTGAATAAGAAAATATTTGTTTTTTCCTCAGCCTATGCCACTAGTCGGATAATCTCTTCTCGGTCATCTCCCCCTTCCCAATGTCTATTTTTCTCTCACTGTCTCTAAATCCCAGTGCATTTGTTAAATTAGTCGCCTTCTCAGCTACTAGAGGGTGAAGCCCCTTGCAGTAAAGTATCAAGCGCTCGGCCGTCTCTTCCTCCTCTCCACACACTGGCACGCTGGCGCCATCTGTGGTCTGACCCCGGAACAGCGTTTTACTAGAGTGAAGGTTTTGCGCTATTGGTGGCATCTAATGTAAGGTCGTGGATGGCACGAAAAAGCTCAGGTGAGTGCGTGGCTCCGAAGGCCTCTGGTGCCGTCTAATGGAAGAAGGCTGAGCTGTTGTCGAGGCTATTGCACGCACGAGCGGCATTTCAGCACCCGTTTGATTTCTGTCGTCGCTCCGCACCTGGTCGGCGAGTGATCGCTGAGTAGACTCCAACAACAATAGTGCTCAGTGATATAAAAAAAAAAAAAATGCTTATCATTGTTCATTTTGCAGACTTATTAAGCGCCCGCAAACTAATCGCTTTGTACATTCACCCAGTTGGTTCGGCCATGCTTCATTTTGCCTTTTGCTGCGGGACGCTGCCATATTCGGCGTCCTGCTCGGTGACAGCTTGTCTAGCAGGGTGTGACAACAGAAATCGAACAGCCGCCAAAGCCTCGACAACGGTTGAGCTTTATTCCGATGGGTGGCTAACTCAAGGCCATGAAAATGAAATCACCAACCACGCCCTCAGGACTCGGGGGCTCGACGTTTCGAAACTGATCTGGCTTCTTCATCAGGAGTTCACTATTTACAAATGAGAAGCGGCGAACAAACGTTTCTTAAAATTCTCGGACGGCTACGCTTTGGTGAGGAAATATAAAATTGGGAAATGTATGGAAACTGACGGTGTTCCGTGGCCACTTGATAGACAGCGCCAGTGTGTGCTCTAGTCGTAAGAGATTTTAAGAGGTTCTAAGGCACACTCTCGTGAGCAGTGGCAGGCGCGAGGATGAGTCCTTATGTTGAAACAAGTAGGACATGAGCATGGAATTCCCCAAATTTCACGAAAAGCAGGCATGACCCGAACGCCTGGGAAACGTCCCCGCACAGATATGAGAATGAGACGAGATAAGAGAAATCTCGCGGACAGTTCATTGGGGGCTGTGCTTGGGCTCGGTGCAACGAAAAACAAATTTTTTTGCTTCCCGTGACATTTGTTCTTTTTTCTTGTTCAAGGAAAGCTCCGATTTGGGGTTTCTCGGTTCTCGCCCGACTTTGATAAAACCGGCTCGGGGGTTCATTTTCGGGGTTAATATGTATTTACCGAAAACACGGAACCCTATTTATAATGCAATTTATCACCGTCCTTCGTTAACTACTGACTGGTCCGGAAACTTGGGCGTCTTCCGCCCTAGTCAACTTTGTCGCCGAAAGTTCCAGAAGTGGCACTCGTCCATGAAAAACCAAAACAATAATAAAAAGAAAGTTTTAAAAAAATCTGATAATTGTAGGTAATTTTATTTCAAGTTTTAGTATCCTTAACGTTACATTTCAAACGTTCCAAAATAATACGACTCCTAGGTCTCGAGCGTGGACGGTGTTTTCAGTGGTCTCATCCTTTCGACGTATCCACGTGCGGTTTTGCGAGAGGAAAGACACACCTGGCAAACATTCTCCACGGTGCCTTCTCCGAGCCCATGTCAGTCTATTTCATTCTCCGAGCGTTTCCGATTACGTGACGGCTAAAGTCGGCGGCGCTGCTCTGGTGCTTTGTTCGATTCGTCCCCCTTAAGAAACTTTCCCAGGCGTGACGAAAAGAATCCGAACCTGGTAAACTTTGGAAGGTGGCGACGTCAATTTTGCGCATTGCATTCCACATGCGCATGTCGGTTTGCTCACAGCAAACTGCCGGCGTAACGCGCCGGTTTTGGTGGATTGCACAAGTCTGGTTGCATTGCGGCAGGGTGCAAAAGTCCGGTCGGGCTTCGCACATCTGCAGGCAGGGGCACCATCGCCTTGGGAACGTTCGCTCAGGTGCGATCATGTGCCGCACCGCCTCGAAAACGAGCGCGTGAATAAGGACGGTTTTCTTGAGCAACTTTCGTGTTGCGCATCTCGTGGCGTTTGCCAGAAAGACGAGCAAGCATGCCACACACTTGTGGCGTGGTGAGGCGGCGCTGTTCAGGCAGCTTTCTTTTCTTTCGCTGTGCCCTCGATGCCTTGACTACCAACCGCACTTGGGTCGTGTTTTGGAGCCCATTGGGTGCATTCCACGGCAGACGGCAGCACTGCCGTCGTTGTTTTGCCTTCTTCGAGCTATCTGTTTTTTTGTTGCAGAGTTTTACTGAGAGAGGGCTCTATTTTCCCATGAGAAAAAGAAATGGATGTCCACAAGCATAGGGAAAGGCGACGTGGCTTCAAGGTGGCAGTCCGTTTTAGCCGATGGACGAATGCGGAAACTTTTATTTCAAAGCAATGGACGGTCTACCATTTCCCACAACGGCTTCAATGAATCGGAAACTTTATAAAGTCGGCAATCCATTCTAAAATTATGAACACTGAATGTGTGCATCAGACAGCCAGGAATCAATAGCGAGAGCAACAAACAACGTCTGGAAGCAAAACGAATGTTACTTATAATTTTCGTGAAAATGACCTATTTCAAATAGTGACTCGGTGTGATTTTTGAAAAATATAAGTAGTATATATGCAATGAGTTAAAAGCCCTTTTAAAGGCACTGCCTTCTCTCGCCACACAGCAGGGCATCCTGAAAACAGAAAGCACAACCAGCCTGCAGAAGACTGTGCATTTCGAAGACCAGCAAAGTACGGACAGAGCGACCAGCCTGCAGAGTACGGTGCAGTTTGAAGGCCGGCAAAGAACTGACAGGGCGACCAGCCTGCAGGAGACGGCGCGATTCGAGGACCATCAAGCGACGGAAAACCACATGTCGGAGTCCTCGACCGACCGCCTCCGACAGCATGGGTAAGCGCCGCACATCAAAGGTTGTCTCTTGCGCCGGGGCAGACCGGCGTGAGGTCTCGTAAAAGAAACGTTCCCGTCACGGGTTGGGGCAAGATTCATTTGAGACGAGGTGCACAGACACATGGGACGGTACAGACTACACAGGCTTTCAACTTGCAGCAAGGAGTGAACGTCTTTGTTGCCAGTCGAAGGCCTGTGTCTTCTGTATCTTCCTCTTTCGGTTTTTTTGGTCTATGTCCACTGAGAGGGTGAGAATTGAAAAGGGAAGTGTCGGTTATCCCGCCTCGAAAAAGACGCCCTGTCATTCTCATTCTGTCGGCGACTCTGTTCGCCAACACGCTCGACCTTGAAAGGAGTACAAGGATAAGCAGATTTGGCACTCCTTGCAAAATTCTAGTTCTAACCATAGATGCCTGAAACTGGGCGCGTGAACATTGTTTCACAAAAGTTTTATGTGTATTTTTTTTTTTTTTAGAGCTTAATTCGGAGCTGGTGAAATACAAAAAAGAGTGCAAAGACTGTGGACGTGCATTTTCCATGTCCTATACCGAGTGTTTGTCGTCTGCACACTGGTTCGCAAGCTTGCTCCCGGGCGGTCGTCGTTTATATATTTCGTTCAGATTATTACTTATCGTGATTATCCTGCTCGTCGCCGGTCTCTACCAGGCGTACTCGGCGTTTTTGCATTCGGCGAGCCACCCAAAAGCGAGCTGTCAAACTGGTGCGCGGACGACAAACACGCTGGTATAGGACGTAAAAAATACATGGCCGCCGTTTTTGCTTAACTTCTAATATTTGACCACCTCTGAGTTGAGCCCTAAAAGTTAGACATAGCTTTTTACGAAATTACGTTTACGTGCCTTGTCTCAGACATGTATGACTTGGCATTTAAATCTTTTGCAAAATGTGCCAATCGTGCTGGTCATTACGCCCTCACCCTGTACACGTCCTTTGTTCTCGTGAAGTGTCGTTCCTCGTAGCGCACCTTTTCCTCTGGGCGTCTCGCTCGTACGAATGTTGCGGGTGGTGGTTGCATGGCGGGGGCTGTCAGTGCCGAAGCTGCGTCCGTTGGTTCCGTACGCCGCGTTTCCATGAAGCGAAGGGAATTGTGTTTTTTTTCTTAGAGTTTGTTGGCATTGGTGAAGTGACGGCGTTCGAAGTGGGATGTCGGCGACATAATGATGTTCAGAACTTGCTTGCTTACCAGATTCGAGAATTTATGTGGATATAAGTTTAGAAACTATAACGCTTTTTTGTTCGTATTTTGACCCTTGAGTACCGTGGCCTAAGCAAGGATGTATGACATAGTTTTAGGGACATGGCAGAAACGTGTTGATGCCATGTATTGGATCATGTATGCATTTGAACTGAGAGTGTAGCGCACGTCCTTGTTAAATGAAACTCGTGATTTCGTTAAGTGGTTGCACCATATTTTCTAAAAAGGCCACGCTATTGTATGCTCTAGGTCTCTTCGCTGCACTTTTGGCCCCTTCTCTCAAAGACATCTCCAGCATGTAGGTCGTTGACCGGAACGCTTTATACTGCCACTCATCGTAACCGGTGTAGGACCAGCTTTCAATGTTCACTGCCTAAGCCCAAAATGCACGGAGGACGCCACACCTCACTCTAGAGGGGTCCAACCGCCGCCACAATTGACGACAGGTATTCTACCGTTTTCAAAGCTTGGCTGGCGTCGCACGAAAATTCAAGAGAATTTTTCATCATTTTGCATTCCTCGTTAATTGCTCATTATTTCGACGGTACACGCTTTGGGTCCATTCATACCTCAATGTTCCGGCGAGCATCCGGAAATTTCCCATCTCGACGGAAATTGACAAAGTTGTGAAATGAGCTCGGCACCAACTTGCATCATAATCCTGGCCGAGGTGCCCGCAATCTGACGGAGGCTTACTGCGAAGAAGACGCCGTGTAGCTGACCTTTCGGTTGCACGTCAAAAGATCCCCAGGTGGTCGAAATTAATCCTCAGTTCTCCGCTGGGGCGTGCCAGATGCCCGTCTTTGGTTTGGCAAGTAAAGCCCTCAAATGTTTAGCTCCGTCCACTTTGGCATTCCCTTTATCCGAGTCGGTGCGAGTTCTGACAAGCGCAGCATTGAAGAAAGCGCCACTGCTGATGCTTGGATCGTCACCGACGTCCTTTTTCTCGCAGCTGGCACCAAAACGGCTGGGCCTCCTCATCCCGCTCGCAGTGGGTACGTGACAAGGAGTACTCGGAAAGCGAGGAGCAAGTGGAGCAGTGGAACGGTGGGTCACCTTGGTCGTAGTTCCGTCTCGGCAGCTGCATTCCGCCAAACGTCGAGAAACCGAGGAAGAGGAGGAGACTAGAGCATGGAGGGACGTCGGAACGCCGAGCTCTGGACGGAATGATTAGTAGTGGGTAGACCTAGAGCTAGCTGCTTTTGTCTCCACTGCACTCGTAACCTTTTTAAGTGCGGTAGCATTTCTGAGCAGACGTTTCATCTTTTTCGTGCCGTCTGCACGCTGTAACCAACAAAGCGGGCAGCGCACATCTGTTACCTACCCACTTCAGTTACGCATACGGGGACTAACGCAGCCAACATGTGTATGATGTATTCTATTAGGTTCTGGATGGCAAATACAGTTACCAAGGCTCTTGCTATGTTGGAGATACGTGTAATGTTTTAATATCCCTCTAGTAAGAAGGAAAGATGAAAATTGCAGTAATGCTGCAAACAAAAGTCCTTGGTTGGTCGCAGGAAGTAAACGACTTTGTAGACCTTGGCAAACAAATGTTCTTATATTTTCTACGGCAGTTCCCAAGTGTTTTGAAAAAGAAAAGTTGATGCGGTACAAGACGATGCGAAATGCCTTCGCATTTCGACAACAATCTGCGCAGTGATTTTGGCAAGTATTTTGTTCTAGATTGTGTACCACTGTCAGAGGCTCGAGGGTTCGTTTATGTATTTATTAAAATATCTGCTGTGCCATGACTCGTTAAGGGAGAATGAAAAACAAATAATTTCGCAGAAACTAGGAACAGTTCGAGCGCAATGATGTTGTTGAAACTTTTGCTTGGTTACGATGCTTGTAATGACAACAGTGAGGCTCCTTGTTTCGCTACTTGATTACAGTATAAATCTACTTAGGCGGGGTACTCAAAAACACTACGAGCTCAGTGGCACATAACCATTATAACACAACAACGAGAGTCATTGGTTGATTTTTGCAATCCCAGGCTTGTTTTGGAGAAGCAATTTGTTCCGCAGCAGATTTCCCCAGTTTTGCAAACATGATCCCTTTGTTGTGATTCTACGTACAGTCTAAGCTCGTTACAAGAGATATTTGGATATAACATAGTGATTTGTGAAGTTCGGTTGGTTTTCCTCAACATACTATTGACTCAACTCCGTATCTGCATAGAACATACTCCTCTTACAACAGAATGAAATCTTGGTCAAAATCAAGGTCTGTTATAACGAGCTTAGACTGTATATATTTGATTTCTTACGTGGCATGCAATGCCAACTAAGCTACTGGCACGAACGCGTGCAAATCGAACGTTAAGCTAAAATGCAGGCTCTAGAGTCTCTCAAGTACGACAGCTTGGAAATCTGTGATACTCGTTCGACCCAGCGTAAAGTTGAAGACAGGAAAGCGTCGAGGTAATTCTACTCGTAGGCAGTAATGAGTGGCCAATTGTCGAGGGTATACGTATAGGCATTGCAACTTGGAGGAAGCAATGTTAAACTTCCTAAAGTAGTGCCGTTTCGATCACGGACTCGCGTCCTCGGGAGGTACGGGCTTGCCACAAACGGGACAGAAAGGCACCGCGCCGCTCAGCAGGCCCTGACACCCAACGAAACGTCGGAGGTCGAAGTGTTGGGGCACGAACTCTGTGCACGCAGAAGCACGTTCCATGACGACCACCGACGCCCGATGGGGGAGGATGGCACTCGAAGCAAGGCCGGGCAAGCGGAAGATCTACGTGGTCACGAGCGAGACCACGGAGGCTCGACATGTCCAGTGGGACGCGGACGCCCTGCCGGTCGCTTCCCCACCGTTTTCCTTTGCCACACAAAACCTCTGGCGGCGCGTCGAAAATTTTTCGAGTGAGTTGGGCTTAGGATTCTCGGACGACTACGGGGCTACGGCACCTCAATTACTCAATTTCAAAGTGAGAGCTAAAAACAAAGGAAATAAACTGTGGCGGTAGTGTTGTGCTGATCGGAGAGGACGGAGTGCTTCTCTGACGTCGTCTGTTGCCGCTTTGGGACCGCCTTCGACGTTCGGGGAGGGACGCTGAAAGCGCTGGTCGGAGGAGCGGTCTGGTGGCGATGCTCTTAGGTCGTTGGTTCGTGAACCGGGCTCCATCGTCTGAAGTGTTCAGAGCCGAAAAAGAAAAAGCGACGCGCCAGGAAAGCGAGAAGTGTGCAGACGGGCTGAGCGTTCGGTGGCTACCCAATGAACGACTCCGGCGTGTTCTCTCGTCCCAAGAAATTTTAAGAGGTTTTAAGGGCTGATCTTCGCTACCCCAAAAAATATATGTGGAAAAATAATTCGCAGAAAGTTTCAGTTGTTTACGTCGCATAGTTATTTTTTTTACAAATCGGCCGATGCTAAAGAAAAGGTAGAGGTTCGAGCACTTTGAACACATTTTTTTCCGTTCCACTTTTTTGCATAATTATCACTTTAAGAAAACTGTCATTTGGTAATGGTACAAAAGCAAAGCTTACTCATTGTATGGGCAATGGAGTTCTGGCATTGCTTTTTTTTACTTTCTAGATGCCTTTTATAAAATATTTTTACATTTTGTCGACAACATGAAAGGTAAGAAATCTATTTGAATATTCAGCGCGATGTCAGCATAACATAAATTACTTTATGGAAACTGTTTTTACTTCTCCACTCTCCAGGCATTCTGCTGCATATCTAGGGGAGAAAAATGTTGGATGTTACATTAGTTTTCTATTGATAGTTTTTCTAAACAATGTCGGTGTGTTCCTGATAAAAACCACAATACTTTATTTCACAATTTATGCATGCAGATGAATTGTGATGAAACTTTGCACTGCATTCTGCCTCACAACTGCCAGTATATACTGTAAATTCCATTCGTATTAAGCCAAAGGTTTGAAAAGTGACCCTTTTGGGTAGTGTCCTCCCTTAAGGGGGTAGGGGGGAGAGGAGGCAGCGTACCGGCTTAACTGAGCCCAACGAAAAAATCCCGAGTAAAGCTGGAAGTAGGGGTCGCGGTCGGCAGGAGCGACCCCCAAGGGTGCCCAAGGGTCTTCTTTCCGTCCAATGGCGTCTTTCATTTTTGTTCGCTTTTGGTCATTGTCGGAAGGGGGGGGGGGGGGGGGGGGGGGGGGGTGTCGGTGTCCTTCCAAACCGGAAGTTTCCTCCAGATTCACCTCTGGTGGTGTCACGTCGCCTCCAGAAGCTTCATTCCCGAACTAGCCTTAAAAAGGGATACTGCATCGAAATTCTAACGAATTCTAGCACCTATTTTATTGCCCATTCCTGCCACACCACGGAGACACCAATTTTTTGCTCGAAAGGAAATTGAAACATTATTTGAAAGGAGTAAACCGAATGTCGTTACGTCGCTCAGAACTTGGAAGCAGCTCCGCTCCGCGGAAGTACGGCGGCAAGCCGCGGATTCTTTATTATGCCGGCGTCGCCGTCTTGGACGACTGTGTAGACGTTGGGGTGCACCCCCCGTTCCCTTCCCGAGTGACCCGACTTGTCTCGCAGGCAGCGTGACGCGGTACATGTACCTGGCTGCCTGCTGGCTCTTCGTCGCGGACACCTGGCTGCTCTCCAGGTGGGTCTCGTCGGGGACAGGGATACGTAACAACCTTCACCCTCGCCGTGTTCCCAAGTTGTCGGTATTATCGTTTCATTACATATTACTATGCGGCCCAGGGTGTCCCGGGCGCGAAGAAGATGGGTGCTGGCCTTGCTGCTGCCGCTGCTTCTCTGGGCCTGTGCACGTAAGTGACCTCGGAAGTGCCACATGGATGGATGGATGCATACAGACGATGCCCTTTTTAAGTCGGGCAGTGACTCGCGCCACCTAGACAGGGATTTACCCGGTGCCTGTGGATTTAAAAACAGTTGGACGTGTCTTGCGGCGCGGAAGCGGCAATGAGCGGATTATGGTTGCTTTGTGGCATGGAACGCTCGTTTGATGATCAGACGTTGGCATCCAGGGCCCGTTTGCTCGAACCGCATCCCTACCGAGCCAGTCACGAGATTTCAAAATCCCTCTCCTAGGTACTGCGGCTAACTTTAGCCGCGGTTAGCGCTTCGAGCAAACGGGCCCAGGCACGGAGTTTTCCCCACCGCCTCAGTGTGACAATCGGTGCTGCCCTGCGATAGGAGAGTCTCCATTCCGCCCTAAAGGACAGATTCCTTTCATTGTTTTTATCGGAGAAAGCGATGCAGTTTTCTTTCACGTCATCTAGAATGCCACGTTTCAATTACGACGTAATGCCACCTCAGAGTTTGTTAAACTGGTTAGGAAAGGTTGGTGTGGACGGAGGCACCAAATTCTGCTAGTTCTAGCGAGCGGTGTGTGGCACAGTCGGTGGTATTTGCGACTTCTGCTATCTTTAGGCGACGCCACTTGTCTTTCAATATGGTGGATAGAGTGAGGGTCGGAGATGCGTGCTGGTACGACAGTCGCCGAGCCTGTCTGGTGTGCTGGCCTCACCGAGCATCATAAATTATTCTGGCTTGCACGAGGAAGCTGGGGTGTTAGCATGCTTGTTACCCCTTTATCCTGAAAGCGATGATGAAGTTTGGCGGGATATTTGCGTCGGGAGACACATTTTAATTCGGGAATGAAACCGAAACTAACTTCAGTTTTGGCTTTAGTGTTTCAATATCGACATTAACTTTGGTTTCACCCGGAACTCGGGATGACCTGCAGTGTAATTAATTAAACAAAAAATTGTTTCCGGAAAAATTGTTTTTTGGCATACGTGTCCAATCCAGGCACTTTAGAATGTTTTTTTTTCTTTTTGCTTAGGAAATGCTTGATGCAGAGGACTGTATATTGCATCTTGTGTTTATGAATATCTTGATAACCATGTTCGAGTTCTTCATATGCTAAAAATATTAGGCCTTCCTGTAAAGACTAATTTGGTTACATCGCCTATTTTTGTGATTGTGTCATTTATTGGTAGCCTATGTTATTACAATGTGTATTAATAGTAATAAAATTAAGATATCTTTATGTAGGGATTTTCAAGCCCTAATATAATTTCTTGCTTATGATCTAATTTCAAACATGCAAACAAATGCGACAATCCAAAGGTGGCCAAATTATTATTAGCGGTGCCAAGTGTAGCATTTTTAGTTAACTAGTTATAAAGTAAAAGTAGTCTAAAATCAAGGAAGCTTTCTAGCCGGTATAACAAGTCTATGTAAAATGATGCTAACTGTTGGTAAAGCATTAGGTGCTATCAGTCGTGACTTTTGATAATCGGCAAAACTTCAAGCCCCGCCGCCAATCCTCGTGGACAGCAAGAAAAACAAAAAGCGGATTCCGTTGTTTGCTTCTTTTTTATTTACAAAATTCACCAGAACATTTCATTTTTACATCGAAGCTGTTATGCGCTAGGATCTGGGAAGAAATGCATCCGCGAATGTTGACAGAAAACTCCCCATTGGTCGTGGCAAGTATGAATAGATAAAAATATAAAGAGGGGGTAACCAGCATGAGTCAGCCTTCCTTGGCATTATTATATAGTGAGGTCCTGATCCCTTGCTATCATCTCTAGGCGTCGTCCTCAAGGTCGTCCTAAAAGTCTTTACGTCATCCTCGAGTTCGTCCTCGAGCTCGTCCTAGAAGTTGCCCGAGGTCGTCCTAGGCGTCCTCGAAGTCATTCTCGAGGTCGTCGTAGAGGTCGTCCTAGGTGTCATCCTCTAGGAATCGTCCTAGACGTCGTAAAATAAACAGCTTCGCTGGTCCTCCGTCTTCATGTAAAGTGGAAGGGCTCTACAATTTTAATTTTTACATGCCGTCGTTTTGCCAGTCTCAGCCTTTCCAGTTAGAAGGAACGCCTACTTGCTTGTATGCATGTTTGCTGTGGCGCGTTTCATTGGCTGCTTGCGAGCCACGATTGCAAACAGTTTCGCCACGTCCGCCGAGCAGAACCGGAGAACCCTTGCTAGAGCGCCTCCTGTTTACGCCGCCAGAGGGCGAGCAGCGAGCTGGAGACGCGAATAGTCATAACTAGACCTGGTACAGCCAAGACCATACAAGCTACCCCAAAGAGTTTTTTTTTCTGGCGACACCTGCAGGCGGCGCCAGCAAGCGTGCTTGGCAGTAACAACATAATTTGCGGAATGCGCACAAGTGTGCTAGCAATCCCAGCCAAGGTGTCTGCAATCTCATGCAGTCTTATTGTGCAGAAGGCTCATAGAACCCCTAAATTATATACGCACGCAGTTGCACGTCCTTACACTGCACGCTTCTTCGCCGTAAAACGGGACATCTAAGCTTGGAGGTTTGCGACTGTCGAAACGGAGTACAGTTTGTGATCGCAAGCCCTAGGAGTGTCAAATATTTCTTATTGCACGATGTCGGAATGAAACTAAATGTCGTTCCCTCCCGAAAGCTCTACAGTCGGCGCCTCGCATGACTGCAGAATATTCGATTGTAGCGTGCGGGGAGGGAAGGATTTCGCAAGCAGCCTAGCGTGCGATTGTGGTGGGCCCGCTTCAGACGGGGCAATTTTTCCAGCTATTTCAGGATTGCCGGCAAGCTGTTTCTTAGATCCTCCCGCTGCACCACAAATTGCGGGGTCAGTCTTGAACCAGGCAAGCAACTCCAACAACCTGGAGACATTTGAAGCAGCATCAGCAGCCAACCGGAGATGCGGTTATCACGATAACTGAGGACGGCATTTAACTTGGTCCCAATTCTAAATTAATTGTTTTTGCAGCAAAATAGTTGCAGGAAGGTCAGTTAGCATCCTTAAAGTCATTTAAGAGTATGAAAACACATTATTAACGCATAATTCTACAACTAAATGGTGATAGAATTTTGCAATTTCAATTATGATGATTGCAGAATGTTGCAGTTGCCGCATGTGAACGCAGAGAGATTGTGTTGCCAGAGTTGCGACGTAGAGAGGCTGGGGAAAAATTGCCTCTTCTGAAATGGGCCTGACGTGGTAGGATGCTAGGTTGCACGCAACGTCGGTCGTGGTGACAACAGTTCATTTTTGCCCGCAGCCGTCGCACCACCTCTCTCTTGGCCGTCGTGGGGGGTCCCGGTGACTTCTGTCGAGCAGGGCTTCTCCTGGGTAAGTGGCGCCGCCAGACTTGTAGCTTCCTTTCTTTGTTTCAAACATTGAAGGCTACCTAAACGCGGTTGGCTGAAAACGTTGCTTTAGCTTTCTAGGGGCTCGGACGTCTGCCCAAATTTCCAGGCAGACGTTTCCTTCTAATACGGGGCGCAAGAAACCTAGCGGAAGTCGGCAAAACCTCCTGCCGAGAATGAACCACTTCGAAAAATCCCATGCGCGCCCCCTCGGCGGCTTTATTTGTGGGCCTGTATGTACTGCGCCGTGGCAGTAAATTTAATTGTGTATTTGTTGGAGTCCTCGTATGTCGTGTCGGAGATTTAAATAAACTTAAAGGAAGTGTGCCGTTGGATCCTATTATTGTATTAACTGTTTGGACAGTTTTTAATCTGCATAGAGAGGTAAAAGGTAAAACTCGAACTGATCAAAAAAAGATGTCTACGTGGGTCAGTAGCTCTATAGTATGCGCCATACTTCGTGCTCTATAAGTCGGATTGCCGTAATGCATCATGGTGAGGTGGGGGCACTCTGTTTTTTAAATGGTTTAATGGTTCCTGTCTTGCCCTCTCACTCTTGTGACACTACCACTATGACTCGTTCATGAAATGTAAGTCTGGAGGAGATGGGGAATCGTCCGTTTGCGCTAGGAGCGGCCAGTGCCACCTTCGGAAGCCGGCAGAGCGTCTGTGACTTTCTCCTCCGTGGTATCGTTTGTCCAAGCCGGCTAAGAATCTGTCTTAGAACTGGCTCGTTCGACGGTTGCAGGCGGGGTCGACCGGCTGGGCGGCCCTGCAAGGCCTGGCCGCATTCCTGCCGACCTTCCCCGTCTGGTCCCCGCGGGAACGGGCCCCAAACCCTTGCTTGTCTGATGACCGCCTGGAGGACACGGTCCGGTCAGTGCTGGAACAACGCATCCACCACCTGGAAGACAAGTGGTCCCAGCAGGACCGTGCACACACGCAGGTACCACACACGCAGGTACCCGCAGGTACCCGGCAGATCTAACCCAACTGCGAAGAAACTTGGCGGTGTTACCTCTGAACCGACTGGGCAGCATAGGCGACAAGTACGGGCTGGCCCGCACTCCCCGCTTTTCGAGACGTGCCTTTCTAGCACGAGCGCTAGTTCTGTGAAAGCACATTTCAGAAGCCACACCCTCGTGCGACGGCCCTTGCTGCCACGGGGGCTCAAAGGTGAACGGAGAATAGCAGTTTGTCTGGGTGGCTACCCTAGCTGTCTTCAAGCTGTCCTCCATTCCCCATCAAAAAAAAAAAAAAAAAAAAAAAAAGAAGTGTTCTTTTATTTTAGAGGACCTTTCATCAAACTTGTGCAAATCGTCGAGGCAATCGTTTGGTTGTGTTTGTTGAACTCGCTTGCCCGGCGAAACTGCAACAAGGTGGCCTTTAGTGACACGGGGCATGAGGTAAACATTTGTTTCTCTTGTTGACACAGTCTGGGTAAGAAGTTCTACCGTAATATCCTGAGATGCTCCGCCACCGAAAGACAGCCCGCCCCTTATTTTTAGCACGATTTTCTTTTTTTTTTTTTCATTTTTAATGTCAAAAGATAGCTTATTTTTAGTGTAATTTCAGAGTCCTGGCCAATGATGACCTCTGCAAAAGCGTTGTTGCTTAACTACGGCGGGAGATAAGTGAGCATTGCTAACCAGGAACGACGGCGTCTTTGGTTCGCAAGTTTTGAGGGTCGCAATGTCTAAAACTAGTATTTTCTCAACTTTTTTTGGTGGCACACCGAATGTTAGCTTGCCCCTTATTTTGATCCGATTTTCTATCCTTTTCAGGTGGGCTATCTCTTGATATTACGGTAGTCGTATGCAAATCATGGATTTTGAGTTTGAAGTGAATAGCAGCGGTTTTGGCCAAATCTTTGTGAATTGAATATTGATCAGTTTCTCAAAGTCTTTCACTATTGGGCACTGTGACTGTCCATGCTTAAACAAAAATTCAGCTGGAGTCGTGATGGTTCTTCTAAACCTTCCACTTGTCCACTTCCAAGCTGAGTTAATTTTATAGTGTAGCTATATTTAAGAATTTTGGCACCTAAAGAACAAACTTGTTGCAGATATGCTAATCCAGGGGATTTATAACTCCCGCTTCAGATGGAGCGATTTCTCCCAGCAACTTGACGTCGCAACACCAGCAACACGGGCTGTCCGTGTTCACACGCAGCAACCAATTGCTACAATTTGCCATTGTCACAATTGAATTGTATTTTTCTTGCACTATTTAAACACACGGTTACGTGCTATGAACATCTTTTTATACCTTTAAATGGCATTGAGAATAGAAACTCATCTTTCTGAAACGGTTTATTCCCCAAAACAATCAATTTCAAACCAGAACCTAGTCTTCAGTTGTCATCATCACCGGCGCGGGGTGTAACGTAAAAATATTGCATCCCCGATTGGCTGCTGCCGGTTCAAACATCTTCGAATTGCTCAGAGTTGCTCGCTTTTTTCTAGCCGGACGCGGTCCAAGCAATACGTATCGCACTAGGGAAAGCTAGGAAACAACTCACCGGCAGCACCGAAATTGCTGGGAAAGTTGCCTTGTTTGAAGCGGGCCTAAACGGCCCGTTACGAATAATAAGGAAGTGTCCAAGCATAAAAAGTGAGAAAGCCTTCGCTTCTCACCGAGCACCTGTGCACTGCAGAGATGCAATACCCTCCGAGCCAACGAGCTCCACAGGTATTGCTTCCCTGCAGTGCACAGGTGCTCCATGAGAAGCACACTTAACAGTGCTAACCCGCCGCGATTAACGCTTCGAAAAGTATCGCAGTTCGTTTCGAAGCGAATATTGAATAGCGTGTTATTCGAAACCACCATTTGAATATTTGCGCTACACTAACAAGACCGGTAGGGACGAGTTCCGGTTGTCCCAACTCTATACTACGTCTCACAAAAATTGGCACTACAGCCAAAGCTACAGGGGAGAGTGTATCCCGCCCTGTTCGAGAGGAGGGAAAGGGGGAATCCCAGCCTTTCTTTTGAAAAGGTTGGCTTATGCTCTCGCCCGTGTAGCTTTGGCTGTACTGCACGGTTTTAGTGAGACGGGGTACAGCTCGAGCTTCCTACCTTCGATAACGCTCCGGCATCTCGCGTGCCGAGATGTGAGCCGCGTTCACTACCTCGCAGGGCACGCTGGAAGACCTCGAAGGGCTCAAACGCCGCCTGGAGGACCAGGAAGCCACGTAAGGAAGCTTGTCTCGGGGGAGGGGGGGGACCAACAAGGTGGGGCAGCGGTTGCTGAGGGAATTCGTGCCGCAGGGCACGCCTGTTGCTGGCAAGGGATCCATGCGAATCCTGCAAGGACGCCCTGGCCGGGACCGTGGACTCCCGCATCCTGGTCAAGCTGGACGAGGTGAGGTCACTGTGGCCGGAGCGAGTCCTCAGTCGTGGTCCTTTGATTCCCGCCCGACGCCGCCGCACTTGCGTCGTGCCGTGCCATCCCGTGCCGTGATCCCGGGGCTAGGTCAACGGTAGAGGTGGACACGACAGGTGTCGTAGGCCGCCCCTGCTAGACTGTCCACGGAAGCTTCGGCAGCAAGGGGCTGGGATGCAGTGATGACGGCGACACCTGTGTTCGCCCGTCTTTCTTGTCAAGATTTCTGCAGCCGATTGCCGTCTGCTCCTGCGGCATCGCACGTTGTCTCTTTGGAATTGTTTTCGACGCATGGGTGGACGAAGCTTTTGAGAAAGAGCTTTGGCAAGATTTTCTGATGCGACTACCAACGGCTGCCGCAAAGATGGCATTCGTGGAGGTTTTAAAAATCCGTCGTCATTCGAAAGGGAAAATGGAAATTTCCGACGGCGAGAGATGCGCTGCAAAGAGGATTGAGAGTCGAGGGTCGCGTCTCCCACAGAAATCTCATTTTTGCACGTCCTCCTTTCTAAGGTAACAATAGCCCGGAATCTTCCAATTTTCTAGTGAAAACAGTGTAGTGTAATGCCCAAAACATTCCATGCACGAAACAAACCAGATACTGCCAAAATAGTTTTTAAAAAAATTCTGAGGGTTTGTGTGTTAAATTAACGATAAGGCATCTGGCACACTCGAGCGGAGGAGCAAGAATTAATTTCGACCATTGGGGGAACCCACTGGTGAGTTCCCAATCGAGCAATATTCTGGTGAGAACATCTTGTCAACCTGCAAATAGGGAGAAAGGTTTTGTGGCCTCTGCTGTGCTTGTTCTTAGTATTCCTTCAACCATTTGTCAGTGTCGGCTTGTGTACAGCAACAAAACTCTAACAACCTCAAACGAAGTGTGGGTTGTCAATGGCTTTCAACGTGAAAAAACTTCAGCCCGCGCTCGGTTTGTAGCAGGCAATCAATCTTTTTCCGGTCTTTGAGCAGACGTTGTAGAGTGTTTCCTCGTTTTATTGCAGTCCACGAATGACGCTTTGTACAGAACGAACCGAATCCTTCGCTCAAGTTAGCAGACGAACCATCTACGGATGCTATCTTGGCCCGCTCCGCAAAAGGCGACTTGGATCTCACTCTTGCGGTGACCAAAGCCGAACCCGTGGGGAACTTCCGATACGCAACCGAAATTTCGGTTACGTGGCACCTTTTTTGCAATAAGCCTCCGTCATATTTTTGCACATCGGCCGCGACTTGAACCTTCCCAATGGGGATTCAGTCCGGCACTTTACCGGGCCGAACGGCTGCCGGACTGGGAGCACGGGCCCGGCGGGGACTCACTGGAGGTTCCTGCAGGTCCTGGGGGACGCCAAGGCCCTGCGGCACTCGGCGGGGCTGACCGAGGACCTCCTGAAGCGGGAGGCCCTCCTGGAGGAGAGCGTGGCACTCCTGGGGAAAGAGGTGGCGGCTGCCAGAGAGGCTGCGGCGGAGGCCAGGCGCCTGGCCACCCTGCCGCGAGAAGTCCCGGAGCGGCGGGTGGCGGCGACGTCGGACCATGACGAGACGCTGCGCATCGTCCGGGACGCCCTGCGCTTGTACGACGCCGACAAGACGGGCCAGGCCGACTTTGCCTTGGAGAGCGCCGGTGGGTGCACCCTTCCCAGGCGGTGCAAATGTATTTCGGGGATTTTTCCGTGGCAGTTTCCCCGGAATGTCAAGTATGTCCCAGGGCCGCCCAAAACTTGTCCTTGAAATTTGCCTTTGACATCCCAAATGGGACAGGGAACAATGGGACGGAAACATCCCACGCGGGTCCCGGAAACATCCCACGCAACTCCCACGGGACATAGATGAGGCTAATTTGGGAGGTTGCGTCCACCGCGGGATGGCTGTGGGATTAGCATGGGACACCTGATTCTGCTTAGTAGGTGCCATTAGAGCTGTGCCAAAAATCGCCGGAGTTAGGAGCCACCCACGCCGTCTGTGCGCATTTGTCGTTCGAGTGTAGGTAGGCTGTTGCCGCCTCGGTGGCAAGGTGTTGGTATACGGATCTTTGGGAGGCGGGTTCGAATTTCGGCCGAGATACCTGCAATCTAACAGGCTTACTGTGGAGAAGTATTTCTGTTCTCTGCTCGTGTCACTTTAAAGCAGCAATTTATGCAAAATCGATTACTTTTAACCTAGAAAATTTGTAATACCGATCATTTTTGCTTTGTGGGGCCGCGGAATTGTTTTGTTAACCAGAAATATTCGTTGAACAGGAATTCATTGTTGTAGTCAGGGAAACGCATTGAACACACGGGAGATTGGCCGGGACTTTATTTTTGCATTGTTAAACGGGCGTTTTCGTAGTACAGTCACCGACCGATTTTTTTTAACCTTGCAGGTATAAAAAAACGTCCGAATAGTGGTGCAGTCCAAAATATCAGCAAAGGAAAAAACTTTCCTTTGTTATGTCTAAGCAGGCTTTTAAAAAAAGCCGTCAATAGTGCCTTGTTTCAGGTTACGCCTCCGCTTGGGTGCGGCCATTTTGTATTAGCTTTACATTCGCTGCCTTCTTTCCTAGCGTTATGGTCGAGTACTTTTCGCAATTCTTAGCGACACTTTGCGGCGGCCGAAGAGCAGACGGGGCCACGACATCCTAGCCAGTGTAGTCCGAAAACACAATTCACGGAGACGAGATGAGTGGCGCAAGTCCACGACTGCACAATGGCGAATGAACGAAGTGCAAAATGCTAACAATGATAATAGATGCGCAGCTAGAGAAAAAAAAGTCGTAGCAAAGCATCGAGTGGTAGGGCTTAGCAGTACTCGGGTAGCACTGCCAAACCAAACCAAGCCAATCCATGTGCAGCCAACATAGAATCTAAAATGGCGGCTTCTCTATGGCTTTTCCCCGCCGGTCGCTCGCGACGATTTTGTCCGAAAGATGAAACTTTCGGACTTAAAACTGTTTGAAACATTCGTCGTGAATGTGCACTATTTCTATCGGGTGGGTCACTCTTCTTTTTTAGGTCCCAAATATTGAACGAGTCTGAATTATCGGCGTCTGTAAAAAATCTGTCGGCGACTGTAGAGGCGTTCGTTATAAAGGCATTTGACTGTACAACGAAAGAAGTTACCTGTACTACGAAAAATTTCATTCGCCCCGCAGTCTTCATTATGAAAGCTGCAATATGAAAAATTTGCTAGCTTGGTGACCTTTGGAGTTTCGGTGCAAGAACTTGCATGTGGGGCATAAGGCACATGTGGTGCATAAGGCACTGCTATTACCAGAATTCTTGTTGCGAAAATCATATACACAAAATTAGTTAGTGCAGAACCAGGACTCTAACAGTTTGTGCCAAAAATGCTGACGAATTCTTTTTTTTTAGTTTTTTGTCCCCTGCTATATTTCCGTACTGGTGCTGCAGGAGCCAAGTGAATAAAGATGGCTAACAAGAATGGACAGTTGGGCTAGTTGGTAAACGTTCATGATGAAAAACGCATACAGGACAAGGTGCTGACTATCAACTTTCTTATTTGGAAAACACGCAGGTATGAGGTCTTCTTTCACTTTCTTTGTGGTGTCGCTTCTTTTTTTTTTTTTTTTTTTTTTTTTCACTGAGGGGTTGCTTTTTTGTTTTCTTCGAAGGAGAAGTTATCAAAGGTTGAGAAAGCCATTTAACTGTCCCTGAGGTTCACTAATAATTGGCTCATGCACAGTTTATTTGTTTTTTTTTTTCTATATGGTAGGTTTTGATAATTTCCCTAGACATCTTAGTTTGGTGTTTGTACAAAATATTTGTGTCTCTGAACCATGATTCACATCTGCAGTCCCGGCAACTTCACAAACATCACAGTTCATTTAAAAGGTGGAGCATACTCCCATTTTGCAATGCATTGCCGGGACTGCAGCTGTGAACCATGGTTCAGCCACAAATGTTTTGTACAAACACCAAACTCTGTTGTCTATAGGGAGATTGAGGCCTATCATATAGCAAAAAAGGAAACAATGTGCGTGAGCCAACCATCAATGAGCCTCGGGGACAGTGAGATGACCTTTTTGGACCTTGCATAACTTCTCCTTCGAAGAAAACAAAAAAAAACCACAAAAAAGTGACCCCACAGTGAAAGAGCAAAAAGCACCACCACAGTGAAAGAAAAAGAACCCATTCCCGCGTTTTTTCAAAACCGGAAAGTCAGTGCATTGTCCCGTTCATCATAAAAGATAGCTATTCGTGCCAGGGATGTTGAGTTTGGGGCTTCGACACCCTCTCGAGAGATCCGCCCGTCTATTTCCACCCCAGGGGGCTCTGTGGTCAACACCCGCTGCACCGAGACTTACAGCGGGGGCGCCATCCGCTACGAGCTGCTAGGCTTCTCCCTGTGGACCTTCGTGCGCACTGCCCGCACCGCCATCCAGGTGAGGGCATCGCCTCGAACAACCCCGAGCACTATGCAACAAACTGTGGTTTGCCCGAGGACGATTAGGCTGGGGCGGGTGCTGCGAGGAATATCTTTCCCAAAGGGTGAATCAGCCGGGGAGAAGGGAGCAGGCAGTCGAGCCAGCCGGGGACTCGCACGTGCAATTGTTTCGCAGCCAACGCTCTGTGTCGTGGCATTCAACGTCTATATTTTTCGTTTCTTTGTATTCCTGCCCCCATAAACCTGCAACGACTCGTTTTAGAAGTCTTTACTGCACCTATTGCTGCCAGATCGACGCTTGGAATGCCCGTACCATCCTGCGGTGCAAACCTAACTCAACTTTTATTCACTGTAAAGCGAAGGTCCGTCCACGCAGTTGCGTTTGAGCATGTCTTACTACGCCTAGCCCTCGACTGTCGAGTTGTTTTCCTCAAAAATGCTTCCCAGTGGTTTGGTCTTGTTTCCAAAGAAATAATGTAGAGAAAAAGTAAATTTGCAGGTTTTTTGTAGCGTTGGCTACACTGGCCGAAATTGAGCAGATTTGCGTGGCCCTCATAATGAGCCGTGCTCATTATGTGTAGCGCGCGGCAGTGGCAGCAGAGCTTTGCATAATGAGCACGGCGCCGCGCACTCCGCATAACGAGCACGCATAATGAGCACGGCTCAAAATGAGAGCCACTCGAAGCCACCGCCGCGCCCGCCTCGCCCGTGTGCGCATTCCAGAGGAGTGATGTCATAGTCGTGGCAGACGCACTGGCGCTGCCGCGTGCCCAGCTGTGCGCCTCCGTTGCACAGTAGCCAAGTCTGACGCTGCACCGGAGCCGCTTGATAGCGCCTCTCATTTTGTGCGCATAAGGTCACGCTACGTATATCCTGGCATAGCCGAGCTAAGCCACTGCAATTTTTTTTTTCTTGCTTATCTAGCAAGAGGTTGTGCAGTGCTTACTAGCTGTTCAGGTTTAAAAGCACCAAATAAACTACTGAAGGCAAAAACTTTTTTTTTTTTTTCATTTGGTTTTTATTTGGCATTTCTGCTACCGCCTTTGTCCTGGCGGTTTTAGATTGCGAACCGGAGGAGCTTTGCGGAGCGTCTCTGTCAAATTGATAAGCTATCGTCCTCTGAGAGGCATCTTAGAAGTCTGACTCTGAAGTGTCGGAGCAGCCGACACGGAAAGCGACAGTCTCGTGCGTACCAAATGTGCTAAGCGACTAGTTGGAAAACTGCAAATAACCCTGGCGATGTGAAACGCCGCGCAAATGTAACGCTTACGTTTCGCCAAAGACGTTACGAAAACAACACCTTCCGCAGTGCGTGCGGTTTCGCATTGAGGTGGCCACCTTCAAACACATCGCCGTTATGCGCGACGACCATGAAAGGGTTAGACCAGAAGGAACTGCAAGTCACCGGGGACCTCTGTGCGTCATATGTCGCATACGTTCAAAGCACGTGGCACACAAATCGCCAGTACCCCGGCGACCCGTGGTCGTAACTCAACACCCTCGCAACACGGTCGGACGCCACGTAGGAGACAGGCCTATAAAGGGACACTGGCAGGGTATTTATGCTCGCCAAGGATTTTATTTGTAGATGATGCATGAGAACCCAATTACCCAGAATACAATTTGCGGCTCGAGATTCGTTTTCTTTCTGACCGAAAACCGCCGATCGAGAACTGGCCGGTTTGAGTTGCGCTCACTTCTTCTCCGTGGTCAAGTCCCGTTTCCTATGGTTTAGACAGAACCACCAGAGATAATCAAACTTGTGGGTCATCGAAGGCACACACTCAATACTTAAAAAATAGAAATAACATTAAAAAAAGAAAATATGATACCCATATTTTGTGGCTTCTAGAAAACTGCCAATAGTAGGTTGATTGAAAAAAAAAAAAAAGTTGCACAGCCACAATATTTTGGTAAGTTTCTCCTGCTCTATATTTCTCGTTCCTCAGCAGTCCATTATCGGTTTGGAGCGGTTGCATATTTTGACTTCATTAACAATATATGTGATGCTGTAACAAAATATTGATTGGGTGTTGTCTTCTGACAACCATAATAAGTCGCCTGGCAAAAAAATTAAAAATAGATTTTAATGGGTGTCATTGTCCCTTTTAGCAGTGGCGAGTTTGGGGCTGTCTGAAAGATTGACTTGTCGTCAAATCCTGAGAGAAAGCCCACGTGACAGTGAGAGCAAATGGGGTGAAGAGAAGAAGCAGGCTAACCTTCAACGTGCGATCAAGAAAAATGGAAGAAAAAAGAATTGCTATTTTTGGTGTTCCGCGTTTTGCCAAACTAGTTTTCACGTTGAGGGGCAAGAAAACGTAGACAGCTGTCCTTCTCAGTCGGAAATGTTTGCCCACCTCCTGTTGTAGTTAACTGACCCCGCTGTGAATACCAGAAGTAAACTATCTTTCCGTGTTTTAGAGAAAAAAAAGCAAAATATGTCAAAAATAGGGGTGGGCATCTTTTGGGATGACGGGGCACGGCAACCTCGTACGAGGAGGAACCGAGCGTGTTCGAATCACGAGCGCCGTCCAGATGCCGAGAGCGTCTCCCGTGTGACTGTGCAGCCGCAAATGCATCCGGGGGAGTGCTGGGCCTTCCGAGGCTCCCAGGGCCACCTGGTGGTGCAGCTGGCGAGACGCGTCCGCCCCACCTCGTTCGCCGTCGAGCACATCCCCAAGGAGCTGGCCGTTTCGGGCAGCCTGGACAGCGCCCCCAAGGACTTCCACATCCTGGTGAGAGCTTCGCCGAGAGGGACCAGCGTCGCGCCCGTCTCGCGGGCTTCCGGTTGGCCGGCCCGGTTTGCCGTTTCTTCCCGATGCATAAAGAGGGGGCGCAAACTTTTCGTGGCTCTGACGTCTCAAAGATAGCGCTATTCCCAAATTTTCTAACCTTTCGTGCCGAAATATTTGGGCCCCTCCTAACATTTATTAAACGTAAAACATTTTTTGGCTAGTGGTTCGGTGTTTTGTGATGCCTGACAAGCGTGGCCGCAAAGCTCGATGCCGATTGGTTAACGGGGAGGTCACGTGACTAGAGGGGTGGGCGAGGAGGGGTGAGGTAGGCAAGGGGGAGCTCGACCACCTCTGCACACTGAGGGGGAGGAGCTAGAGAGTATTGAAGGCTCTGGAAGGTTGCCAGGTTCATTGGCCCGATTAGCGGCAGTATCGCTTCATTCTAGGAACAGCCATCAAGCGTACACATAGTAAACTATTTAATGAAGAGCACTGTGAGACTTCCACTAAACGTTTGTTATGCTAGAACATTTCACATATGCAACACGGCTGCCTAGCAATCGGCCATGCATTATTTTTTTTACTAACTACGTTTCTTTTTTACTGCAAAATCTTGTAGATGTCAAAGCTGCAAACCTGGAAAGTTGGTTAAGGTTTCCAAGGCGATTCAAACAAAGATTTCTATGCATGTGGTAGTTAACTTTAAAGCCTGTGTGTGTCTGTCTTTGTTCCCTTTTTGTTGACTGCTTTCAACGGAGCACAATTAAATGGGTGTGCTTCAATCTCTGCGTTAAACTCTTTTGGTCTAAACATTTTTGGGCGTTTTTCAAAATGTAGCAAACGATGCCCTAGATCCAGGCAGTTTTCTTGTACTGCGAGTTGCACCATTGAGCTCTGAGCTTTCTGCCCTGTCAATTTCGCACGAATCGACATCAGAATGTCCAGGCGGTACATCTGAAAGGCATTGCCCCCTGGAAAAATTTTCTATGGTAGCTTTTTATGAGGCAGAGCATTCACCTCAATGCCTGCATCATTTGTTTTTATCATCAGTACTAGGCACTAACTTCTAGCACCAATTACAGCTCTCTTTCGAGAGAAAATTGTATATTTTTTAAGCAATTTCTTTTTGTAGCTCGAAAGTATTCATAGAGGTAGGACCGAAACCTCTGCAAAGTGAGAAAATTTCCAAGTTTGGAGACTTTGACTAGAAATATAATTCCCAAATCTTTCGAACTTGCATTTTGGCAAGTTCGGCACGGTTGGTCCTCGATTTTCGAAGATCTCGAAAGATTCAGACGCTGCATATTCAAGCCTCCCCGAAACTTAAAATTTTTAATCTTTGAAATTAGTGTACGAGCTGCATTTAAAGAAATGGGCTCAAGTATCCATTGAACGTGTGAGTGTGCGTGAACTTTTCGAACTCGTACCACTTCGGGCAGTTTGCGGCATTTCTGCCCACCGGGGGCTCACCACCCCGTGCAAACGAAAGATGCTTTTGCGAGGCGGTTCTTTGGCACCACGGTGGCCTGGAACGCCCTGGCCGCCTGTCGCGGCGCCGTAAGCGGACCACGGATTTCTGCAGGGCCTGGACTCCGAGACGGACCACGTGGGAAAACTCCTGGGCAAGTACACGTACGACCTGGATGGAGAGCCGCTCCAGTACTTCCTGGTTCAGGTATGTGTCCCAAGATTAGGGACAGCTGAGACAGTTGTTTGCAGATTAAGAAGCGGGAATGTATATTAGCACTCCCACAGTGGTCAACGAGGTGAATTTCGTCAAGGCGTGCAGCATGTTTGCGTAGGCATGTGTCGGCATACGGGGGTGTTTTATTAAGTTGACGTTTTGTTCTTACCTTTTCTGTCTCTCGTTCCCTGCTGTTTTGAGCGGAAGTAAAATTTCCAGTTACTGGTCAGTACTGTGTTTGTGTGCTCCTTCCTCTAATCCTTCAGTTTTCTTTAGTTTTTTTTTTTTTTTTTTTTTTTAAGTTGCGCTAAACCAAGGAGCCTAACCCCACGCCTCATTGCAGCCGAGCAGCCTGCCTCGCGGAGGCACCGTTTGGTGGCGCACATTCCTCGCATTTCCTTTGCGGTCGACGAACGAAAACCATGCTCATCGACGCTTGCATTCGAAGTCTCGTTAGTAATTTGGGCAGTAGCCCGCCGCAGGCTCCGTTTAGTGGCTCTAACGTGCATTTCTGCCAGATAGGCGTCGTTTACTTACTGTCGTGAACTCACCCGCGCACCTCGCTCAAGCACAGATTTGGCCGGGGTTGCGCATTTGGTCGTCGATGGGGTTGTCGGCCCGGCCGGAGTGCACTTTAGACCCACAAAACAAGCCGTGCTCCGAAGAAACAACACTTTGGTCGTCTTGCCGGTTCGGATCATTGTTGCCGGTTATCTGGAGCTTCGTCTCGGATTGCAGGAAACGCATTTTCGTCCTCCCAAAGCATTTAAAAGCAATCCTCGACGGAGCAATGCAACTTTGCCCGAGCTTTGGAAAACTGCATTTCCGAGTCGTAACCCTTGCCGGTTGTGCCCGAACTGAGCATCAATGCTCCGAGCGTGTCATATTTAGTGGCTCCGGCACACATAGCCCCACCACCGCAAACTGAGAGCCGACGTCCTGCTCATCCTCGCAGGACCCCGACCCCGGCAGCTTCCGGTTCGTGGAGATGAAGATCCTGAGCAACCACGGCCACCTCGAGTACACCTGCCTCTACAGGTTGAGGGTGCACGGGGTGCCCAGCGACTGAGGCCGCACCGCGCCACCCTCTCCTAGCCGCATTGTAGATAACATCTTCACTGCCATCCGCACTCGCCAGCTCGTGCCCCCTCGCACGTCGGTGGAGCCGCCCGGGGAGCAGCGTGGGATGTGCCTGAGCTGCCGGAGAGTGTGATCTGCATTGGGGGGACTCGCCGTCCGGCGGTGTTGTGTTGCGGGTACCCCGTACTGCACGGGCCAACAGCTGGTAGAAGTGGAGCTTAATTTATTTCAAGTTTTGCAGTTCGTGTTCCTTTTTCTTTTTTTTAATCCCACAAGCCGATTTGGGTGTACATAATAGTAGTTCCAAGTGCCAACATTGCCCTCTCGACGAGAAAAGTATAGTGGCGCAGATGCGAGACGCTGCTTGTTAGTTGCACCGGTGTACATATGTTTTTTGCTGAAGAAGTTTATTGTTTGTTGATGCCTCGTGTGCCTTAGTATGTTTATGTTGCAATCTTTCTAATTCTTTAACGGATGCGCATTCTTCATTCTCGTGCCTGAGAGGAATGATTGGTGTTTTAGCCTTTTTCCCCTTTTTAGAGAAATAAAGACAATTGCAATGACAGCTGTGTGGCTTCCTTTCAAGTTGCTCCAAAAGTACTAAGCAAACTTGCGCAGTATATGCTTCAGGTTTTGTAGCGTGAGCTACACTGGCTGAGGTTGAGCAGTTTCGCGTGGCTGTCAGAGCCGTGCTGCGCAAGCGCGAGGAGCAGTGACGTCGCACGGCGCGCGCTCCGCTGCCGCGTGCGTTTCGCCGGTCTGCGCATTATAGAGGAGCGACATCATAGCCGCGGCAGACACTCTGGCGCCGCCACGTGCCCAGCTGTGCGCCTCCGTTGTGCAGTAACCAAGTCTGACGCTGCACCAAAGCCGCTTGATAGCGCCTCTCATATTGTGCGCACAAGTTCATGCTACGTATATCCTGTCATAGCCGAGCTAAGTCACCGCAATTCTTTTTTTTTTTTTTATGACTGCTGGTTCTAGAAAATTCTTTCACGATTCCTACCCTCCTGCCAAGTCCTTCCTTACAGTTTGCCAGCCTCGAGCCAAGGTTGGTGGAATTTCGTCGAAGTGACCTCAACCTCCAGCAGTGAAGAGGCACCCCTTAGTAACGACACGTTTTTTTAATCTTCAGACTTGTTCGGGGAAGATGGCTCACAAACCACTCCCCTCATAAATCGTATAACAGGCACTGTAATAATTTTGATTTGGCTCGCATGAGCTCAACTAATCCTCCTCCAGAGCTTGTCACAGAGTGATTAAAAGCACAACTGCTCTCCCCATCTCGTTGACGCTTTCGTCGAACTGATCCAGATCGGTCCTATGTGATCGCAAACCAAAACACAAACAGTAATGCGATTAAAGCACTCGTAGGAAAGACAATTTAATACATTCACCAGGCTGAATACTGCATGGAATCCGAGCCTGTGGCTGTTTGCTTTTACTGTGAATGGGTCTTTAGAAAAGACTGTCTTCGGACTGGGGATACCTAATTGCTAAGATTTCCCTTGCACGTCGAAAGATCTAAATGAACTCTCGGTTGACTCCACTGGGAGATACGCATCGGTATGTAATTCCGTCAAATTTATGTTTTATGCCCTGGGGAACTCACTCAGTCGCAACCACTGCATAATTGCGAGTGAATTTGAGTGACTCTGGCATGATGATATAACTCGAGTTTGTGATACTGTATATCATTAAGTTTCTCCCCATGACATCGGATAGGAGTTTGTGATAAGATGTCGAGCGATGACCTAGTAATGAGATGGCGAGGCCATCTGTGTAGGATAAAATGCATTTTTTGAACAGCAAAAGTGAGCTGCATATGTCTGACGTAGTTCCCCGATCCAACGAATCGCATGATTAAATTACACTGGCCGAGTCTGGTTTTTTCGATACTTGGGAGGTTTAGTGGTGATGAGTAGGATTGTGCAAATACTCAAATTGTAGATTTATTTTAAAAATAATATTGTATTATTCGATATTTAATTTGAGGTCAGTTTTATCATTCCTACATTTCGAGGTATTGGCAAAGTCACGGTCGCGGCGGTTTGCTAGGTCCCACTGAGTGCGCTTCTCACCGAGCACCGGTGCACTGCGGAGAAGCGGTACCCGCGGCGCGGACACCGCGATCCTACGAGCTTCGCTTTGCCGCAGTGCACCCGCGTGCTCAGGGGGAAAGCGCACCTTCAAAACAAATTGATCCAGGAGTGCGCGTGGTGTATTTAGGGGAGGGTGGGGAGGGCTTGAACTTTGTAGATGTTGATATCTCCCTCGCAGAACACGTTAAAAATTAAACTACGCCGCACGCATTATTTGTTTTTTGTTTTTTTTTCTCTCAAAAGCAGAATGATTTATGAATTTCCTTGAATCAACTCTTCTGGGCATCACTCGTAAGTTTAATTTTATGACAAATCCGTCATTTATTCGAGCTTGCTAAACAAAACGATCCTAAACCGAAACTGGATAGCTAAAAAAAAAATGAGGATACATAGAACATTTTATTTTGCATAATTAATCACTCACTTATTTTTAATGTACGTCTATAGCGCTGGTTTTATATATATACTGCACTGATCTCACTCACTTTGTATATTTAAGTATGCATCTGATTAGTGTAGCGAGAAATGACTGGAAATTATGACCCTAGTCTGGCAACCAAGAAAGTCCAGAACGAAAAAAAAAAAAATGGAAGCACACGCTTCTGAGCGGTTACCGCAGTCCCTGATTCACCTTGAAGTTACCCGCGACTGCGCGTACTCGTCACTTTTAAAATGCCGGCTAAAGAAGGTGTGAGTGTCAACCAACAACACTGCAAAAAATTATAAATTAAAAAAAAAAGGCGAGAATGCGGGAGCCGGAGTTGGACGACGACTCGAGCGAGCTGCCGGACTGGAAACTGCCGCTGGCCTTCAACGATGCCAGGCACGCCGAATCGCAGTCCGGCGCCGCACACACCGTCAGCACGCAAACGTGGAGGATGAAAGAACGGGTAGGCTACGGGACACGAACCCCTTTGATGACTCGCTCGCGAAAGAGACAGTTGACGAGCGATCGCACGGCGAGCGTGTGCCGGCGGGACCGGCGGTCCGGCGCACGTTTGGACGTTGGTTCGCTCCTTTTGATGTAACCGAAAGTCCATCGGGCGGTCCTTTTTAACGGGAGAGTGTAACGCCGTCCTCGTAGCCTCGCTACTAGCTTCGTTCTTCCCTCCGGTCGTCGGGTTGGACGAAACTGCGATGCGCGCGAGGGGCGGTGCAGAGATCATCCTGACCTTGAGACCGCTCTGGTCACGAGGTGACGAGTGCTGTCACGTGACTGGTCGCCGTGCCCGCCGCCGCGACGTGCGTGCACGCAGCGAGCTTCCACGAGGATTCCCCGCGTCGTTCTTGGCGCCGGGCGAGTGGAAGCTCCTTCCGCGCATGCGCCGAATGACAAGGGGCAACGTTACGATGTGTGGTCGTGTGGCCGCTTCTCTAGACCCTGGAGGGACTCGATTGCTTGCCATCTCGGTGTGTTGTCGACGCCTGTGCGCGACGGAAGACGTGTGCAGTGGTGTGGCAGTCGTCGCGGTGCTTGGAACGCGTCTCAGACTGGTGTTTTCACTGCATCGTCATGAGTGGTTCCTCAATTTCCGCCTGACGGCGACAACAACGCACAAGTGTCATGCTGTCGCCTGCCACGATCATGGCAGCGCCACGGGGTCTTGACGTACGACAGCATCGCACTCCGGCATTAGTGATGGCGTTTGTCACCTTTTGGGGACCGCCTTTGACGCATCGGCAGAATGAGATGCCGAAACACCAGTCAGGGACACGTTACGGGCAAGGTAGTGGTGTGGTGTCGTCCCACCGGCCTCCTTTCTGGTTTCAGATGAAGACTGTGAGCGTAGCCCTGGTGATGTGCCTCAACATAGGAGTGGATCCACCCGACGTGGTCAAGACGCAGCCGTGCGCCAGGCTCCAGTGCTGGCTCGGTGAGGATACCGGCATCCGCAGAGTTACCGCAGCACGACGACGGTCGTGCTGGCCAACTGTCGGAAATGCGGAGCCACACCGCATTTCCGAAGACTCCGCATTTCCGCATGCGGAGTCTGTCTGCTTTTTGCAGGGGTTGTGGGGATGTCAGAATGCCAGGCTCCAATTGGCTCTGAATAAAGAATATGGGGTACACCTCAAAGCAAGCTGCCTCGAGGTCTACCCACTATCCTTCAACCAGAGCCAATCGGAGCTCTGCAAAAAGAAGCGGACGAACTTGCGCTCCGCATTGCTTCAGGGTCCCAAGCTGGCGGCCAAGCAGGATCTGCCTAAAAGGTCGCCGGTGTACAAATAAGCTTTACAAAGATCCATTTAAACCTGTTTCACCAGCTCGGAGGGAAGGTGGGTGCCAGCAGTCTTGCCACAATTGCGCCCACTTGTAGTCGCCGCCGGGATGAGAATGGCGGGAAGGTCTCTCAGTAGTTTCATCACCCCCAGTGCATGCTTCCTACCTCTGGCAACAACTTTGTGTCTCGTTTGGGCATGCACGCACGGCCGAAGCATGGCAGAAGGCTACGAGCGCATGCCGGACGCTAGGCGCATGAAAGGGACTTTTTGCGCTCCTTCCCCTGCCGGTGACTACTGCAAACGGTTGCTGCTCGTAGTTGTAAGCGGGGCTTCAATTTTTGCAAGCACGCCATTGCTGGTGGAGAGGGAAGATGTGGCCCTAGAACAACTAGATGGGCTACGCTTTGAGTATGAGCCCTTCATTCTTTGATATTTCTCGTAGGCACCTCCACGTTGGGGCTAAATGCAGAACGGGCACAATTGACGATTGTTAACGTTAGGAAGAGGGACTTTCTGACCTTTGGATACGGTGTCTGCAAGCTTGGCAACATTGATTTGTTCCGTTGCGGTTCGATTTGACATACCTGGAGGACCAAACGCCGTTTCCTCCAATTTTAGATAACTGGGTACGACAATCTTAAAAGGGCATGAAACCGCTTTCTGCAACAGTCTATTTATGGTCATAACTCAAGCTTTGGGCTCTAAGCATTCTAAAAAAAATACTATCGCAGATGCGAATGGGTACTGCCGGACGAGAAGAAGGGCCGGGGTCTTCTCCTCATCCGACGGTGCCCTCCAGTGTCTGTGATAGTTTTGAGGTAATCAGTCTTTTGGTACTGTTTTTAATACAGGAATCAACCATGCATGAATGTAATGTCTGGCTTTAGAGATGATTAGAGCCCATGGATATAGTTGAGACCATATATAGACTATCTCAGAGGGTGGTTTGTGCCCCTTTAAACATCAAGATGGCTCAAATGTCGGTACTGTCAAGTGTGGCTCATTCGGTGGCTCTAGCTAGGAGAGCAAAGGTGGCACGCGAGCGCTCGCCAACGGCGCGTGTGGTGCGGTGCAGACCCTTTACAGTCGCCGCCGCAGAAGGCCCTGGAGGCGATTGGGGCGGCCCTGCAGAAGCAGTACGAGCGGTGGCAGTCCCGGGCACGCTACAAGCTCAGCCTGGACCCCACCGTGGAGGAGGTGAAGAAGCTCTGCTCCTCCCTCCGGAGAAACTCCAAGGTATGCCCCGCCCCCGACGAGATTGGCTCGACACGACGTGGCCTTCGTCGCCATTGCACCGTTAAAACCTTACGGCCGGTTCACACGTCTGCGTTTGAGTGTGGCCGACTTCGTTGCAGACGCTTGCGACCGCTTATGGCTGGAGAAGACACAGGCGTCATTTGTCACCCTGGAGCACTTTCGGCCTGCCTACGTTTTGCGCGCCATTCTCTCACCGTGTGTGTGAAAAAAGTTTAACAGCGTTAAAGGCCATTTCTCATAGGTGATGCATAGATTTTGTCTCTCGAATACTGCGAAGCCTTTGGCCTGGTTACACGCTGATCGGAAGAGTTTCAGGGCTGCCCGATAGATTGTACTGGAGTGAGCTCTTGTTGTTAGTTATCTCAAGCGGTCACACTCAAAACGCCGACGCGTGATCAGCCTTCAATTATCACCATGTTTTCCAAGAAGCGGCCCTCTCTGGCTTAGTTGCTTCGCCGCTCGTCTGCTGCTGGCACCTCCCGCATCCTGCTCTGCTGAGGTGCCTCCCTTCTCTCTTCTCTGCTGCAGGAAGACAGAGTGCTGTTTCACTACAACGGGCACGGGGTTCCCAAGCCTACGGTCAACGGCGAAATCTGGGTGTTTAATCGGGTGAGTGATGCGACAGGTAGCGCTTGACTTCGCTACGTGTTAAAGTGGACTGCAGCGTCCGTTACAAGCTGTCGAAGCCAATTCAGCACCCACGACTTCATGCACCACGCATCACTACGCCCATCTGACTCTCAATTAACTCTATTGACTTGTAGCATTCGCTGTGGTCTATCCTAAGGTGAAACAATGTATGGGGGCAGTTTCTGCTGCAAATGAGGATGCATTTAATGCATCATTTGAAAGACAGATTCCAGGGGCTCTGCGTTAAACACTTGGCGAAAAAGTTGTCGAGGTTGCCAACCGCCACGATGGGCAGTGCTGCGCTTGACCTTGGCGCTAGCCGTTCGCGGTGGTCAGCGATCTCGCTTACTTTCTCGCCAAGTGCACGGCTTAGAGCCCCTGGGGTTCGATTTTGGTCACTGTGTGAGCGAGATGTAATTTGCCTCGTAAACCGAGCAAACGTAGCGTTCGTAGACGTTTCGTCTAATAACTTGAGCAAAGAATGCCATTGTCTGCTGCAAAGCACCATTTGGAGATGAAATAAACAGAACACCAAACGTCGTCTATTAACAGATCGGAAAATAAAGTAGATCGTCTGCTGCAAACTGTGCTCCGCGGCGAAGTGAGATTGAATGCAGGTTGAAATCGTGATTGTCTGCTATTTTGTGTTGGGAGCAATGGACAACCCGCGCTTATTTTGATGATGTCAAGTTGTTCTGCTGCCTTACATCAGCCGACATCGACCGGTGGAACAAGTGCCAAGGACAAGTACATCGGACACCGCGAGATTTTTCACGCTGTTTGTGTGTTGGCGGGACGTTCTCACCAAAATATTACCCGATTTCAAACTCACTAACAAGTTGAACATGTACCATTGGTTGATTACGTGCAGGCCATGGCGCCGCGTCAAATCAGAAGCCGAGAACGCTCTTACTCTCACCACGAGCAAATTCATATCCCCAGGAGTCAGGTTCCGAGTATGGTCCTTGCATCCTGGCAGGATTCAGAGCAAAGGCGTTCAGTGTTCGCTTCTTTCTCCAGCCTCCCCTTCATGAATGTGATGAGAAACAAAGTCGCTGTGTTGCGTCGTTTGCAGAGCTACACCCAGTACATCCCGCTGTCCATGTACGACCTGCAGCAGTGGATGGGGGCACCTTCCATCTATGTGTACGACTGCTCCTCGGCGGGGCTCATCCTCGATTCCTTCAACAAGTTTGCCGTCCAGCACGAGCGGGAGTTCGAGATCTCCCTCGGGGTCAAGGGACAGGCCCCGCCTTCCTACAGGGGCTGCATACAGCTGGCCGCCTGCAGGCCACACCAGGTGGGGCTCCTCTGTCGTCATTTTGAGCAGTTTTATATATTAGGTACAAGTTAACTGTTGTTATTGAAAGCACTGGCCGAGTGGCACGAGTCATCACCCGATTTGAAGAGATCAGTGTTGTGCATTCATCCATGCATCCATCCCCACCTTGTCTTGGAGTGTGCGACGACCCAGCAGGTGGGGAGTTTCACACGCGGAGCAACGGTCCAAAGTGTCGACACGCTTCCTTTACAAACTCGAGGCTGTTCGGCATCCAATCCCCATTCTCAAGTGCCGATGCAGTTGAATCCTCGCTTGGTTGGCTAAAGGGCTTCCTAATGGGGGTGAGAAAGGGGATGAGACATTTTGGCTAGGAAGTGGTAATCGAGCACTGGATCTGCGGGAAGGTGAACAGGCATCTCACTATTGTCTCTCGGAGCAACCATAAGAGGTTTTTCTGGTATGCGGAAGAAGACAGTTTGAACCTACGGCATTTGATGCTGACCACAGTGCGGCTAGGAGAGGCGGGCACGCACTCTCTTTACGTTGAGTACAGCTACGTCTTCCCTCGTGCCACTCTGCACCAGCAGCTGTAAACTGGAACAGAAATTTCAAACGCTTGTCTGCAACCTTTATTCTGTTTCTCCTAAGCTATCTTCAAGTTTCCTCCCCAGTCTCAGGGTTTGAACATCATGATTAATACACACGAGCTCTTCTGCACGTTGACCATTGTTTCAGAGAAACCAGGTGTGATTACAGGGTTGTTAGGTTCTTTTATTGCAGTCCCGTTGCAGGCTGAAAAAAATGAAAGCCGTTTACAACTCCCTGTAACGCCAATTAGAGCGCAGCTCTTGAGGAGGAGGAGGGAAGGGAACTGGGGGGGTCAGTTGACCTCGGAAAGGGGGGGGGGGGGGGGGGGGTCACGTGACGATGACGTCATCAGTGATGATGACGATGACGATGTGGTTGCCGATGACGTCATTGGCATCCGCATCGTCATCGTCATCATCACTGATGACGTCACCAGTGACATCACTGATGAGATCATCGGCATCCGCATCATCATCATCATCACTAATGACGTCATCGTCACGTGGCCCCCCCCCCCCCCCCCCCTAGTTCCTCCCGAAGGAACCCGAGGTCCTCCCGAGGTCCTCCCGAAGGAACCCGAGGTCCTTCCGAGGTCCTCCCGAAGGAACCTGAGGTCCTTCCGAGATCCTCCCGAAGAAACCCGAGGTCCTCCCAAGGTCCTCCCGAAGGAACCCAAGGTCCTCCTGAGGTCCTCCCGAAGGAACCCGAGGTCCTTCGGAAGGACCTCGGGTTCCTTCGGGAAAATTTACCCATAATGCACCGCGCGGTTACGGCGACGGCGACGCCGCTCAAGCCGGAAACGGGCGCCTAAGAGCTGTGCTCTAAAAAGTGATTTTCCCTCCTCATACATCGGCTTGGTGGGGCCAGCGAAGGATATGGCGGCGTTCTTGCCGCTGCTTGGAGTGCCACGGGACTGCCTCTGGAACATCCCTTGCACGTACCATGTCTTTCTGCGGCGCAGGTGCTGCCCATGAGCCCCGAGCTACCCGCAGACCTGTTCACGTCGTGCCTGACCACGCCAGTCCAGATGGCCCTGCGCTGGTTCGTGCTGCAGGGGGGCTCTCGCCTGGTGCCCAACGTCACCCTGGAGCTGCTTGAGCGGGTGCCCGGCCAGCTCCACGACCGGCGCACCATGCTCGGGGAGCTCAACTGGATCTTCACCGCCATCACGGACACCATCGCCTGGAATGTGCTGCCCAAGGCCCTCTTCCAGAAGCTCTTTCGACAGGTGGGCAGGTGGCGGCCACCTTTGAGCAGACAACAGGTCGCCACTGCGCCTGCTGTTAGTGTCCCGCTTAGTCCATGTTGGCTGGAGGATTGTCCGGCTTTGTCTGTGCCAGCCAGGGAAGTGTCCCGCTTAGTTCATGTTGGCCAGAGAAGTGTCCAGCTTAGTCCATTTCAATAAAAGGTCTCTCGATATGTGTTGACCAGGGGGGTGTCCCAAATTAGTCCATATTTGCCAGATAATTCTCCAGTTTAGTCTATGTTGGCCAGGAAAGTGTCCAACTTAGTTTGTGTTGGCCAGAAAATTGTCTGGCTTAGTCCGTGTTTTGGGCCACGGTTGACCGAGGTCTGCTCTTGCTGGCCGGTCGTTCGGCGACCAGCGTTGGTTCATGCACCCTTGCGGATGCTTGCCTCCCCGTGCCCAGGACCTGTTGGTGGCCAGCCTGTTCCGCAACTTCCTGCTGGCGGAGCGGATTATGCGCGCCTACAACTGCCAGCCCATGTCCCAGCCCGCCCTGCCGGCCACCTTCCAGCACCCCATGTGGCAGGCCTGGGACCTTGCCCTGGACCTCTGCCTGGCACAGCTCCACCGGGTCCAGGCGGGACAGCCCTTCCAGCACTCGCCCTTCTTTGCCCAGCAGCTCACTGCCTTCCAGGTAGCCACGACGAGATGCGTCTTCAAAAACTGAAGCTTGTGTGGGATTTCCCCCCCCTCGAATTGGTGTGATTGTAGTTGTAGAGCATCTGTCGTCGATGTCGCCAAATTGCTTCAAAAAGAAAATCCCAGAAACCTGCCGCGGTTTTCTCAGGATTCGATCCTGGGTGCACTGATTGTGAAGTGAGTGCGCTACCACAGAGCCGCGCCAGCTGCTTCAACATGCCACCCAATGAACCGCGTGTGTTGAGCACAGTTGCATGTATGAGTCTCGTGCAGCACCCGCTAAACGGCCCTACTTGCGTTAGAGGATCTCTGTGTGTATGAAATAGACAAGTGCGTCACTGTCCGAGCAGACATTGGCGATGGTTCCTCCACGTAAGGTGCAAGATACATTAAAACAGATTACAGTCGGTGACAGATTCCAGTTGATGCTCTGCCTTAAGTGCGAGCTTTCTGCCCTTGATAATGCTTTGTTGCACGTGCAGCGAAAAGCCGGCAGAAGGCGAGAGGTGCTTGCTGGAGGCAGAGCATCTGCAGGGCTCTTAACCTGTCACCGACCTTGGGGTTCGACGAGGTGTCGCAGCTGTTGCTGAATGTACACTTTAGATTCACTCAGGACTGTTAAATGTCTTGCGTCTCCACCCTTTGCGTCCCCGCGCAGGTTTGGCTGACCTTCGGCTGCGAGCGGTGCTCCCCTCCAGAGCAGCTGCCCATTGTGCTCCAGGTGCTCCTGAGCCAGATCCACAGGCTCAGGGCCTTGGACTTGCTCGGGAGGTTCCTGGACCTGGGACCCTGGGCCGTCAACTTGGTGAGGGCGCATCTTCCCGCTTTGGGGCGGTCGGTTCTCCCGAAGTGGAGGTTCTTGGGCGGTGTGCCACGGCGCTCGTCCTTTCCAGGCCCTGTCGGTGGGCATCTTCCCGTACATCCTGAAGCTGCTGCAGAGCTCTGCCCGGGAACTGCGGCCCCTCCTCGTCTTCATCTGGGCCAAGATCCTGGCCGTGGACCAGGTGAGGCACACCCTCTGTCCGCAACGCTCCTTTGGATTGGGTTCGATTTTGGCGACTGTTAATTGAAGTGAATTGGACTGTAGGGTAAAAATTCACTGAACTCATTGTTCAAAATCCAGGAAGCCACAAATTTTGTTTGAATTATTAGAAGTTCAAATTATCATAAATTCGTCTAGATATGACACAAGCTGAAATTATGCTTTGTTATGTGAATGTCTGCACATACAAAGCAGATAGTTGATGATTTCACTTATGGAATGTTGGTGAAATGTATGAGGTAAGTTTATTCGTTTCTCCGAAATGTTGTCTATCATACCGTTCAGAGAGCACATGACACTTCAAAACAAAATAAGGTTTGTTCATCCAGCAAAAAAGTTCTCGATCGTGGACTATTAGCCCCTTCGAGCGCGCTTCTTTCTGAGCACCGGTGCACTGCAGAGAAGGGGATACGGTCCATTCGTCACATGCACACTCGTCACAGGACGATTGGTCACAGGACGATTCGTCACACAGGAACATTCGTCATAGGATGACTCGTCACGCGGCCAACCGGTCCCACAATAGTTCGTCCTCCCAAAAATGTATTGTTCAATTTGGTTCGGGTGGACAAAGGCGAAGAATTTGTAACGAACGTTTTAGCTTCTGATTCGGTCCCGAACATTGAATGTTGGTTGGGCCTCACAAAGTGGGTCACCTCTTATCTTAGCATGTCTTTCGCTTCTCGAGGTCAAAGAATTTGTAACAGACGTTTTAGCTATCTGGGTCCGTCCTGAACGGTGAATGCGGAGGCCATAAAAGAGCGACTATTTTTGAACTGAGACTACATTCGAAAGGATGGAGGTGATCGCAACATAGAGAGGTAGAGCCATGATGCTGCACGAGGGGTACTCGTACACATTCGGCAGAATTAATTCCGATACTTGTTGGTTTTGTCGAATAGGTGTATGCAAGGCAAAACTAAAAACTAATTTGGCTGCCAGTCGGATTATTGCTCGTTCAAGCCTGCAACTGAGATCAACCTGCTCAAGACCCGTAATATAATGAAAGGAAAAGCGGATGAGTATTGTAATATTAGTTTATATAACCATTGGTTTACGTGACAGTGGAAAATCGTGAAACTCCTCATCAGGGTATGTGGGCAGATGTTGAAATTTACAATTTACTATCGTCCCCTCCTCGATCAATGTGACCAGTTGCCCGCATGACGAGTCATCCTGTGACGAATGTTCCTATGTGACGAATCATCCTGTGACCAATCGTCCTGTGACGAGTGCGCATGTGACGAATCGTCCTCATCCCGCAGAGAAGTAACGTTGCTTCTCCGCAGTGCGCCAGTGCTCGAAAAGAAGCGCACTCGACGGGGTCGCAAGAATAAAAAGTCTGAATTGTACGAAGATGCCGTTTGAATTAGCCGGCTTACTAATGCATTGAAAACATTTTAGGAGAACCAAACTTTTGAAATTTGTTTGAATTATCCGGATGTGCTTAATGTCCTAGTTTGCATTATCGTGAGCCTACAGTAGGCACTACAGAGATTGTCATACCTCGAGGCGTTTAAGGCACCTTGGACACGCTGGCAGACTTTTAGGGCAGAATTGCATTCTGGCGAAAGTTTAATTGGATTTCGTGTCGTCCGAAGGCACGCTTCGGAGGGATCCGGAAGCCGGCAAGGCTGCTGCCTGCCAAACCTTTGCTCCACCAACCACCAACTGCGTATGTCAACTCACATTGTGTGTCTACAAGTCGTGCTTCAACACGTTATGAGTTGCCCTATTAGATGCTCTCTGGCCTTAGTATGCGTCTATGGATTCTCCCCGTCATCCCACGAAATTAGAAAAGGCGGGAGGAAACGATGAAGCAACACTTTGAAAGGGACGAGCCATTTTGCGTGCGACAGTTTCATCGATAGACTGAAATACAGCTGCAAATCGTATTGCCCCACATCGCGCGCCGTTGTCGTGGGTCAGGCACGGATCGAGCGCCGGCCGGCCTCGTAGAGAGAGGCTGACGCTGGCGTGTGTCTCAGTCCTGCCAGGTGGACCTGGTGAGGGACAACGGGCACCGTTACTTCCTGAGCGTCCTCTCCGACACCCTGTACATGCCCGTGAGTTGCCCCCTGGGCTGTGTTCGGCGGCGTTGGGAGGCTCACAGCTCCCTCAAAACACCCGCAGGCGGAGCACCGCACCATGGCCGTCTTTGTCCTGTCCTGCATCGTCTGCAACTACCCCAGCGGACAGGTGGGTGCCGCCGCCGACCCGCAACGGGGACCCGGCGGCACTCGTTTTTTGCACTCTTTTAACAAAGATTATGGTTTTGGATGGCGGAGGGGGGAGGGATTTTGTAAAGAGATGTAACAGTAAGACAAATGTAATGTTGCCGACAAGATGTAGTGTCACCAACAAGATGTAACCTCGCAGACAGATTTAACCCTTTAACGGTCGGGTTTTTTTTTCCTCGAAAAAGATGTTTCCCAATGGTTGGGTTTTTTTCCGGGGGAATAGTATGAAAATGGTCAATGCACAGTTTTTCTTTAATTGTCTAGTGGGAGCATGTGCAGTGCTTGCAAGCTGTTTAGGTTTAGAAGTATTCAATTAAAATATTGAAGGCAAAAAGTTGTCTCCTTCCATTCAATTTCATTTTGGCACACCCACTTCCAGAGCATTCCGGCACCTTTAGCTTCCTAACCGGAGGTACTTTACAAAACCGCTCCGTCAGATGATAAGCTCTTACACTTTGAATTTAATTCTTAAAAGCATCGGAAGTCTGAATCAAAAGAGCCAATGCTCCCACTGGCACTTCCGCCAGGGCGGCCTGTATGCGAAGTCAGCATCACATGTGCGGAGCATCCAGGAGCGTCCATTTTGTAAATATAAATGGCGGGGGCCTGACCGGGAGCACCGTCCGGCGGTCTTTCGGCAGGAGGCCGCACTCAAGGGCAACGTGATAGCGCTGTGCACGGAGCAGCTGACGGACCCGAACGGGCACCTGCGCCAGTGGCTGGCCCTCTGCCTGGGACGCACCTGGAACGGATACACGGCCGCCCGCTGGTGCGGCATACGGGACAGCGCCCACGACAAGCTGGCCACCCTGCTCAGCGACCCCGTGCCCGAGGTACGTCCCCCAACCCGTCGCTGCGTTCTGTTGAGCGGTTCCCAATCGGGATTGCTGGCGTTGCAATCGCGGATCGTGGACCACGACGTTTCACGGATCCTTTGGCATCAAGGCGTCGGGACCTTGCGGCGATGGCGGCTCGAAACGTTTGCCCTTATTTTTTTCCATAACTGCTACGATCAACCACCGGGATCACAACGTCCGATGTCGTAATGGGTGGCACTTGGCATTTCCATACGTTGCCGCCTGCATGGTCGAGAAAAAATGCTTCTGTACTTCTAGGAGATCCATGTTTACTTTTACCCGAGTGTAATAGGTGAGGAGGCCAACATGACCTTTCTAAGTCAGTCTCCTGAGCGTTCAAACATTTTAGACAGAATGTTCCAGATACCGAGGGTAAAAGATAAGGAGTCCAGTGCGGCCTTGTGTTATTCCAACACTTTGACGCTCGTTGCTCCTTTCTCAATACTCTTTTTTATTTCTTCTTTTCAAGCACAAGTCCGCCGATTAAACCTGTATTTTCAGTTTTACGCCAGTCTATCCTTTTGCATCCGTGACTTGGAGGTCACGGATGCAAAAATTGAAAATGCGAGGTGCGTTGATTACGAGAGGGGAAAAAAAAGTCCAAATATTGGTACCCGTTGTGGGGGTGTGTTCATTATGTGAGTGCATTCATTATGCAAGTAAATACAGTATATTTTCTATTTATTTTTGCGCATCAATATTTCTTGGCTTTTGACAGTGATCGTTTAATCTCGCGGAGTCGACAAAACCTTCGCTTTAGTAAAATCTAGTTCCAGGGTCACCTCATAGATGACGCAGGCGTGCCAGTGCATTCTCTCATCAATAGAAAGCACCAGACCTCAATCCTAAGCAAACGCAAATGTGTGGACGGGCCTCGGCATGCCAACTGCCGCGGCACAATTCGTCGCAACTTCGAGGCCACTTTTAACGCTCGTGCGGCACGGGGCGTCGAACGGAGCGCAACGGTCAAAGACACGTCGCGGCACCACTTTTTCGCCGTCGCCTTCGAATGTTACGAGCGCCTAGTCCGAGGGTGCGTGGCTGCACCCTCATCCCAGCACGTTGGCCATCGCCTCCCCAGGTGCGAGCAGCGGCGGTGTACGCCCTGGGCACGATCCTGAACTGCCCGGCCAAGCGGACAGACCACGCGGACACGGTGGACCAGGGCATCGGCATGAGCCTCATCTCGTCGGTAGCCCACGACGCCAGCCCGCTGGTGCGCAAGGAGCTGGTGGTGGCCCTGCAGTGGCTGCTGGCAGTCTTCGAGACGCAGTTCGTGGCCGTGGCCTTCCAGTTCCTCGAGGAGGAGACCAAGGAGCAGTCGACCTTCCTCAGCCCGGGTACGTGGTGGCAGAGCTTCTGGCACCTGTGGGCGCCCACTCTGAGGGGAGCCGGTTAGGACCGCCGGCGTGATTTTTGTGGCAAGGGTCGAGGGCACTTTGATAAAGTCTTTAGGTGCCCTCCGGCAACGGACTGGCGTGTCCGTGGCTTCCGGTGGGACAGAAAATCAGGTGGTGCTTCGGCTCCCGGTGCACTCTCGCTTCGAAGGTTTAGTTTTTTCCCAGCAGACTTTGGGGGTTGGAGTACCGTGGCCAAGTGACGTTTGCATCGGTGGGGGCAGCGACTATATTTTGTTAAGATGGAAGCTTGCACGATTTGGCGATTCATAGTAGCAGCAACGGCGCAAAACGACGAGGACAAAAGTTGAGGAGACACCTGGAAGGTCGAGCGAGGGTGCTGTTTGTCCTTCCATTTCATAGCTAGTTCCTTTGAGTGGACAGAACCGCCCGAGAAGCTGTCTTGGCCGCGCTGGCATCTGGAGCGGGGTGGGCTCTTTGTTGCAGATTGCACGCCAGCGGCGATGAAGAAGGTGGCCTCGAGGGACCGCATCAAGCTCCTGCCCATCCCCAGCAACAGTGAGTGGCTTCCGTCCAGGACACCCGCGTAGGGTGTCGATCGGACGCCACTGGGGTCTGTGGTCGCTTTTGGTGGAAAAGTTGTTCCTCCGCCGGAGCGTAGGAGATGGCCGGTAGGGTATCTGGAGCGTGTTTCCGACCGCCGCGTCTTCATTCGTGGTCCTTCGATTTCATCCGGATGATGTCGTAGAAAGGTCATGTTTTTGCCTGCCGCAATCGTGGCAGTCACCTTTTTGGACGCGAAAAACACACCAGTCGAAGATGCGTTAGGGGATCGCTTTGCGCAGTCCTGTCCGCGGCGGTGGTGGACGGCCTCCCAGAGGCAGCCCTGGCGGCGCCCGCACAGCCTCCGCCGGCGGACCGGATGCGGCGGGTTTCGTCGAGCACGTCCATCTCGAGCCTGGGGACCCCGTCGGGGGCCCTGGGGGGCGGCGGGGTTCACAGCCAGGTGTGGAAGGCCCTGCAAGCCCTGGGGCACGACCCCCACCCCGAGGTGGCCCACCTGGCGGGGGTGCTGCTGGGAGCCTACAAGGACAAGGCCCAGTCGAGCTTCGAGTGGCGCAACCGCCGCCGCAACTCGGTCTCTCACTCGGAGCCCTCCTCGCCCTCGGGGAAGGCCGGCTACCTGGCGTGAGTGGGGCTCCCTCGACGGGTTTTCAAGGTCGCACGGGTTCCAAGGTCGCGGTTATTTTCAAAGCCGTAAGGACCTTCAAAGTGACGATGATTTCCAAGGCCGCCCAGACCTTCAAAGCTGTGCAGTTTTTAAGGGGTGGATAGCTTTTCAAGGTCATACAGATTTTCTAGGTAGAGAGTGCGACACTGTTAGCGCGAACAAGTGATTGCCAGCTTTTAGTGTTTTTTCTCTTAGAATTAAAAGGCTGTCATCAAAGATACCATTGTTATAGAAAGAGCTCATCTAGGGCTCTAATATAAGGGGTAAAATTGTGTGCCCACTAGTACTCCTTCCTAATAAAATGCGAAAAGGCACCGATGTCATGTTCGCGCCAGCAGTGTCGGATGTGCACCACTGTCATTTGACGGAATATATTTTTCAAGGTCGCAGATTCATATAAATTGCAAGATTGTACAGATTTTCAAAGCCATATCGATTCTCGCTCGAATTTTTCTATGTTAAGCAGATTTTCTATCAGACTTTTTATGGCATACGGATTTTCAACATCGTGGATTTTCAAGGTTGCACCATTGGGGAAGTGGGTGAAGAAGTTTCCTCAAACGACCTTGGGAGGGGGGCAAGAGATAAGCCACAATACGCACGAAAGAGATATTGAGGGAGCTCTATCAAGGTCACTGCAGCTCAATGAAGCCAGCAGGATTCGGCTTCCTTAGTCAAGCTAGCGACCACGCACTCTCGAGTACGCACTCGCATATTTTCATACCAGAACCTAACGACCTGGCGACATCCGGAAATGGGATTGATTTGGCCTTGCTGCAGAATGTCTTCGATCGATTTGTGACCCAGCATCAGTTCCTTCGGGTAGCCACGAGCGTGCCTTGTGGGACGCCCCGGCTGTGACAGTTTTGCCCCATGCCTGCAGGGGCGACTCGCCGCCCGCGCTGCATGGCCAGCGGCCGCAGCCGACTCGGGGCCATCCGTTCCAGCAGACGGCCCACTTCAGCCGCTCGCGCAAGATCTTCGACCGGGGTCCCCAAGTGCCCGCCCCAGTGAGTGCCCCCGCCACGCTCCTCGGGTCAGACGATTCTATGCCAGAGCACCTCTGGCAGAACGTGCGGCGCCCTCTGCAGGGCCGAAATGAATTCTGGGAATTGGCTGTATAGAACTGGTTGTTGCTGACAATGGAGGCAGTATGGGTGAGGGTGGGCGAGCTACTGCGCCACACCCTCTCTCACACGCTTTTTTCGGTGCCACGCGGTGTAGGTGCTGCGGGCCCAAAAAGGAACGCACAGGACGTTCCCGCGTGTCGTCGTGCACTTGGCAGCCTACGTTTTGGGATGTTTCGCTCCGTACAGTTTTGGAAGTTTTCCGTAAAACAGTCGGACGCCGAAATGCGTTTCCCGATTTGGCATGGGAGGAACATTCTTTCTTTCTACAGCGAAGCTCTATAAGAGTTGCATGTCGGATTTCTGGAACATTTTTTGTGTCATCATCCTCGCCGAAAAAATTTCTTTAGCAATTGAAGCAATAAGTGCACATCATGCATACAACATGCAGCGTAACATTTGTTTCAAAGCACAAAACAAGCATCCGAACCACATAATTGATGAAATTCACAGGGTCTCTTATGTCATCCCTAAGAGGACTTGAAGGCAGGCGAAAGCCCAAGCGCCCATGCATTAAAGACAGATTTACCCGCTGAGTCATCCCTCTTAATGTGCTGACTTATCCTTCTCAATTTCTGAGCCATCCTTCCCAGTGTGCTGAGTTATCATCTTAACTCGTTTAGTCATCCACTGAGTGGTCACTTAAAGGTTGTGGTACCTTTTCTGTCGCCTACTTTGAGACATATAAGGCTTTTGCCTTAATAAGGCACTCCTGATAACAATGCGAAGCGCTTAGCACGCGTTTCTTGGACAGAATTGCAGTTGCTTAAGCCGCCGCGGCAGCGGCAGCGTACAAAGTCTTTCATACATAAAGAAGTTTTGGTACAGTGCATTTACTTTTCTTTCATCAATCACTTGGTATAGACCCTTTTCCTATTTACAAACGTGAACTGCCGCTTGCGTCCCAAGCGACTTCCAGTCACGCCGTCTTTGCAAGCCTGTTGAGCTTGCTTACGTCACCAGTGCTAGAAAGCATAAATGCTGCACAAACAACAAAGTTGGAGATTTGACGAGGCCCTTCGGCTGTAGAATATTACATCTTAAAGGAGTCATGAAACGCTTTTCCAACTTTTTCCTGTTTAACTTTCCTCCTCAACTCATAAATCGCGCATTCTACCGAACAGTTCAAGAAGAGGGAAAGCGGGAGTCCCCTCTTGTTTGGACTCTCGTTTGTGTAATCCGGACACATCCATTCTCCCCCTAGAAGATTAGCCCGTCACTCAAAATTCAGACGAAAGTTGCTTTCCCTACCCCGTTCACCCCGAAGCTGACAATGCTGTGGATGCTACGTGCTCCTCAGGCCAGGCACACTTCTTTCACGTGATGTCGCTCTCTCGCGCATACCCACGCACAGAGAATGAAGTCGGGTGATGAAAGGGGGGCGGCTGGTTGGTCCGGCAAGCGCTTGGCTTCCGCCACAATGTCAGCTTAGGGGTGAAGGGACTAAGTGAGGTCAGGCGCCGTGTGACGTGCGTTTGGAGCCGGTGACGCGCTTTTGGGACCGCAGATGTATCCCAGTGAAAGGGCAGAGAGCTTACGAAGGGAAGGAGGTACGAAATAGTCCGCAGTGTTTTCGAATTTTCATACCGAAAGTCGGGCTTTTGACTTTCTACCTTTTTTCTTTTGGCCCACTGAACGACATGTGCAATTAGTAAAATCCCAATATAAATTGATTTATTCCAACTCAAAATTCGTTTCATGGGCCCTTTAAAAGAGGCAAGTTGGTTTACAAGAATACTCAAAAAAACATTTTTAACAGATCTCGCACTTCTTCGTTCTTTTGGTGTTCACCTGGAGAATTGGTGGTGAAACATTTCATCCACATTTCAAGCAGCGGTGTTAAGGTGGCCTTTGTTCATTCTTTTTATAAAGTTCTCTGGGACGTAAAAAGCTGGAGCACCACCTGGTGGCATTTGCCACAAAAAGGGTCTATAGTGCAGTGAGCAGTCATTGCAGGTGATACCACAGCTTCGCTGTCCAACCAACTGCTCAGCGAGGATTGAAGTCCCAACTTTTTTTTTTTTATGGAGGTTTCGCCGGTTTGGTTAAAACTGGCAACTATGCCGTCTATGGGTCACGCCGGAAAAGTAGCTCGGTTCCTGGCTTCTCTTTTTCCTCCTGTCGCGAGTGCCCGGCAGAAACCACACTGACCGCGGGGCCCGCCCCCGTAGGTGGCCGAGGACGACACGGAGGAGCAGGCGCAGCCACAGACGACGGTGCCCCTCGTGAGCACGGGATTCGTCGAGTGGTCGTCGCGCTACTTCACCCGCCCCTTGGCCAAGGTAAGAATGTGCCCCCCCCCCCCCCTCCCCTTTCACGGTGTCTGTGGCCGTGTTCCAAAATCTACTCGATCTGACTCCAGAGTAAAGGTTTTCTACCTTTAGTCGGGAGTAAAGGTTGAAAATCTTAGTGCTCGGAACCTATTCGTAACTCTTTGGGTCGTCTCGCAATACGACGCGCGGAAGTAGCTCGGATCAACTCGAGTAAGACGTGGAGTACGAACGACCCTTTTGATTCCAAAAAGTTGCCCCGACACTCTGCCCACCGCTGAGTTGACAGTGTGGTGGAAGCCACTCGCCCGTCGTATCGACCGTACATCCATCTTTCGCCGTGTGATCCCGCCCACTCCGACGTGCAGAGAGCGAGGTCGGGCAGCGATCGATATTGTTTATAGAACACGTAGCTTCCGCCGCACCGTCGGCTCAAGTGCAAGCAGGGTGCTGGGGTTGTCGGACGTATCGAGTCGTGGTACGATCGTTTGTCGCCTGACCACGTCCTTGTCACCAGGCGTCCCAGAACGGAGACCCGGAGAGCAAGGAACACCAGGAGAAGGAGTGGAGGTTCCTACGCAACGCCCGCATGCGTGCCCACGCGGAGCGGCGCAAGGCTGGTGAGCGAAGGCACTCCTTCTTGCGCGTCTATGACTTTTGTTCGTTTGGCCTTGCCGCGGAATGGCTTAGATCGATTTGGCATCTCTTTTAGGAGCGGCTTTGATCGACCAGGCCTCGTCGTAAGGTGGCTTTGATGTTGACTTGGCCTTGATGTAGATTGGCTTTGATATTGACTTGGCCTTGTCGTAGAGTGGCTTCGATATTGACTTGGTTTTGCCATAGAGTGGCTTTGATATTGACTTTTCTTTGGCGTAGAGTGGCTTCAGTTGGTTTAGCCTTGCCACGGAGTAACTTTGATCAGCTCGATCTTGCCATAAAGCGGCCCTGATTGATCTGGTACCCCGCATTTCCCGGCGGGGCAGGACATTGCCGGAAACCACGGCCAACAAACGTGGGCTTGGAGCGAGACGGCCAAAGAACTCTCCGACAAGCTCGTCCCGCTCTACGTTTGCCCGTGGGAAACTGTGGCGAATTTTCGGCTCACGTCCTTTGCCCTGTGGCACCGGCTCCTTTCGGCTTCCGCTGCCCCTTAGCCGACTCGGCCCGCAAAAGGAGCCGACTCGCGTAGCTTGCCGTGTTCGGGCGTGCCAACCGTGTTCAGAAAGCTGTGAGCCACGTCAACCCCCGACCCGTTCGCGCGTACCCGAGGCGAGTGCCACGCTCGGCACGTATGGGAACGGTCGTGGGTTGCAACATTGCCGGCGTCCTTCCCCGTCCAGGCACGTGGTCCGAGACGGGGCGGGTGGAGGAGCAGGTGTTCTACAGCCGGTGTCCGAGCGTGCCTTCCTGCCTCGCCTTCCACCCCTACGAGCCGGAGCTGTGCGTCGCCAACAAGGACTCCTACACGTGAGCAGCCTCTCTCCTTGCCTCAATTTTTACGCATTCTTGTTTGGTGAGGACGGCTTTCGTGGCTTTCGCGCCGCAAACCCGCATAATCATCAGCCTTGGTTTTGCGCCTTACTGGGGTCGCTCGCTGCAAACAGGGGTGTAATGTGCGATGGCCCCTAGCCACATACTATACTACTTCATCTTGCATGTGTCCATGGTGCGGACAAAAGCACGGGCACGTAAGCGGAGCTCAGCCAAACGTTTTTGTTTGTACTAGAACATGCACATGGAAGGTGCTTTCGAAAGCCACACGCCCGTGACTGTGCGTTTGTCCGCGTTGGAGGTGTTTGTGAGATGAAATATAGGTTTCTTTTTGCACCTTCCGGTGATAATTCTTTTTATGAAATTATTATCCACATCTTTTGAACGCGGCTCTGTTCAAAATACCATCGTTACTGCTGTCTGCGTGCGGACAACCATTCGTGAGACAAAAAAAAAAAAAAAGTGAAAGCCGTTTACAAATCCCTGTAACACCGAATCGGAGCGCAGCTCTTGAGGAGGAGGAGGGAAGGGTACTGAGGGCCACGTGTTCTCGGGGGGGGGGGTCACGTGATCCCCCCTGAGGGCACGTGACCTTGGTGGGGTTAACTGGGGGCAATCACGTGCCCCCCTCAGAGGTCACGTGACCTCGGGAGGGTGTCACGTGACCTCGGGTTGTCACGTGACCCCCCCCCCCCCCCCCCCCCCGGGTCACGTGACCAAAATTTTTCCGCTAGATTTAGCGGGGAAACTTTCCGCTAAATTTAGCAAGGAAATTTTTTCCGCTAGATTTAGCGGAAAAATTTTCCGCTAGATTTAGCGGGGAAATTTTTCCGCTAGATCTAGCGGGGAAATTTTTACGCTAGATTTAGCGGGGAAATTTTTCCGCTATAGCGGGGAAATTTTTCCGCTAGATTTAGCGGGAAAATTTTCCCGCTAGATTTAGCAGGGAAATTTACCCATAATGCACCGCGCGGTTACGCCGACGGCAACGGCGACGCCGCTCAAGCCGGAAACGGGCGCCTAAGAGCTGCGCTCTAAAAAGCAAATTTTGTGGACATCTGTTTTGGGCAGTTGTTTGACACGAATTAACGCGAGTGCATTGCAGTGGTGCAGCCCGTCGGCAACGCTTTTCATCAGTAACAAAACCCCGGCTAGGTGGCACAGGCTGCCTTCCGATTTGGAGAGTTTGGCCGTACGCATCCTTCCGTCTCGCAGGCTCTGGGACGAGCACGGCAGTGCCCAGAGTTGCCACTCCAACGACAACCCGCCCCAGACCCGCATCACGGCCCTGCGCTACCTGAACGCCCACGACCTCTCGCTCCTCCTCACGGGATTGGGTACGCCGCCCCCCCGGTTTTCTGCACGTTCCTGCAAGTGCAGGCACCGATACGTACCCCCACGGACGGTATGAGCCGAAATGTTTTTTTGAACGGTCTGAAGTATATAAGACTTCAACTTCACGACGTTTCATTTTAAATTTGGACCACTGCTCTCAAAAACACAGAAGCACGAACAACTGTTTCGGGTCACATCGTCCGTGACAGTATACATTGGCCATGCGGACGTCTGCGGCCAGTGCGTGCAGTAGACTCTCCTTAATCCAAACACCAGAAAGCCACGAATTTCGTTTGAATTATCGGAAATTCATCTAAATACGATGCGAGATAAACTTATGATTTGTTACTTGGATGGCTAGACATACCTTGCAGATATCTGATGATGCCTTGCTCTACAGAGGCCTACTAATTATAAGCTGGTATGCCACTCAATAAATATTAGTGAAATGTTTGAGATGAGTTTAGCGATCCCTCAAAAACGTTGTCTATTGTGGACTGTTTAGACAGCACATGACACCTGAAAACAAAATTAAGTTTGTTCATCCAGCGAGAACATTGTCTATTGCGGGCTCTTGGCCCCGTTGAGCACGCTCCTTACCGAGCACCGGTGCACTGCAGAGAAGCGCGCTCTACGGGGCCGCGAGAACAAGAAGTCTGAATTACACACAGACGGTCAAAGGAGGCGAAATTTTCGCACCTATTTCTTTGTGTTGACGTGGTGTCCTTTATGTCGGCAGCTCACAAACACCAGCGTTTCATTTGTAAGCGCAAGAAAAGCAATTTTAAAATGAATAAAACGATTTCCCAATACCATCTGGTAGTTGGGGGGCCGAGCTTCGTTGGAATGTTTCGCCTCACAGGTCCATTAGGAGCAGCGCCGCGACGCGGCGTGTTCGATGGAGGCGCCCGGGAAAAAGCAGCGCTTGGCACACCTCTCAGTTCTAGTACACCATACCTCAAGTATTCCCACTTGGCGGGATTGTAAGGTGTTGACGATAAAATTGGCGCTACCTAGTGACGACGATAGTAATTACGGTACCCTTGGCCGTTTATGGGGCCGTGACGTCGCGAGCGTGACGTCGGGGGCAAATATCCTGAGACGCATCGCGCCACCTTGATGGCCGATTTTGAAGTGCTCGCCAGAATTCGTCGGTTGGAACGAAAAATATAGCCATCTGCTGAAAATACAAGCAAGGGATTATCATTTACAGATACGGATCGTATTTCACCCACTTTGAAGTGTTCCGGGGATATTTCAAGTTTCAAATCTGCAGCTTATAAATACATTGAAAACATAGCGGGACAACCAAAGTTTTGAAATTTGATTGAATTAACTGGAATCATGAAATATCCGTGTTTGAATTATCGCGAGCCTACTGTATTTCGTGCAAAACGGGAGCTTACTGCTTTTAGTTTGTTCATTTTTGTGCAAGTGTGGAGCAAAACATTATTGACCGTTGTTATTAAAAACGTCGGCTAGGTGGCGCGAGCTGCCTCACAATTTCAGAGTGTTGGCTCTATGCAACCATTCGTCCGTCCTGTGGTGCGAGCCTGGGGAGTTAAGGAGGGTGTCGCTCTCTCTTTCAGATGACGGTGCGGTGAGGGTGTGGAGAAACTACTCCTCTTCCCAACGGCAGCTAGTGACAGCCTTCCAGGCCCTGGGAGACGTGCCGTCGACCGCACGAGGTTTCTATACTCTCCCTCTCACTGTTTCTTTTGACGTAGAAAAATGTTTGAACAGCAGGAGAGGCCTTATTACAGAACGTTTCGGGAAGAGACTCCCTTCGGAAGTCTCTTCCCGAAACGTTGTGTAATAAAGCCTCTACTGCTGTTCAAACATTTTTCTATGTTTACGACTTTCTTGGTGAAGACTTGTTCATTAATACACTTTGTCTCATTTGAGAGGGATGATTTTTTTGTGTAATTATTTATTCATACTGCAGGCTCATCCATTAAGAACAACAATACACCAAGGCACAAAAAACAAACTGACACCTAGAAGAGATCACGACCATTAGTTAAAAAGTATTTTCAGAGGGGCTCAACTCTAAAATTTGTAATGAATGTCTCGATTTTTGTACGATCAAGAGTAATTTTTGGTGACTGGTTTCATGCAGTTACTGTCTCGGAAAAAGATTAAAATATAAATGTATCATGATATGCGCGAAACTCCCTTATAATTTTTTTGTTGTTAAAACGAGCGTTTGCTTGCAACACTGGAGTCGTGTACAAAGGGCACTTTATTTGAGTTTAACCGTCATACAGTGTGTCCCAGATAATTCGGACAAAACTTATAAGAAAGGCGGAGCGTTCTGCAAAAGGTGAAACCAACTGTATGTTGTTTGAGTCTTACAAAAGTGCACAATTTTTTTTGAAGTGTGGTTAGTTATATGTACAGTTGAAGCTCGTTAATTCAAACTTGTGGATAATTCAAACTAACGTACAGGTACCATCCTATGCATCTCCATTGGAGGAACTCCCGGTAATTCAAACTTTGCTTTGTTCAAACAAATGCTTGATTCCCCTTGAGTTTGAATTGACGAGATTCTACTAATTAAATAAGACTGATTAGCTTACTTCTTAAATATTCCCCTAGGGGCTGACGTGTGAATTGGAAAGCTGTATAGCGCATTGAGAAATACCTAATTAAGGTGTTTGCTACATTATACGTTGCAAACACCCAATTAAGGTGTTGGCAACTATTTAAAAAGTTAAGTAATTGGTCTTAATTAATTAAACAACTTAGTGTGCTATGAAAATTTTGTGCACTTTCATAAAACACTTGCTAACAACATACAATTGGTTTCACTCCTACAGAGTGCTCCGTTTCTTTATTTTTTTTTAATGTTTGGTGCAAGTTATTTGGAACACCCTGCATATTATGTACATATACTTTAATCTCTTTTCTGAGTGCCTGGCTTCAAGCGTTTCGAGTCCTAGTAAACCAATAATTTCAGTCACATTAACAGAGATTTTTTTATGTGCCGGGTCTCACGAAAAAAGTTACTCTTGATTGAAAGATGGGTCATGTGATATTATGACGCCACACGGGACGATTTTGGCCCAGTGCAGCGGACTAGAGCAGCTCAACAATGGCGTTCCCTCGCAGGTGCTGGGATGGTGCTGGACTGGGACCAGCAGACGACCACCCTGATTGCGTCCGGAGACGTCAGGGTCATCCGCGTCTGGGACACTGGTCAGGAGAAGAAAATCCTGGTGAGGGACGGCCGCACACAACTTCGGTAACCGGCGGTGTAGCAGCCGCTGAGCGGTACCTCCAATGTTCGCGTTCTGCCAGGCTGCCGGTACTAATGGCACCTGCCGTTCCATGTTTTCCGACGGCACACGAAATCAGCGGACCAGTCCTCGATACCGGCCGTTGTAGACTACCGCAGAGGGAAGTGGTTCGTAAAAAATGGCACCGTCCCATATCTGCCCAACGTCGCGATCCTGACAGTTGGTCGGAGAAGTTCCGGCAAAAAGTGTCGGCGAGCGTCGCCGTCGCTGCAGCGTTCTCACTGCCGAAGCTTTTGTGAACTGTCAATCTGAACGGCAACCTACAGTGGAACAGGCGTAGCGCGACACTTCTAGGACGTCGTCGGGCGGAAATTGAGAGCACGAACGGGGACGCGCTAATTGCGCCAGTCGTGGATATGATTTGGGCACCGTATTGTTGCACTTAGACACGCAAAGCCTTCCCCGGGTCGCTCTGTTTTCGCGGGGTGTGCAGTGACGCGTGGCACCCCTCGCAGGACATGCCGACGGGGGCGGACTACCCGATCACAAGCCTCTCCACGGACCACCAGGGATCGCTGCTGGTGGCTGGCTGCGGGGACGGAACCATCCGGGTCTATGACCGGAGACTGCCGCCGGCGGACTGGTGAGTGGTGCTTGGTGGGGCGAAGGTCACCGCCGCGGGGGAAGGCCGAGCGGACGACGGGCACCGTGCTGCTTCGGCGACTCCGAGGCAAAGCACCAGACTAGGAGTCCCCCCGTCGGCGGGTTCGGATCCCAACTTGCAATCCGTTTGGGGCCGATCGCAGATAGGGCGCCGCGCGACAAAGATTTCGGTGGCACGTGATCCCCAAGGATCAGTTTGCCGATCACCGGCGGCCCCCTCTTGCTGGCAACCGGGTTGCTGCGTCAAGGAGAGGGCTTCTCTGTGGGGCTGCGTTCCTTGGAATTATGCCACATGCCAGCCAATGGGGTGGCTGCCACAGACTGCAAGCTTCGCTCCATGCGACAGGAGAATTTATGTGCCGTTTGGCGCAGCTTCGAGAGCTGATAACACCGGTTCGCTCCATGGGACAATTAATGCTTTTGCATGAATAATCGAAGCGAGGACGGAATTAGGCAACCATTTGCCCGTAACAGTGGGCACCTTTAGCTTCTTGTTCCTAGGGAGTTGGGCACGCGACCTTGCAATCCCTCTTGCGGGTGATTGCATTGATCAGTAAACCGGCCCAGGTGGTTGCAATTAGACCCCCCGTCCTTTGCTGGCGTACCAGATGCCCTTCGTTGGTTTAACCGCTTGATCTGACGACGCGCGCGTCGTGCAGCCGCATCATGACCCTGAGGGAGCACAGCAGCTGGATCGTGGACGTGCATCTGAGCGTGCGGGAACGGCGCATCACGAGCGGCTGTGTGACGGGCGACGTGCGCTTCTGGGACCTGGGTCAGACGTGCTCCACGCGCACCCTGGCCACCAACATGGACGTCACCGCCATGGCCGTGCACCCGGCCTTCGACGCCTTCGCTTGGTCAGTGCCCCCCTCTGCAGCCTCCTCGGGTCATTCAGTGGCAGGCGTCGCGGCGCCTAGACGCGTCTGTGTCCGGTGCGTTAGGCGTCCCGTGCCGTCCGTGCATCGAAAGCGGTCCCGGAGTGGCAGCACATAACGTCGCGGGAGTTGGCACGCTGTGCCCTCGGACATAGAAGTTACGGCGAAAAAGACGAGCGAATGCGTTACAACTTTTGACTGTGGTAGCTTTTGTGAAGTGTCGATGCAGACAGCGAACCACAGCAAAGCAGGCATCCTCCTCCACTGCCGCTCCACCTTTAGCATCGCAGCTTGCGACGGCACAATGCAAGTGTCACGTCGCCAGTTGGAAGTCGAGGGACCACAAGGGCGCGGTAAGCGCTCCAGTCGGAGACACCTTCCAGGCACCATACCGGCATGGCACGCCAGGCCATGCCGGCGTGCCATGCCCTTGTCCACTGCCGGGTTCCGCTCTTTCGAAGTCCGTGTGTTTCTGGTCTAGTTCACAATTGCGTTGACATAGATGCGGGGGGCTTCAGGGAATTCACTGATGTCCCAGCTGGTGCATAATGAATTCCCTAAAGCCACCGTATCCCCTCGCCCGGTATTGTGGTGCCTCAACCCTGTCCCGAGCGGTGTGCGTACCGCGTCCTCAATTCATGCTCCTCCGGTTTCCACCTAACGGCGTCATCAGTGTCGCGCCGTTACCTGGCACGATTCTGACTGTGGCACAGCTAGGCTAGATGGCACTAGGTATTGCCCGTCATAAAGCCTTTAGCATCCGTCCAGTGATCCATAGAAACCCAAGGGCGAATACAGCGGATGCCTCTGTTCCGCCGTCGGTTGCTCTCCGGCTTGAAAGTTTGCGGAAGCTTCGACAGCTAGGAGTCTGGACGCCGCGACGACTGCAACATTTGCGTTCGCACGTCCTTTTCGCCGCAATTTGCGTGACCGATCGCCAAGATTGCGACATCTGAGAGTGTGATACGCTGGCTCCCGAGACATACTAATTTGTTGCCTATTTCGGATCACTTTCGATGCATGGGCGGTACAAGAGGATAATCGCACCAGTGGAAGGCGTGCTCTAGGTACCGTATGGAAACAAAGTGTATATGGCCTTGTCCGGGGCACTTGAAATGCACCGGGAGGGTTTTTAGAGAGGGGGGTTCAACAACGGCGATGTTGACTTGGGTGTCGCAGCGGCTCTGCCAGCCAGGTGATCAGCGTCTTCAACAAGGAGGGCGAAAACATCGGCTCCATCAGGCACCACGACTGGTTCATCGGACAGCGGATCGGCCCGGTCTCCTGCCTGGCCTTTCATCCGTTCAAGGTGAGGCCGTGGGCGCTCAGCGTTCGGGCGAGTGCCATCGTTTAGTTCTGTGCGGCCCGTCGGCTAACGAAGCCGGGTGTACAGCAGACTTTCGTAAGCCGAAAGGGTCGCCGAGGACAAGAGCGACTCTTTGGGGGTTGCCCAAAAGTTGTTTGTGTACTCGGTGCGAATTATCTTTGGCACCAAAGTTTGTACAAGGAAGCCTTCGTGGCGCTGGAACTGGGAGCGGAGGCTTTTTGGGAGACATTCTTTCCGCACTTTTCAACCTACAACAGATTACTTCAATGAAAAGACGGTTATTGTGCAGGCGAGCTGGTGTAAGTTACAGATGATCATTGAAACCCGTTGTCTGTCCCACTTTCTTCTTACTTCACGAGTTTCCGATATTTAAACCACAGTCTCGGGTTTCAATCATCATGTATAGATTACTTCAACTGGGCAATCGCTCGCAAACTACCGGCCGACCCTACGACTGCGCTCTCTCGGCACGAGGACATCTTTTCCTCTCGTGTGTCGTCAGCAAAAAACGATTGATTGTGCACGTTCAACTACTTTCTTTTTAAGGAAGCAAGTGTAAGAGTTACTTTTCTGGCAGCGGCTTTGCTGCAATAAAGTGCTTAAAGCTTCCCAAGGTACACCGAAACGCTTATCGGGGCCCAGTCGCAGCTTTGCAAGAGCCACGTCTCCCGTTGCAGATGTGCCTGGCCGCCGGCAGCACAGAGTCCATAGTGAGCGTCTATGCGGCGGACCGCAAGCACTGACCTCCGGCGTGGCCCCCCCCCCACCGAAGCCATGGCCGCCTCGCCCCCGCAGTTGCGGTCCCGCCGTTAGCAACCTCGTCCCACCCGTCAAGTCTGGCAATATCGAACAACCTAGGCAAAGGGACGAGAGCAGAACGCTCACCGCTGGAGAAACTGAAGCCGACTCGGCGGTGGAAGCCGATCCGGGGATAAGAGCCAATCCAATGGTGGGAGCCAATCTGCCGATGGGTGCCAATCAGATGATGGGTAGCGATCCAATGACAGGAGCCGATCTGATGATTGGGGCCAATCCAACGATGGGAGCCAATCAAAGGATGGGCACCAACCGATGCAGACGACAGGTCATCAAGTGCCACCCGTCGGCGACGGAGGCAAGCCTTTGAGGAAACGAGCTTCCTCGGATGGCCACTAGCCATTAGGGACGTGCCGGCCACTTCGGAGCATAGTTTTTTTTGCCCCCATGCTTTCGAGCAAACCTCTGGTGGGAACCTTCCTATGCCGCCCGTGTAGATAGGCGGGGCAACTAGGGCGTGTACATTGTGTTTGCAAGGGACTGCACCCAAGTGCTTTAATCATCCGTTGTTTCACTGCCGCAGATGGCCGCGGGTGCCATTGGCGCAGGTAGCTTTGCTGTGGACGATGTCTCACATAAAAGGCACATTGTTTTGTTTGGAGCCTTGGGTCCTCTATGTGCATGCATTTGAGCACGACACATGCTCTACACTCCACACGTGCGTCACAGCTATGGTAGCACGGTAATTTGGTCGTATAGCTGTGTGGGGCTATGAAACAATTTTTGGACTATGCACGGTAATTCAGTCGTATAGGTAGCCTCGTCGGGCTATGAAACAATATTTGGACTATGGCTCTATGCCATCGCTTATAAAAGACGGAACGGAAAAACATTCTTACTTTTGTGCACGTTTAGCTTGAATGAAAACTGCAAGGTACCTTTTAAACGTTATTAGCAAACCCAAGTGGAGGAGACGGTTTTGTTTACTTGCAGTGCATGGTGCCACTAAGTCTTCGGTTAAACGAAGGCATGGCAATGATGTGTGGCTTTTGACAGACTTGGACACATGTCCAAACAACAAGATTTATAAAACTTCTCACTACGACTCACCCTGGTGTGCGTCGCAAAACTCCACGCCATACCTTGGGAGCCATATCTGGCTGCAGACTGGGAAATAGTAGCAAGTTTTCTCTGCATTGCGATAATGCAGCAACGCTTTTTTTTTTTTTCACTTGTACAAATCTCGTATACTTTCAGTAGAATCATTTCATGGCCACCCTTGGAAGGAGACTAGGATGGTTTTTCAATTTATCTTTTTGTGGCAATAATCCGTTTCCTAAGCACCTTAGAAAACCCAAAATTATGATCATGTGTGGTCTTTTCGTCTATTGCAATAGACCGATCTCACCAGCCAGTTTGACTACGCCACCGCTGCCGCAATGCATTGAGGGAACTTTAGTTTTTCTGCGCGTGCGACAACCTTGCTGGAGCCGTGCGTGTGCAGGCCACGAACAGTCTCGTGCACTGGCAATTGCCTCCTGTGAACTAAACTTATGGCGGCCTCGCGCATGCGCCAAACGCTTGGTGAGATCAGTCTATTGTGACTATGTAAAAAGTTTGAAACATTTTTAACAAGAAAATGGGACACGCACAATTGTTTTTTGGGGTTTTGTAGGATGCTTAGGGAGTCTTCTCCATGAGAGCACAATCTGAATATCCCCTTCCATGCCCCTTCAAGCTGCAGGGTATTTCCTGGACCTGCCTTTATTCGCAGGGAAAGGCTGTCTCCAACAGAGTGTCGTGGAAATCACAAACATGCTCACGTAAAGGACAAGACTGTCGCGTAGATGCTCGTTTGCATTCTAAGGACAGTCTGCTCCTTCTTTCTACTCAACGACACGCTAATCTGTTTCTTTGGCCGAAACACACTCGCGTGAATAGACCATAGCACGACGAGAGCCGTTCTAGCCACACCGCTGCCATACTGTGTCAGAGGTGCTTCAGCAGATTGTGCTTGCACGGCCGCCTGAAACCTAGCGTTTTGGACACCATCTCCTGTCCTTTCACCACTAAGAGGTGATCTAAACACACAAGCAACACAAGAATCTGCGTGGCTGGCAAACACTCGTGTAGAAACAGCCACCGTCTGCCACCGCAGCCACAGGGATCGGGTCGTTTGTTCTTTATTGAATGCCAAGTGGGCCTGCGCTGCTATCTAGTTCAGTTCTTCAATGAGAGGTCTCGACCCTACGTCACTGGCCGGAGCCTTACGCACCACGGTCTCCGCGGCCCGTTTAAATAAGGCCACGTTTTCGGCCACGGCCAGCGCTTCCGCATCCACGTCCGGGAGGCAGGAGAGTAGCTCGCGACCGTGCTCGCGGGCCCATGCCACGAGATACTCGGCCTTCTTGACAGCGTGCCTGAGTTTGCGTCTGACCTCTCTCTCCAAATGGCCGCTCTCTGCCGCCCCCTGGAGCAAGGCCCTGACCTCTTCTAGTGCTCTCATGACGTTGTCGCCGAGCCCGGCACCTTCCAGGAGCTTCCGGAAGCTCGCGAGCACAGCCGGGAACTCTTGGGCCGTCGTCTGCTCTCGGAGCGTCAGCGTCCTCTGCAGCGAACTCTGTACGGCTTCGGACGCGCTCGCAAACACCGCGTCCTCGGATAAGATCGCACTGACGGACAGCAGCTCCAGGGCACTCTCGGGGAGCAGGTCCCCGTTGTAGAGCCTGGCCACGTAAACATAACCGCACAAGACGTTGAGCGCGCTGTTGACGACGCAAGGCGCCGGCGGTTGCGATGTCAGGCGACTCAGCGGCGGGACGTCGGAGATTGCATCCGTAGGGGCGACCTCCGCGATGAGGGGCGCTCGCTCCCACCAGGGTTGCCAGACAGGCACGAGCTTGCCCGCCGAACCAGACGCGACGAGCTCTTCAAACTCTGCCTTCTCTTCCTCGGTGAGACAGCTCCAAGCGGACTCAGCATCGTCGAGGTCGACTTCCGCCAGTCGCTCGACGAGCTCTTCCTGCTCGCCTTGCTCGCCCTCTTCCTCCCGGTGTGCAGACGCGAGGACGTCCATCATATTGCGGCGAGCCTCGGGATCCGCCTGCTCCGTCCTCAGGTACGTGTGCACCCAGTCCTTGTAGAAGTCTTCACTGCAATTGTGGTGGCGCGCATCCTTGTAGCAAGCGCTGCTGCAGTACGCGAAGCCGCAGCGCGGACACGTGTACTTAGCAGACGGCAACTCGCAGAACTTGCACTGTCTGCTCTCCGGATTTTCCATGGTTGCCCGCCGACAAGTGGGTAGCTTCCACAAGGCACTATTCTAGTCCACACTGCCGAGACTGTTTTTTTTCCACCGACGATTGAGTGTCAAGGCCAAGTCACTGGTCTTTCTCAGCGCCCTTAAACTGTCGCCCGAGCAGGTACATCTCGGCCGAATCGCCGCGGCTGGCCTTGGGCTTCACGTAGTGGACGTAGTGGAAGAACTTCTCAATGTCTCGCGCGAGCTGGGGGCCTCGGCTGCCGTCCCAGATCTTGCACAGGAAGCTCCCGCCGACGGACAGCGTCTGCAATGCCACTATCAGTGACGCGTAGGCAAGCGCAACGATGTTGTCGTGATCAAGATGCTTGACCCCGCTGGCGCTGGGTGCCATGTCGCTGAGCACGCTGTCGGCGTGCCGGCCATGGAGGCACTCCAATATCCTGGCGAGAGTTTCGGGGCGTTGTATGTCCGCCTCGGGGAGGAGGGTCGCTCCGGGGATGGGGTCGAGCGGAATCAGGTCCACCGCAACCACGGCTCCCTTGGGCTGGTTGTAGTCTGCAAAAGAAGGGAGCAAGGTCAGAGCAGGAGAATGCAGCCTGGCAGTTCAAACAAATGCCACCAGAGGCCGCCAGGGCCCAATTTTAGCCCTAGCAGGCAATTCAACCTGAATTTTTACAGGAGTGAATGCACGCATCCACCGCAATGCAGTGAAACGCTACACGTGGCACTGTAGTCGCGGCTGTGGCAGCGCCCGCGCAAAGTACTTTGGGGTGCCGGCGCCTGCTCCTGCTCGTGCGCTTCTAATGATCTTCTTGCAGTGTCCGCACTGTTTCGGTTGCCAGTTGAAACTAGGGTCGAATAATGCTTTGTGAAATGTAATTGAGCTTTCTAAAGGTTTGTGTAGATACTGTGCTCCAAAGTGGAGCGGCGATTACGGTTTAAACTTTGAAAGTTTTGTTCTTTTGTTTCCCAATGGTAAGCTCCGATCGGTAAGTACCATTTCTCTGTCAGCGGTTATTAACGAAGGATGATTTCTTGTATGAACATGCCTGTTTAAGTTTCTGGGAGTGATCAGTGCACCTCGAAGCACACCAGGATTAATTTGAGGCTCGGATAAAACAATTTGTGGAAAGGGATTTGTGTGTCTCATTTTGAGCCGGTCATCTTCACGAATTCGAAGAGGAACCGTCTCGGGAAGAATGCGGGTACCTCTGTCATGATTCTATTTGATGTCACGATAGCCGTTGAAGTTGGTTGAACCATCATATTTGTTAAGATGAATAATGTTTTACCTCCTGTTTTGCAATTTCCGAGACATTTTTTTCTAACTGAAATTGATCTTCGAAACCTTGCGTTTGCAAAACGTGTATGGTTTGTCAGTTTGTTTTTCACCTCTTTTCAAATGAAACCTGTTTGTCGATACATACTTGTGCAATTCGCCTTTTTTGTGGGTACATAAGAAAAGCCTTCAGAACGCACTCCTTTGAAGAACCGGCAAAAAGGCAAGCAATGTTCTCGTACGCCGAATCTTTATAGCCAAGAGTTCGTTCTGAAGGACTTTTTTAATGTGCCCTAAAGTGGTGTACATATTTCTCTTATACTTTAAGTACCAAAAAAGACAACAGAGTGCTTTTTTGAAACACATGTTTGATGTACTTGCTTTAATTACTATTATGTATGAGTACTCTCGGCGCGCTAAACGAAGCGAGAAAAAAAAAAACGAGCAGAGCACATCTGGGGGACAGCTAGCACCATCTATCGAACTTTTCAGGTGGAAAATTATCTTTACAGGTATCTCTACAGGCAGAAATCATGTATCTCTACAGGCACAAATCATGTGCCTGGTACACTTTGCTTAGGAAGGCTATGGCTGCGCACTCCTGGTAAGGACCAGCGGCTGTTTTTGTCCAAGTACAAGGATAGGCGGCACTTTTCGTCAAGGCGCGATTGCCGTTGAAACGACGTCACGCCAGTTGAAAGTGGGATGGCTGAATGTGAATGATGCAAGTGACTCGGACATATCTGAGAATCTGGTTTTCGGTATGTGTAAAAGGGTTACTCTGGTCCCCCGGTGCACCTAAGCAGTCTCACTTGGTAGGTCGTTTTTGCAGTTTCTGCAGTATTAAAGCTAGAACGATTCTTGACTAAGTGGGGTCCCCTTCCTGGGAGCCTACTGTATACCTTTGACAAAAAGACTTTTAGAATGTAATTCTAAAATGTATGTGTTTTGGTGCACACTTGCCAAAGTGGCAGGCTTGTACGCCACTGGACTGTAAGCGACGGAGTTACTTGCACCATAGCAAAAGAACTTTCTCGAACCTCCTGAGGTTATAGAGTTAAAAGCTATCTAAGCTCAGACTCTGAGACTATTTCACCTTACAATGGACTGCAAAGGGCACTACGAGCTATTGACACCTATCCATGCGAATGTCGTAGCATACGCTGCCATCTATCGTAAAGGCTGGCTCGCAGATTTGCATTCAAGTGTGCCCGAGTGCGCTGCGGTTGCTTGTGACAACAGAACACACTATAGTCGGATACAACATGAGAAAGACTGGTGAAAACTATAGTCAGTTACAGGTTAAAAGTTTTTGAAGGAAGGGATAGGTGTGGAAGAGGAAAAAAAGCAGACTAAACACTGAAGAGAGCAGGTTTCCTTCTCTTCTGTCCAGCATTCCATCTGCTTCCTCCTCCCCAACCTTCCTTTCCCTCGCTAACTTCTTAACCTATAATTGACTAGGGAAGTTGAACTTGAGAGAAGAAGCGACCTCCTTTCCACAGTGGCTTTTTTGTGCTCGCCCTTTTCCCCCTCTTACTGTGTTTCTTATGTTGTGTCTGAGTCTAGTGCCATCTATCAAGCAATTGACGTCGGCAGTGCCATCTGTCGGCAGCTCTGTGGAAATTTCACTTTTTACCCGAACCTAGTTCTCCATTCTGGCGCAGCCCGTCCTATTGCTAGTTTTGTGGTACCACTGCAGAAGCAACAGCTGCACCTAGAGCCTCTAGGTGAGCTACGCGTAGAGTATCGACACTCTGTTCCACGACATTGTTTTGGGCGCCGCCATCTTTGTCCTTGTGCAGAGCAGACGCAACTGCCTATCGTCATAATTCAAAAGTGTGACTTCCTCAGCATTCGATTCGGTGTTAGGAAGCTCATGTAATATTGCTTGGCTCTGCTACAAACTGTTTAAACATTCATGGAGGACGAAGAAATGTTTCCTGTGGTTTCAGATAAAGCTTCAGACAACTGGTAACCATGATTGTAAGCCACAAAATGGGTAAGTGTCGTTACTCTGAAGCGTAGCTGACTTAGTGGCACTAGCTGCACCCGGCTGATATTGGCTTCGTTCGATTTACCTGCATTTGCACCGGAGCAGAAAAGTGTACGGCGGTCTACTTCCGGTCGTATCTCAATGCAGGTACCGGAATTACACTGCCTTACACTTTTCTGCACCGGTGCAGGAGGTCCTGGGAACGGTCGCACACACGCAAATGTGCCCCAACCACGTGACCGCGCGGCTCGCACGCGGAGGAATCTGACGGCAAAGAGAGAGAGAGTACCGACCTTTGCCGTCCGAGTTGGTCTTCCTTACGACGACCTGCGTCCAAGAGCCCGGCGCTGCGCCGCACTCGACCACTGTGTAGCCGGGCTTCAGTATCCCGTAGCGCTCGTCGATCTCGAGCAACTTGTAAGCGCTGCGGGCGCGGTAGTGGTCGTAGCGGGACTGCTTCACGTACGGGTCGTTCAGCTGCCGCGTCAACCAGTCTTGGGCGCACTTGCTCTTGCCCTTCACATTCTTTGGCTGCACCTTGAACCGTACGCTGGACACAGAAAAACGACGAAAGTGTGGCCGAAACACGACGCCGCCGATTCCACTCGTACACAAGGCGGCTGCCATTGGATCTGGCTCGGTTTGGATGTAGAAGTGGCTATATCTTATAAATCTTGTCACGTATCTTTGTTTCTTATTTAATTTGTTGTTGTTGTTGTTTTTTTCGATGCGCGATAGTTTTAAAAATAATGGACCGGGCCCTGATTCAAACCTTCAGCTATTGTATGTGGCCAAATTTATGCGTACACCTGGAGTTCCTGCAACCTCACCGAGTTCTTAGAAGCCTGGAACGCAAACTCCAGCTGGTGTGTTTACGGGTCATTAGTTTGTCCCGTTTGTCATCTCAGTGTCCTTTTAATAGCTGCGTTCGATTTACCTGCATCTTCTGCACCGGTGCAGAAAAGATTAGGGCAGTGTACTTCCTTCAAGTGTACTTCCTGAATGTCCTGAATGTGTATTCAGATACGACCGGAAGTTCACCGCCCTACACTTTTCTGCACCGGTCCAGTAGTGGTGCAGGCAGTGCAGGTTAATCGAACGCACCAAAACTCGTCACCTTTTTAAAACGCTGCAGATTGCCGCGATCCTAGTGGTCAAACAGTTTTAAGTTGCACACGCCTGTCTTGTTATAGCTCGCACCCAACGCTCGCACCCCAAGCTGTCAATCTGCGGAACTTAGACAATGCTGCGTTGTAATGCCACGACGACACCGCCGTCTGCCGTTTGCTCGTAGCTTTTACGCCCAACCACCAGGATCGCGACAGCCCGTAGAGTTTTCTAGAGAGGCCACTCTAGCGTTTCCCAGCGACTTTTGTTGAAGCTTCGAGGGTCACTCCGATGACTCCGATGCCCTACAATGCATGGGATGCAGAACACACCAGTAGGCTCGTTCCCCCACTGTGCGTTCTCCTGTTGAACTTTTTGTCGGGTGGTGGGTGGTAGCGGTGGCCCGTGGTGTCCTGTGGTGCGGCGGTGCTTTTGTGCCCGTTCCGATCGCTCCTCTGTGCGCCTGGGTACAAAAGCGTGCCTCGCAAGCCATGTGAATCAGCCCGAGGTACACCCGGTGTTCCGCTGCTAGCGTTGCCATCGTCGGCAACCCCAGCGAGAGGTAAGTGGGCCAGGCTTGCTTCCGCGTCGGCTTTAACCGGTTCTCGCGGTCTCCATGTGTGGTCGTTTGTTTCACTTTCGTGGTTCCCGTCAATATTTTCTGCTGCTGGCCTCCGAAAGCATGTCGTGTTGCGTCTGGCGGTCGGTCAAACGGCCGAGCATCGAGGTGTCAGTGCCTCGGTTACAGTCAAGGTCGTCGGCTACGGTCCTACGGTTCGCGTCTTTTTTTCCGGCGGCAGGCTGACTAATCGGGGATTGCACGCGCCTACGCGTTTCGGTGATGACCGACGTCCTGTCGTTATGTGTGAATAGGAAGGACCTTTCTCGGACGGAGGCGAGGCGGTAGGGGCTCACCCGAGCGCATGCCCGAGGGTATGACTTGCCAACGCGCGTTTTGAAACGCCGCGCGAATGCCCACGAACGGGACCTGCTGGTCGAGGGAGTGCCAGTGTGAACAACGGGCTTGGCGTCTGGCGTTTCTTTGCTCGACGTAAAAAGAACCTGTTTGCGTCAGCACCAGACATCGCTCGTTTGTTTGTTTTGGAGGTGACGGAAAAGGGGCTGGCAGCGAAGCGGGAGCCACGGTTGGTGCAGCTGCACATAGATGGCGCCAGTAGTTCAGTCATATAACCATATGAGCTACATATGATAGAAGTCCATCTAAAGAGAAACGAGCGAAGCGCAGGGCCTCATGTTTAGGGGTGTCGCGAACCGGCCGAGGTTCGAGTTCGACCAGGTTCGACTTTTTCGAACTTTTAGTGGAAATTTCGACGAACCTTGTATTGAGGTTCGGCTCGTGTGCGCATGCGCGAGAGGTTGGCCAGTTGGCTTCGGATTGGATGGTAATGGCTAAGAGATGAATTAAGTGCAGCGCTGATCGGCTATTTCAGTCAATACAGTACTAAAATTTAAGTTATTAACTTCTTCAGTGAATAGAATTAGTTTCTTTTAATTGCAGCTGTTCACACAATAAAATAACCCTTTGCATAAAAAAAGAAATTCTCCAAACCTAGACATGCTTGTATGGCCACACTGTCCACAAAGTCGAACCGGTCGAATCTGGTGAAAAGGTCGAAGGTTCGTCGAACCGGTTCGACCCAGTCGAACCCCGAAAGTTCGACCAAAAAATCTGGTTCGACAAAAGTTTGCGACACCCCTACTCATGTTCTTCCCACAATTCCCCTGAAATGCCTAACTAAAGGGTTCCTCACATCTTTGACCTTGAAGGTTAGGTTAGGGGGTTCCTCACATCTTTGACCTTGAAGGGGTTTATACCTGTTTTCACCTCAAGAACCATAGGAAAAAAAGTCCGGCTTCTCGCGGATGATTACTAATTTTCACCTTTAGGTGGAGATTTAAGATATATTTATTAGCATTTTAGAGTGGATACACGTTATATTATCAAGGAGTACACGTTTCAAACGCCAAAAGCATCGCCTGTGCCTCCGACAACCAAATCTGGCGAGAACTATTTTGCGCGGTGTATGAACAATGCGCAAAACTTGCTGTTTTCTTGAGGTGCGCAAACAGTTTGAATCCTTCAGGATCCTTTGTTAGGTTCTTTTTTTTTTTCCACGCTCAAGTACAGAAGCGAAATCGGAGATAGATACCCTCAAATTATTTTCTGCTGCAATCTGCTTTTTTTTTTTTTTATTTTATTACGTTGAATGGTGGAACAACTTTGTTGTGCTAATCTTGAAGCATGACTGGCGAGCTGGATGTAGCCTCAAAACTTCCGTACTGTAAGACTTCCATCCCAGTGCTTCACCAGCTCCAGAATCGTGGTGTGTTGTGAAAACAAATTTGTTTGTAGGCAGCTGGTTTGAGGATTTCTTCACATCTTTGGATGTCCTTTTCAATCCTGCCAAATACTCAGTCAAGCAGCAGAAAACTCAGCCCCGTGATGGGAAGCACAACAGAAAGTTTTGAGAGTATGGGTTGAGCCTCGTTTTGTAGCCACCGTAAAAGCATGCACAGCAAGGTTGAGTTCTTGTTTTTGCCCAGCACAACCGTCGGCCACCAAACGGACCTCGTCAACTCCCTTGTAAGTGCATTTTGCAGGGTGTTCCTTTGGCACTCTCATCTTCACTCCACATATAGCAATGGACAACATACTTGGGCACTGAGCCATCAGCTCGGTTTTCTATCAGTTGGCGGCTTTAATAGGCCTGCCGGTCATTGACTTTCGGCATAGCTTGGTTCTGCTAACAGTGAAACAAAAAATTTTTTGATGTCGGTCCTTCTTTCCCGCAGGAATGCGTAGGAAGCTTTGTATTTCAACTTGTGTACACGCTGCTCCGTTAGTACCTGTTGCTTCTTCGAGGGGCTGTCTTCCGTCTTGATGTACAGGGTGAATGAAACATGGAGACGCCAGGCTCTTTAAATCGACCGCAGTGTTGCCCACAGATGGTGCTTTTTTTTTTTTGTAAAATTTGCAAAGAACGAACTTATCCGAGGAAAAAGTAAAGACAGAAAAAGGCTTAGCTCCTAATGAAACGCAGCGACGCCACCGGTCAGCCATAGAGTTATTATAATGTACGCTAGAGGTTCAACTGGCGCTAGTGTCTATGCGACTTCCGGGAGGCAAATTGAAGCAGACAGCAACCAGTCTACTTTTGCGGTGCTCCTGTGCATTCCTATGGGAATGCGCACGTGAATTTTGTCTATTCGCCGTAAAATAACACGAATAACTTTTGTTATTTCGGTTGTACCGGATAGTATGTACCTTTATTGATATTGTGAAAGTGTAATTGATTGAGTTACAACATTTTTCTTTACCACTGAACGACGTTAAACTTCGCTCTATTTCAGGCTCAAACCTCTGTTCAACAGCCGGTGTATAAAAACAAGCGACGATTCTAAGCAAAATAACAATCGAAAGGAATGTAGAGTGCGTTTAAGGTTCAATAGCATTTTGGTGGCGCTTATATATTGCTAATATGTCCTTTCTGTCACTATATGAAGACTCCGTCGTGCATCTTTACAGTCTGCTAAAAAAATAAAGTATGTGGGCTACGAGAGGTGTGTCTTTTTATTATTTCCTATGTCAGGCAGTTTTAATCGGGCACCTGTTCTCCGGCTTCTCCCCATTCGCAAAGATCTGGAGCCTGCGGGTGATGATTTGAACCCAGAACATGCATCTTTGCACATATTCATGAGCAGACAGAAGAAAGCAGTACTTATTTATTACAAATCTGACTATAGTACGTGACTTTCAATTTATTTGATCGTCTGCATCCACAAAGAGTTACTTATCCAGTGTTACTGTGTAGTTCTTGCCGTCTCTCTTGGTTTTCCACATGTCCTTCGCTCGTTTGGCACGTATGTCCCTCATGTTGAAAAGTGCCGACGCCGTGTTCGCGCTAACAGTGTCCGACAGTGCACATAAATACACGTACGAAGCGGTTTTAGCATCGTTTTTCGTGCCACGAATTTCAAATGAAAATGCTGTAACTGACCAATTATTTCGTCTGCGTGACTGAGAAAAGTTCCAAGCTACCTAGTACGTACGAATTATTCGTGATATTTGCTCTTATAATCGAGCGCAGAGAGAAAATGCACCCGCTTTTTCCCATAGCAATGCATTACCGGAAGTCAATTTCGGACTGGTTGCTGTCTGCTTCAATTTGCAGCAGCACACTAGCGCCAGTTGAACCTCTAGCGTACATTATAATAACTCTATGCGGTCAGCAAACAACACGGCGCCATTTCGCACGGGAGACAAGAGATGGCGCAACAAACGCCGCCAACGAACGAGCATACGGTGTCGAGAGCAGGCCTTTTTAGCAGACGATCTTTTCGACTCAAAAGCGGCGCGCGTTCCGCAGGCGGCGACAGTCGCAGAAACAAAAAAGACAGGCGCGGTATCAGCAAGGAACTGCAGTTCCTTGCCTGCAAAAGGGCCGGCTCTCGGCGTCGTCTGCTCGTTCGTTGGCGGCAGTTGGCGTCGCGACCGCTTGCGCCATCTTTTGTCTCCCGTGGGAAACGGCGCCGTGTTGTTTGCAGACCGGTGGCGTCGCTGTGTTTCCATAGGAGCTAAGCCTTTTTCTTTCTTTACTTTTTCCTCAGGTAAATTCGCTCTTTAGAAATTTTACAAAAAAAAAAA